ATACAGAACTGAGAGGAGATTGTTACGAAGATCAGGTACATGTATTTTGAGAATAAATGCACCTGTCACTAATTTAATGCCGTGATGCATTACCGGCAGATATCATTTATACCCATAAAGGCTGCTAATGCTCTTCGACATGTTGATTCCAAATGTCCTTGCATTAAACCCTGTTGCAATGGGAACTGAATGGGCCGCTTCTAGAGGCTCCTGAGTGACCAAAGATGATCAGGACTAGAGTCCAGAGTAAGTTGCCAATGTATTCAAGTATAGTAAAGGTATACAGTACCTAGAGTCCAGAGTAAGTTGCCAAAGAGGCAGGGAGCACTGGACTCTGGGATATGGGTGATGTGTGGTAAACAAATGCAAACAGACAAGCCATAACACAAAGGTAAGGGATAACTCGACCTAGACAAGTCCTAGGGAGGTCAGGAAAGTGAGTGAATGGTCAGAGAAATATAGGTAATGAGTATGTACGTATAGAGACCATGAAAAGGATAGAAAAGCATACTGTAGAGGTGAATGATCATATAACTAACAAACCCCTCATATTCTCTGATGGACTGCATACTTACTCCTCTGATGGCACATCCTGTGGGAAGAAACAGATCTCCCCCCATCACCCCTTCTATCATGGATCACCTGGTCTCCATATCAAGTCATGACATCTCACATATTGAGAACATTACCTACCACAGCGGAGTGGCTATATTCTTCAGTTGCAAGTGGGAACTCAATAAGAATGTGAAGAAGCAGAAGCAGACATTGAAGTACAACCGCAGTAGCTATGGACAACGCCTCCGCAGAGACTCTGGAAGCACCCAGTCAGTCTTGTGCGCTAAGCAGTTTCAGCATGAGATTAAACTGTCTTCTATTGTAGCTGCGGGTTTGCTTCATGCTTAGATCCTCACAGATCCTTGCATGCTGCCCCATGTGTTATCCTATCTCAACATAAGTTCCAGGCATCAGCACACTATTTTCATTGCCATCATAATTCCAACTCGTTCTTTTGATGGTCCAGCTTGCTGATGGATGGATGCAGGAGTCATGCCTATGCATGATGCTACAGAATTTGGGTCGACATTGCTTCAGGACTGGCTGTGAGACACACCGAAGTTCAAGGGTGAGGAATCTATGAATGCCTGATTCTGTCCAAGCTGGGGCAAAGTGAATGGGCCTTTCCCAGAAGAAGTACAGTGCGACTTGGGCATCACGGAAGGCCTTGGCTATGGTGCAAGCAAATATGATTGTAATTGAAGTTGCTGAACTGCAGTGTCATTATTACCCCATCACAACTCACCCCCTTTTCCCCAACAAGTGTGCATACATGCAAAAGGAGGTGTATTTTGGGATCTGCTCAGAGCCCTGTCCGTCTTGATGTTTTGGCTGCTGCAATGGTATGGCATATATGATTGGTTGTGTGGTGTGTCGCTGATGTCCCTCTAGCACAAGGTGTGATCAATGTCATGATTGTCATAAACTGGGTGGGCATCGGAAAATGTTATGGAAACATTAAAACAGTAGTGCCTCCACAGTATGCTTTTCTATCCTTTTCATGGTCTCTATACATACATATCCATTACCTATATTTCCCTGACCACTCATATACTTTCCTGACCTCCCTAGGATTTGTCTAGGTCGAGTTATTCCTTACCTTTGTGTTATGGCTTGTCTGTTTACATTTGTTTACCATACATCGCCCATATCCCAGAGTCCAGTGCTCCCTGCTGACCTAGACAAGTCCAAGGGAGGTCAGGAAAGTGAGTGAATGGTCAGGGAAATATAGGTAATGAATATGTATGTATAGAGACCATGAAAAGGATAGAAAAGTGTACTGTAGAGGTGAATAATCATATAACTAACAGAATACGCTCTCCTTTTAAATACCATGTCGTTGTGCTGGAGGTCAGCTCAACCTCACTCAATACACCTGTATAAATTCTGAAGAGAGTCTAGACAGGCTTTTTCCGCCGCTGCTGCCGCCACATATTCTATCTTGGAGCTAGAGGGTCACAGTCCCATTGCATGAGGTTTGATCTAAGAGAGAATTGGTGATAGCACTGTACAATATTTTTTGATCACTCAAAGCCCATCCCTTACTGATCAGGCCACACCTCAGTTATACAAGAGTATCCGAGCACGATGTTATTCATTGTGATTGCAGCCTCCACAATGCGATGATTGAAGTGTCCTCGTACGTAGTGCTGCCGCTGAGGCGTGTACGCATCAGTAAATTCTGATCTGAGTGTCCACTTTCACTAACTCAGGTTCCTAACACTCATTAAAGCTGGTCAAGTGGCATATAGAAAAATCAGTCTCATACAACTGGCAGGTTCATGATTCACCTGAGATCAAAGTGACTATTACATACAATAATGCATTGCATTTAGTGTTAGGCAATTACATGCAAGCAGCCAACTGTCCTAAAGTCTAAGCATCCTATTCCAATTCCATTACAATCTGGTCTAGTCTTAGGACATTTACCTTTGTCCCAGGGATATGCACTTCGACGAAGCCTGGTGTCCAGTCTTTGCCAGCAAACAATAGATCGATATCAAGCAGCCTGAACACCAACACTTTTTGCCAACAATCTCGGACACCAGTGTACATAATATTAGTGTCCAAGACTCCACACGATGAAATCACTAGATCTAGAGATGATCAGTGTACTCCTGCCAGTCTGCTGCTGGGCTCCTCATACCATAAGAACTCCTCTAAGATTTCATTGCACAGATTGTCAAAATAATGACGGAAAATTTACATACAAATACTTGCCGTGCAAATTTGAGGCAGCCACTCATTGAGTGGCATGATGGTGGCACCTAGTGTTCTGCATGGGCAACCTATGCGTCCCCTGGCCTCACAATGGACAATTATGCATGACTCGGAGCTCACCTGGCTAGGTATCATTTCCATGGACATCCGCTCACTTCCATGGACATCTGCCCTCATAAGCACCTAATAGATACGTGTTCTGTAGCAGACATCATCGCACTCTCTCGGTTTCCGTCCATCCACGTCCTAACCATGTCCGTCCATCCCTATTGGTGTCATTAGTCTTTTCTTGTCACTCTGATCACCCACAGTCCATATTACATGTGCGTTCCCATGCACGAGGCCGCTTGTCGTCTTTTACATATTACTCCATTATGGACTCGCTTGTACTTACCACTACACTTAGGACATTCTGAGTTCTTACGGATCATGTTAAATAGTCGCGCTGACCTCTGACAATATTACTTTCTTCTACTCCCTTGGACTTTGTGTCTAAGTTCATGTGATCTTAAGTCCCCTTAGTCTTCCACCTCACGGATCTCAGCACGGACCCTTTGTGTCCTCACTTTCCATACTTTGCACTCCTTATCTGTACCACGGGTTACTGCTGGTAGCTCATTACATCGAGACCTCGAGACACCTTGACACACACCCCCATCAGCATGTGATTTCTTGCTTGCTCTGCACGGACATCATCAAGTGCCTTCTTCTATTCTCCATGCTCTAGTGGGTTGTTTGATGTGCATCTCCACCTAGAAGATGACGAGACAGGACCCGTTGATGCTGCTTTGCGCAATTTGTCACTTAACTCAGGGAAAGCTATGGAACATGCATGAGGAGATGTTTGGGGATTGCCTAAAGCTGACGATGCGCTGGTGGTGCTTTCTCCGAGTCGAGAAGAGTCCGTTGCCCCAACCAAGTAATCCAATGTCTAAACTCTCAGACGCATTAGCGAAGATCACAGTTCCCGACCAACGGTATATCAATGTCAAGCAGCCATCTCGAGGGTTTCCTGCTATGCCCAATTCGCTAACAACCACTTGTCACTTCACTCCATACAATAAACACGTCAAAATCGACCTTTCCTCATCAGACCCCCGTCATTCATTGTACACATACTCTTTTCCTTTTTAACTCCGTACTCACTTATCACAGGCACCATGTCAAATCATCACTTCTCCTGAATCCTGTTAGTTAGTTTCCTTGGACTCAGGCTACTTTCATTACTGCACAAGTCTCCACGTTACACTGTTTGTTCGCACGAGTTTGTTCATAATAGTTGTACTATATAAGTGAATCAAATCAATACATTGTACAAGCACTCACACAGATGATGGTCACTGATATAGTTTGTTAAGAGCTGCAGCGAGTGAGATTTGTTCTAGATGACGTGGGGTGAAAGCACATGACACGCACCTCATGGATCGGCACAGACCCAGCTTGCTTCGGGTTCCCGGAAATGACAAGGTCACCGGTGCTAGTATCCGAGTGGGTATTGATAAAGATCAAGACATTTCCCTCATAGTTCACGTTCATCAGCAACTGAAAGTGGGGATCCATGGTGCTGGGATTGTTGTTCCCAGATTTGAGAGATCTTGTTGGTATGCGTAGCTGCAGGCACTAAGCTGGCTGCTCATCCCAATAGCTGATGAAGGCACAAGTACAGTACCCTAGATTGACCAACACTAAACTGCTCTTTGAGCATGGCGTGGATGATGGTGGAAGGATAAGAAGTGCCAAATCCACTCCAAGTCAAGAAGATGGCCAAGAGGGGAAAGTAGTTGCGGTGGAGATAGTTCTGTCTTACTGAGTATCCACAGATGCTCATCTGGGGGTGCATACTGAAAGAATGTGGGATTGCCATGTGCGTTAGGAAGGCAGATGGAGATCATGGATGCAACCATGGACTTTGCTTTGTGTCGAGTGGGTGCACATTGAATACAGGTGCTTTTGCTAGTCCCCACTGAGGCGGGTTGCTCATGAGTCCTGCGTTGACGTGCAGATGTTGCTGGCATACGGGGTGCCTTCTGTGCACATTCCTGGGGCTGTGTCGCAGATGGCAGTGGCAATGCATCTTGACTTGGACCTGCGGCCTGCGTTGCTGTGGGAAGTGTCGTGGTTGCATAATGATTTGGCAGTAGAATCATGGTGGATAAGAATAAAGGAAGGCAGGTTTAGGCGCAAAGGTTAGTCACCTCGTGAAATGCATATTCGGCAAAGTACAATCACGTGATTATGTCGGTTTTATCAGACGATTCCTGATCATCGTAGAGTTCGATACAAATTTTAGACAGATGGGGCAACGCGCGGGAAAGGAAGTAAATAACATAGTTGGGATTGTAAGGTAGGGATACGCCGACCAGCAGAGTTGTTATGGCTGTATTCATGGGGACCACGTACTGTGAGGCTCCAATACTGCAATTGAAGACGAGCCCAAGTTTCTTCAATGCCGGGCAGTGACGCAAGACAGCAGAAAGTTCTGCGAGAGTCACCCTGGGAGGAGCTGTCCAGTAACGCTTGGTGCCCAGTAGGAATGTTTCGAGATTGGGTATCGCAGACGATATGGCTTCTAGCGCGTCGTCATCCAAACTGCACCCGCAAACATCACCCATGTCAATGTAGGTGATCACAGGCGATGACAGGGGATACAAGAAGTTGGATGGCAAGGGAGTGGTGATGCGTGGCTCGCAATGGATCAGCCTCAGTGATATCCCGTGCAGGTCGCTAAGAGAGAATGCGCCATCGCTCGGGGACTCAAAGTCAACCACGAGGGAGGCAATGAAATGTGCCAATGCGGCGCCACCATAGTCACAAGGGAGCCATATGGCCAGCCGGCGACAAGGGATGGGTAGCGCATGTAAGAGAGCCCTCACGGAATCATAACCGTTGTTGACGATGCCATTGGTCGAGTTAGTGATGAGGGTGGATCGTTGGATCATGATCTTGACCAGCGATAAATGGTGATCAAATGCAAAGGGAAACACCGAGATACTGGACTCGGTCAATGAGTTGTTGATGATGATGCCTAAGGTAAGCAGGTTAGGGAGCGAACCGATGGCTCTCATTCCTGTAGCGTCCAGGAGAGGGATGATTAGAAACCGGAGCGTTGAAAAGTTGTCGATAGATTGGACGAATTGGTGCATGTTTTCGGGATGATCGACAAATTGAAGTGTTAGAAATGGTGGGGATGCGGCGATGACAGCGCCGACAATAGACTCTATTCTTGCTGCAAAATACGGGAGTACGAGGGCTTGTAACCTGTTGTGCAGCAAGAGGGAGACATGAGCTAAAAGAGGGTTGTATGAATGGATGAGCTTGAGCCGGTTTAAGTTTGGAAGCAGTGGTCTGTTAGTGGTCAGGCCGTGCACGATGGCGTCAAACGCAAGAGCGGCGCTATTGTTGAGACTATGGACGCTGGCGGTAATTGAGCGAATGAGGGGGGTGTATAGGCGTAGGCGTTGGAGTTCTGATTCTAGAGGGCTGCGGATGCATCTCTGGAAGTGAACCTGTTGAGGCTGATGAGGGGGAGAAATCCGCGTAGATTATTGTCGGCTGTGTGATCAGTGACTGCTGCTATGTAGACATGCTCGAAAACTTCGAGCACGAGTTCAGAAACGTCGAAGAACTGCATTGCGATTATGAGAGGCGGGAGGATGGGGAATGTGAAACGAACTGGATTATATCCTAACCTGTGGGAAAGTCGTATGTGAGATCCTAAACAGAATTTGCCAAATACATACTTTGCATCGAAGACCATCTGTCTTTGTCGCCAGGGCGGGACATCCAGGTGGTTAGCTATGATCGAAGACCGGGAGTCTCCTTCGATCGGCATCCGTCGCATCATCAAAATTCAACTGTACAATTCTAATTAACCTAATTAACTGTATTATTCTATCCAAGCTAATTGATGTTTCATCGGCACAAGGCCCAATGTCACTACATTACAATACTGTTTAGGGTCTCCTCGACCGCCCACGTGCTAATCTGCGTCCATCTAACACATGACCTTTTCAACTCCTGAGTGATTTCATCGGCCCCAACAGCACCCGTGATACCCTTCGCACGCATAATTTCTAGCACAGGTCCGGCAAGGAGCTCTGGGGTCACATAAATGTACACCTCATCTTCCTCATACGGCGGTGGATCCGACAGTAAACCATCCTGTTCAGACACAACGCTCTTGGATAAACAAGGGTGTGGGGATGACAATTTGGCGCTATTCACGGTCGTGGTGCAGACCAGGATGGACGTAAGGGGTTCCGGAACGTTGCAGAGTACAATACTGCCTTCTTTGTAGAGCCCTAGTATTGCCCACTTAAACAAGTTCTTGATCTTCATCCTCCTGCTCAGAGGAGCGGACGGCCTAAACCTGTTGCAATGGGAATTGAATGGGCCGCTTCTAGAGGCTCCTGAGTGACCAAAGATGATCAGGACTAGAGTCCAGAGTAAGTTGCCAATGTATTCAAGCATAGTAAAGGTATACAGTACCTAGAGTCCAGAGTAAGTTGCTAAAGAGGCAGGGAGCACTGGAGTCTGGGATATGGGCGATGTATGGTAAACAAATGTAAACAGACAAGCCATAACACAAAGGTAAGGGATAACTCGACCTAGACAAGTCCTAGGGAGGTCAGGAAAGTGAGTGAATGGTCAGAGAAATATAGGTAATGAATATGTACGTATAGAGACCATGAAAAGGATAGAAAAGCGTACTGTAGAGGTGAATGATCATATAACTAACAAAACCTTGGGCGAATGTCGGTTTTGGTAGACTTCCGAACTATATCTGCCTCTGCGCTTGCTCAATCCCGACACTTCGTTTCAGCACTGACGACGAGACTGGCTAGAAGCGCTAATTCCGGGATTCGATGGAGATGGGAGAGGGTTAATCCTGTAGGCCCAGTAGGAGGGGTTGGCACTTTGGGAGCTGCATTAGACAAGAAATGCCTGATATAAGACTGAAATGTCTTGTCCGTGAGGTCCGCCGTGCTCAAATGAGAAGGATGAAGAAATTTAGTCGGGTCCTGCGAAATAATGAGGAGGCTAGGACTATTATATGCCGAAGCACTGACCAAAGATCCAGATATGACCAGACTTGATGGGACGGAGGTCGGACTGTGCGCAAGAGGCGAAGATGGCTCAGGTTCAGCGGGCCTTGGACGCTTCAAGGAAGTCCTGACTTGAAGTTGATCAGAATCCGGTATCTGAAAAGGCTTTGGGACCGCATATTTCGAGTTCAACAATGGTCCGACCCGTTTAACCTCATACCGTAACTAAGTATGACGTCAATGATTGTATCATGGATAAAAATTAAAATCAACTCACCTGGTGGCAATGCCAGCGAGTTTTACTGTGATGCCATGTTCACTGTGAACAGCGACCGTGCAACTGTCAGCCCTAATGTTGTACAGTGTAGCTCTGTATCCCTTCCTGTAGCCTCCGATGATGTAGACTTCTTTGCCGATGACTTTCTTGAATGTATCAAAGCCCGCGTTCCGTATCTTGATGACGAAGCGAATCGGAACATCAATCTGTTTCAAGTTAGAAATATGTTAGGTAGGGTTAAATTGCACATACCAGTGACTGGTCGCTATCCGACACAAATTGCAAGCGAGTGCTGACAAAGTCCACACTCTGCACAACGCCCAAGGCCATATACTGGGGCCCACGAGCAACACTAACGAAGTCTCCAGGTCTGAGATCGTAGCCCCTTTCCTTGTTAAATTTAACGGTGGGTGGGAGGTGTGTGCGCTGAACTTGAGATGACGGAATTGGCAGCAGCGGAGGGACGAAGTCTTCATCGTCATCAATATCGATATCTGCCATACAGTTACGATACCTGAGCCATATCATTGCCCCTTCCGAACTGCACCATTCCACAAGTCCCACAAAGTCTCCAATTTCGATTGTTTCAGTTTCGGACGGAGGCTTGACAAATTGGTCATGCGCGACTTGTCCGTGAAGCGAGTGCTTCACAGTACCAGGCATGCTGCCATGGGACATCTCCATGGCTAAGTCATGTTCAATATCTTGCAGAATTGGGCTGTCATTGAGCGACAGCGAAACCAATGAGACCACCTCTCAGAGGGTGGTGATGCCTGCCTTGTCAGTGACCACCACACCCTTGACTAGTGTACTCGAATTCCTGAGCCCTCTGCCATTGTTATGAAGCTTAAGGGGAATAAGTAACTGCAACCTTGATAATTACAGAAAGCCAAGACCCTGATCATTGAAAAAGCTCTAGAATGTCCTTCACGACATCACAGTGCTTGTTCTGATCTAGCGAGTCTCCAAGTCAGATGAGGTTGTGTTCGAAATCCAGAATAATGGCAACCCAATGGTTGTTGTTGACGTTCACTAGGAATGCAACCTGTCCCCGGAGCCCTGAGGATAGCGCTTGGCCGATTTCGCGAGCACGTATGAAATATTTATCTTCTTCATACTTCTTTGTCTGACACATTTTGTAGGCCTTTTGAAGGAAACCATAAAAGTGTTAGTTATATGATCATTCACCTCTACAGTAGGCTTTTCTATCCTTTTCATGGTCTCTATACGTACATATTCATTACCTATATTTCTCTGACCATTCACTCACTTTCCTGACCTCCCTAGGACTTGTCTAGGTCGAGTTATCCCTTACCTTTGTGTTATGGCTTGTCTGTTTACATTTGTTTACCATACATCGCCCATATCCCAGAGTCCAGTGCTCCCTGCCTCTTTAGCAACTTACTCTGGACTCTAGGTACTGTATACCTTTACTATACTTGAATACATTGGCAACTTACTCTGGACTCTAGTCCTGATCATCTTTGGTCACTCAGGAGCCTCTAGAAGCGGCCCATTCAGTTCCCATTGCAACAAAAAGTATGTGTTCTCAATCTTGATTTTGAAACCACCTGGAGTTCGATGGACCTTCTTCCTCAGCAAATCGAGCATCTGGCTTTCATGGACATCAGTTAGCCAATCATTGGTGGTATACCTCGTGTTTTTGGCTTTACTCAGTAATCCACAGCCATCATGATTTCACCTTGATAGCAGGGCTGCAGCTCACCATAAACAGTTCCCTCCATCCATCTCTGGCATTGGGAGAGAGATTGCACCAAGGCACTGAATATGTACATATAGAGACCATGAAAAGGATAGAAAAGCGTACTGTAGAGGTGAATAATCATATAACTAACATTAGTGGCCTGCACCATGATATCTATGAGAGTACCTAACAAGAAAGAGTTGTCTGACAATATGTAAGTGAATTGCGGGGTGTTCTTCAGCCTGCCGAAAATCAACCAGCAAGAGTCTTACAGTATGGCAAAAGGAGCATGTGTTGCCTGGTGACTGAAAAATTGTCATCGCATTCTGGCATTCTGGGCAAGACAGTTTGCCGTACTCAATCATCTTAGCCTCTAACCATTTGTGCACATGAATCCACAATTTGAACCTTGCGCACTACATGGGCCTTCTCCCAGAGCTGGATCTTCCACAGCCTTGTTTTCAGCCACCTCATTCCCGTCTGCCTGGTCCTCTCCTTCATCTACCTCCATCTCATGTAGAACACGTATAACATCAAATCTAGCTAGTACATTTGTGACAACAGAATGAGCAAATTCATTTGTATAAGGGTAATGGTTCAGAAGACATGACAGGGCGTTGAGACATCATTCATCAATCACCACACACAAGCCACAAGGATAAGGAGGCTTGTCATCCCCCCATTCTTACCTTTTGCTTGCTGGGCAGAAACATTTCTGGTATTAGCAATGTTGGAGAGCTCGACAAAATAGTTTTGGAGGTCATTAGAGGGGAGAAATAGTGCCAGAAGAGCTGAGGCACCATCACCTTGGTCACTTTCTTGGTTTGTTTTTTTCATCAGTCCTAACAGCTACAGACTTCAAGCATTGAAGGAAAACCTTGATGCTTTGAGGATACACACACATGTCCACCAGCATTGGCTAACACCCTGGAGTAGGACAGGATCTGAACTCATATCCAAACACTCGAACTTCTGCAATGTCCTTGCCAATTTGACAGCATTCCAAGATGCACCTGTTATTGATTATGCTGGTGAACAAAACCACTGCAGTTGTGTAGTCTAAAAAGTCATTGAACAAGGACACCATGTCACAAGCTGCTGACCAAACATTGGTATGTCCAAAGACACCAGTCTCTGCAATGAAAGTATAGACAGAGGGGATGGATGGCTGAATGGATATGCCTCCAACCCTGGAATTGCTATGGCGATTGCCGGCCTCAAGCAGAAGGTCGTGGGTTTAAATCCTACAACAACCACCAGGGAGTTTTAGTGGGTAGTGCTAGCGCTGCTTAGTCCCACATAACCTGCCTAATACGGCAATAGGTATGTGTAAATGCATTTCTTCCTGGAGAGATAGTGTTCTCCCGCCTGACATAATGCTATACTGGTCAGATCAGAATATCTGCATTGGTCCCAATTAGGTGCTATGTGCCGTCGAGGGGAGCCAGCCAGTGGTGGTTGCCCCAAGACAAAAATGGCCTCTCTAAAAAAAAACACAAAAAGGTCAGACAGTGTTGGATATCATGGATGGCAAGGTGCCAGATCCTTCAATTGCCAGAACATAGTTGACAACACTGCTAGAGCAAGGTGAGTATAGGCCCAAGTGATTTCCAGTATCAAGTATGACTATTCTGGTCAGGTAGTCATCCTTCATGGACTTAAGGTTGAGATTGACAATGGCCATGGGCCAAGTCATCTTCACCTTCTTGCGCCTACCAAACCGAATGAAGATGTATCACAAGGGCACATTCTTCCCATCTCCCATCCTGGAGCAGTAGAGACACAGAAAATCAGATTTTCCAATCTCCACAGTCTTGAGATTGTCTTTGAGCAGGAGATACTTGCTCGCACCAAAAGGGACAAAAGGTGCTGATCTCCACAGCTGGGGTGGGGAAAGGAATTGGTGCAATGATATGAGCTGGGTTGAGTACAGGCTTGGTATTCATGTCACCAGAGTCATCATGGACAGTGTCATTACCTGGAGAAGGACCACCAGTCAAATCTACCATACTAGATACTAGCAATGTTGAAGTCTCTAGGTCCAGCTCTTGATATGCTGCTGAAGATTGCACCAATGCTGGCCTTTTTGGGAAGTAATCATTAGCAGACTTGGAGGATCTTTTCTTTGCAGGCATGTTTCAGATGTATGGGTGAGTTGAATATATTGGAAAAAATAATAAAGTTTGGTATCTTTATTATTCGTGTTCTATATAGTGCTCCACCATTGTTTGAAGATCTGATTAACAATAACAAATGCAATTTGTCAGTCTAGTCCAGGCTCAACACCATAATCAAAACTCTGCCTTGGCATCTTAGGCCTGGAACTGCAAAAACAAATTAATCTTTGAAGTTTGAACAACATATGCCAGTGTTATATCCATGTAAAATAGACCTGATCTCAGGTCAGCGAACCCCATGTCCCCAGCATGAGTCTCCAGAGGGCACAGTGTCTAAAAGCTCTAAACCAACAGTTTGACCGCTGCCCAATTGTTCTTATGCAGACTTGTACACAATACATAGAGCCTTATGTATGTTACAAATGTGTGTGACAAATATTACCAAACTATGAAGTATCTAAACCTTAAACAATAAATTGATAACACAGGGAGCTGAGTAGTTCATTGCTTCTTTCTGTCCTTCATGTAGCAACACCCAGAAGAGTATGTGGTATGGTATGCCAATTGTTACAGTGATTTAGTCAAATTGTCTCTGCCCAAAAAAGCTGAGAAGTACTTCCCCAGGGCTGACTTGGGGAAGATTTTAGAACTGGCAACCATTGTGGACGGCAATGGTTAAATGTCTGGCCATTTATTTACACAACATCTTGTTCCCATCTCACATGGTGCATCAAATGAGCATCCCACTCATGTCTGGCATGTCAATACAATAGCCCCACTCAATGCCATTTTATTTTGGCGATTTTATTTTCTACAAGTGATTTACAAGTGACAGGCTGTGTGATTTTGAGAGAAATAAAATGTGTTCTAATTGAGGTTGACTATGTTATTTTATTTCTGAAGCACGGCAGCACTCGCTAAAATTAGAATATGCTGAGGAGGCACATTGAACGACACAGCTCGAAGGCTTGAAGTCCAACACTGACAGTCATGATGACACCTGCTCGACAAACTCATTTCTACACTGATTTGGCCTCTGGTTTTCGTCGGTTGCCTCAAAAATTGCACTTGAAATCACACCAAACCACCAAACTGTACTAGAAGGTGCGTTACAGATTGATCCTTTCAATGATGGATGTGTCCGTCCTTGCTCACTAATCTTATCCACCAGTCATGATCGTGTCAGGACTTGGCCTCCAGATTGAATTTCAAGCCACCAACAAAACTGGCAGACTCGGATGGTCACGAAATTGGCACCTTGGGCGGACCCACTTCATCAACTTCAAGTTGAATGTCTTTCAACATGGGAGATAACTTGGACTTGGGGTTCCCCACACCTGTCAACACACCATAGCGTATCACAGCAGTGATGACCGATACCTGTACACTCCTAATACTGTTGGGCACTTTGGTAATACCCACGTGCTGCTAAGTACTAAGTCCCAGACATTGTCACATCGGTCCTTTCTGACACAAGTCCGTGTAGATTCCAATCAGATGATAGTTGTTGAACAAAACACCTCTAATCTGCCCTACAATGAGGTCCAGGCATCATATGATCATATTTACCCTCAGCATGTTGACTTGGGGCCTCATTCAAATCCCCACAATTAACAGGTTGATCAATTGTCTTTTATTCACTCAAATACGCCGGCTACAGCACACCTTCAGTCCTATCACTTGGCTGACTCAGAGGGCCTCGCCCCCCCTCACCATAAGCACACAAATCAGTCATCACAAGTGACTTACATTAACTCAGGATCATCTTACACCGCCTCCCATGACCAGTACTACACCAACCAGGCACCAACTCATGTCAGCTCCAGTACATCAATCCCAGTGTCCACAACACCTTTCCCGGCCCTAACCAAGTCACATAATCCACTTATGCATGACTTAGCAGACTATCATTACTGTTTCGGCAACACATAATACCACATGAACCTGTCCTGCAACACCCAAGTCATTCACTCGATTGGACGTACGTAAGGCCAGTGACCAGTTTGAGGGGGGCCTCTAAACAGATTGGCTGAAATCATCATGATTTCAACCGCCTGTGCTACCACCGAACTTCCAGTCAACACACTCCATATACCACATCTGGTAGATCCTCTAATACTTCTCACAATGTTGAGCATGGTGAAGTCTCATATCACAGTGCGCTGCCTCCTGTGCTGAATGCTCTGAGTCAGCCTGCGGCCCTGGTTGTGCCACCTCACGTAACACCAATGCTGCCTCCTGGGCCAGATTCTCAGTCCACAGTCCTAATTCTGCCACCCGCACCCACAACACTGCCTCCTACTGTGCTGTCAGCATCAACTCAATTTGTGTTCTGCGGTCTTGAAGACCTTACAAAGGTCAAATATACAGCCTTACTTGAATGAAATGCCACATCTTCTCTAATTGTTTCTTTGCGGATGCGCCCACTGTCAAGGCATTGGCGCAAAAGTCCTTTGATGCTGCCACCTCAGGCAATGGTAAGTTTTGCAAACTTTTGCCTTAGGAACTATTACTAATGACATTGAGTGTAGCCGAGCTCTTGTCGCTCATTTCAGAGGTTCATATAGTGGGTGGGGTTTGGGATGCGTGGTGAGGCATGTGGTAGCTCAATAGCAGGTGTTCTGGAGAAGGAGCATGATAGGTAGGAGGTTGGAATGTACCTTGAGGATATCAGTGGCTGTGGACTGCATAGCACCAGTGATTGTAAGGGTCACAGTGCACTGGACGGTTGATAGGTGTTTTGCAACCCCGATAGACCCTCTCTGTAGGTTGGCTGTTCCCTCTTGGTATACTGGCGAGAACCAAAGGTCGGCAGCACAAATCATTTTGGGGATTGCAATGAACAAGAGGACTGTAAATGGTGAATGCCGAATATGAGGCTTAGTATTACATAAGTTTTGAAACCTTAAAACATAGCCACTTGAACTTTTGATACATACATTCTGAGTTTTGAGCTAGCGAACTCAAAAGGTATTGAACACATTAGTTAACTACAGAGAGGGGGGTTTTCTACTGTAGAACACACTTAGGTAGTTATCCAAATAAGAAATGTGCGTATAAGTGCGTTGCACACCAAATATCAATTTTTGAGTGTAATTTTCAGAACATGTGATCAAAACACGTGATATCAATATATGCACATCATACGTGCTGTCCTTCTTGATGTGTCTTGTGTTCCCTCTTTAACATAAATCAATACACTCATAGATTCCTTACAATGGCACATTCATACATTCACATCAACTTATGACATTTCCGACAACGATAGCAACTGGGACTCAGATACAAGTTCCAGTTCTCAGAACTCATATCAGACAGACTTAGACTTACAATCTCACTGTCATTCTCTTTCAATCGATTCCACCGACTCATCTGGACCTTGACACCCCTTGGACACCTTCCTTGAATCGGTAGTGACACTGGCAGATCTACCAGATCCCTATGAATTAGCCAGAACCCCTAACAACTCAGCCTCCATCTGGTCAGACAACCCGTTGCCAATCACCCCATTTGGACCCGGAACCAGAATATGATGAAGAAGACTTACTTTTATTAAATACCCCCGGTGCGCTCTATCAGCTATTTCTCAAGGACAAGCTTCAAGTCTGGATCAATTCCTCCAAGTGGTGGGAACTTTTATGTCCGGACTGCGCAGAGTGGTGTCAAACTGACATACACTCTGGTATCAATCTGTGGATACCCGCGCAATTTGCATCCCTCAGTAATCATCAGGGGGGTAAGAAATGCCAGCAGAGGGCGGCTCAAAAGAAGCCAAGTGCACCTCAGAAGGACAACAACGTGTTTGATGTCCCATCAACACATTGTTCGTTTATTACATCAAATCCCACAAGATAAATTTAATTTCGGTTCCATCTTATCACACATATGATCGATCGATCAAAAATTTAGAGCATTACCCTCTCCTCCTCCTCAGTGTAATTGCGCTGGACTTGTTGTAGTCTGGCCTGAAGACCTTTGCCCATTCGTCATGGTATTCCCTTGGAAACATTACCATGAAGGTGCGGACTCAGTCTCCTTCCTTGTCGACCTCACAAATCCCAGCAAACCCTGAATTCATTCTAAGTGCTGCAAGCTTACATCTCCTCTCAAGGATGTGCCATGTGATGAGTGTGCTGACATCTCTCAGCACATCAATCACCTCACGGACACTGCACAGAACCCCAAGTCACACACTAATTACTGCTTTCTGGGCCTTGCACATATGCAAGACCTCGCCAAAGGGTATGCTAATCAAACAAGGCTGTTGAGACTTCAGGTGAATTTTTTTATGTACTTCTACGTGTGCTAACTAGCTATATCTAGGGACCAACTGATTCGTGTAAATACATGCATGCGCTGACCCAACTGGACGACTACCAGCATCTTGTCATGGCGATCTCTGAGAACATCAGGAAAAACCCCTTTGTCTATATAGATCCATATAGCTCTATATAGACATTATAGACATTATAAATTCCATAGAAAGGTGCCTATTATTACAGACTATTACAGACTATACAGCTTGACTATAGAGGACCTTCTACTATATAGCTCTATAGAGATCCTTATTTTCCAACTATACTATAGGTGTTTTCTCTCATTATAGTGCTCAAGTACCAGGAAAATTGTTCAAAGCAGTAATATTTCAACTAAGAGCAGAAAGAGCAGGAGAGGAGAGGAGAAAGAGTAGGAGGAAGGGAGACAGCTAGCAAAATAGAGTTAGAAAAATAACAAGAGAAAGAAAAATAATAACCTTACCAAAAGGCAAAAAAACTCGAAATTTGATAGAGGGCCAGAGAGAAAGAGGAGCAGGAGAGAGAGAGAGAGGAGAGAGAGAGAGAGGAGAGAGAAGCAGAAGAGGGAGAGGGCCAGAGAAAAGCAAGAGCTGAAGCAGAGCAAGAGTGTCAGAGAAAAAACAAAAGAAAGAAGAATAGACTCACCAAAGGGAGAAGGAACCAACATCAAAGGCCCCACTACCAACACCACCAACCACCAACACCCAGGACTTGGCAGGAGAAATAAGAAGGAAGAGGTGCAACAAAAATAAGGAAAAGAGTGAAGAAAGAGAAGATGGTTGAGAGGACTTACACGGTAAAAGTCAACCGTGAAAATTTGTGCAGCGTCCTGCACAAATTCCCACAATAGTTAAGGCAACTCATTAGGGGAAAGACTTAGCAAAATTTTCGCACATTTGACTACTACCATTAGGATTTTGACAAGGAGTGACTATGGTAGACCTTATGAATTTTTTTGAAGAAAATAAAAGTTATAGCCCTTGTCAAGGGGAGTCTTTCCATAGTCTCGTGACATTTTGTGGTTGAGATCCTGTGGTTGAGATCCTAATGAGTTATGAGCAAAATACTACAAAGCACTTTGGTGTGTTCAAGAAAGTTCAGGCACACAAGTAATGTGACTGATGTGTGCTTATTAGGGACTAGGATTTTGATTAAGGACCATGACAAGGAATGACTAGGGTAGACCGTGGGAATCTTTCCGATGAAAATCAAAGTTGTAGCCCTTGTCAAGGGTAGTCTTTCCATAGCCCCATGTCATTTTTTAGTTAAGATTCTAATGAGTTATAAGCAAAATACTACGAAGTGGTGTGTTCAAGAAAGTTCAGGCACACAAATAGCATGGACTTCAGGGACCGTATTAGATTGTTGTAGTAAATTTTGGTTGAATAATCGGTCTAGTAAATATGCATATCAATCCTTATGGTAGTTTCAACATCTTTTCTTTTAAAAATTTGCTATATTGTTCTATTGGCTACTATAATAGCTATAATAGATCTTGTTGACAAAATGTCAAATGATATAGGTCTATAATTACTTGTTAAGTTATATAAAGTCAGGGTTCTCCCACATAACTCTATATAGCCAAAGGGTTTTTCCTGATGAAGGACATTCCTCGCCTTCAGCAGATCGTGAATGTTGCGCTATGCAATGGGGCCAGCATCCGGGAAATAGTCAACAAGCTTGAAGATGCACATGAGGACGCATATTGCCCACGAGGCTATGGGGCAAGTGACCTAGATATTGTGACCTTGGTTTTCTGGCTTGGTAGTAGTCAACTACTTTTCGCCCTCAACCATAGTCTTGGTCTCCCTTCCATATGCACTCTTCGCACCAGGTCCACCTTCACCAAACTCACACTGACCATTGGTCCCATCCGCAACAAACAACTTGATGAAATATTCATTCTGTTGTGCTCAAGTCTTGCACTAACATCACGACACCTCGTGGAGTGAGCCTAATGATAGATGAAATAGCCCTAGAAGAAATGGCGGTCCACTTCAGCAAGTACAACAAAGTTGTGGGCCTCTGCTGGAAACACTCCCGCCTTGTCAACCCTGTACTTCGTACTTACAAGTCTGCTGTCACCATCACACAGAAAATCCATGATAGCGAGGTGCACCTCGGAAAAGAACTTACTGTCATCGGAGTTGCGTGTTTTGGTGAGGACAAACTCTACCCTATTTTAGTGGCACCCAAATGCAAGATCGAAGGTGCTGGTGATATGGAAGGTGTTCCACAACCGGAGCAGCTACTGTTAGACCACTGTGGTCCTTTGCCAATGACAGTGATGCAACACAATGTGCCGCATGTCATAGACTCTTTCTCAAGACACCCTTGTCAACAAACTCGCAGCTATATGGTGTACTTAGTAACATGCCTGGCTTGAATACACTGACAGGTGATGGCAAGGTTACCCTCAACTTCGACTTCAAGCACATCTTTCAATGTATGTACCCTTTATCAATTAATTTTGAATTGTTCTAACCATACTTCAAGTCTGTGCACACTCATCCGCTCCCCCACAGGCATCGTGCTCAATAACGGTTGCGTAATTAACACCATGATGCTCTCAAGGTACCTTGTATGGTTACCCGCATATGACGAAGCTAGCATTATGAAGCTCCTCCACCCCAATGATCCGCAAGATGTCCCCCGGGCCATAGAACTCATGCAGACCATTGTTGACTTCTATAAGTCTTAGCACACTATTCTCAACAACTCATTCTCAACTGACATTGACACACATGCTGACTTGGTATCAATCACTCTTCTCAGCAACATCATCGAGTCTATCCTCGTCCCGTTCATCAATCCTAACCTCTCCCTCACCGAACAAGTTCACTACCTCAGCCGCTATGCCCACCTCACATTCACCATCTTCCGTGTTCACCAACATTCATTCATGCCATTCCAGCTATACTACAACACTCAGACAGCCATCAAGAACATCATATTCACAATCACAAAGCAGCAAGTTCTTGATCTGTACACATCATTCTTCCTTGGTAATTGCGGAGATGATCGCCTTGAACTCATGTTCGAGGCTGTTCATATGCCCAGGCCATTGATCGCCTAGGTGCTGCCAAGGACATAGATGGTGTTTTCAAGCAGATACTCGAACTCTGATCCTCGTCATCAGCATCTCAGCCTCAGCAAGTGGATTGTGCACATTGATCACATCAATTGACTGATGTGGAAGGGTGATATCATTAGCGGCCGCTGTGATCTTCCATCAGTGTGGCAACATGGGCATGAGATGGCAGTCACTATTCTGACTTCTTCTCAGATCAATCACATCAATTATTCTTACACTGAGCTCTCCTGTGATCCCAGAACAGATATGATATGTTACGTCCTATGGGTATGGATAAGTACTTCGGCATCACAGACGAGGAGCGGGAGGACTCCAGTTGAGTACCCAAGATCCTACCTACCATGCCTGTCCCTTTGCCATCACTATGGAAAGCCGGATGCGCGCTCCGTTACATGATGTGACATGCACCAAATGAGGCAATCACATGGTTAAGACACCGGACACCTCGAATGCAAGAAAATTTTATAGTGCCATACAGTCCAACGAGTACATTTCGCTGCAATCTAATGTTCTACAGAACTTCTACTTCATTGTCATTCACGTCCTTGTTATTCTCGTCATTCACTTCCTTTACAAATGCTTTCAGCCCAAAACCAGGCCATTCGCAGTACTTATTACAGGCATGCTGGGTTTTGAAATTGCTGACGGACTCTGCAATATTTCCATCGCCAAAAATATCAAGCTCATCGCTGACCGACCTATCTGAACATCAGCATGTCAAGGTATTGAGTATCCGAGCAACGTACAGATCAGTCATGATTTGAGGATCCGTGAGTAGTACTGTACTCCCTGAATACAATGTTTCATTCCAGCCGAGCATTGAGTGTATCAATGAGACGTACCCTGATAGTCGGATATGAACACAAGTTGGCCGGTCTTGACGTACTGGACATGCTGCGTGAAAGCAAAAAATTCTGCCATGTCATAGCCGTAGTCCAATTCATCGAGCAATGGATTGGCATCCATATTGTGGATGAACTTGAGAAACATATCATCACCACCCTCAATGAGCTCCTCGAGGAGGAAGGCAGCTCGCATTGACCCCGTCTTCGCTCCAGACTTGCTACCACCCTGACTGTAGCACAATGCAAGGCCGGCTTCCACAAATTGAACACGTGGGACCATGAATGGCGGGGGTTTGGGTGAAGATGCGATGGAACGATCAATAAAGTCGTACGTGAGCTGTAACAAAGATTTGGACCAATATAAGACGTTGGCTTCCCTGAATAGCTTGGGTAGCTCGTCAGCGAGTGCAAACCAGCCGACTTTATAAGGTCCAGCCTTCATAGCAGTTGGAAATACTTTATAGAACGGACGTTTGACCACAACCTTATGATGAGGGACTGATCCGAGACTGGTCCTGGGAGAAGCTGTGAGTGTGAGCCATCCGGCATGCGCGGTCTTGAAGCCCCCGATTCCAATGAAGCCTTCCGTCGATGTATCAATAGTGAGCTGTCCAATGGATGACTTGGCTGTGTCCACCGAAAACGAATGATATTGTGCGTTTTGCAAGAGATCGGTAATGGCACGGGTAGGGATGTGGCGGAATTGAATGTTTTCGTTCTGTAGTCCAAAAACTGTAAAATAATAGTAAGCGCTCGCCACTGACACAATTTGAGAAATTGATGAATGTATGTACCTTTCTTGACATTTAAGTTGGCACTTCCTGCGATCTTCAAGACTTCTTTCAGTCGATCCCGATCCGGTGAACAGAGAGCTGCAGGAGGGATGTTCTTCTTTCGAGGCAGAGAGGAAGTATCACTGAGACCACGCTGGTGGGTTCTCTTGGTAGAGACCGTCACAGAATTGTTGGTGGTCGTAGAGGGTAAGAAAAGTGCATTAAGCTCATTCTCAGCGAGTGAAGTTGTTGCTGACTCGGATGAGGGAACATTGCGGCTGACGGCTGTGTCAGCAGCGGCATGTTCACTAGACTGGCTCGTTCGGGTAGCTTTTGCTTGCTGGACAGCAAAATAATGGTTAGTAGTAAGCAGACAACTTGAAGACAAAATGCATACCATTTCAGCACGAAGTTCCAGCCAATTTTCATATTCACTCCACTGAACCTCTGGGACAACAACCATCAGTGCGAATTGTTTAGACTTGAAAATTGATTTGTTGCCTTTGCGAGATGGTTGTAGGCATTGGTCGTAGAAATAAGGAACTGATCGTGGGTGACCGGATAGGTCCACCCATGCGGCATCCCGGATTACGAACTCCTCGACACACCAGATAAATTCTCTGCCAAATTTGTGTAACTTTGGGATGACAGTCTCCAATGCTAGCTTAATGAGCCTAGGCGCATCAATTTGCGCATCAATGTCCTTCTTACCTTCACATATATTCTAAGGAGAAGTGTAAGCAAGCCACAGTATATTTAACATGTAGACATACTCCGATAGTAACTCCACATTTTTTGCGAGCTCCAGCACCTTCATGAACTGCCGTAATTTCGAGCATAATGGTCTCTGCTAGAGACGAAGAATACACAATTTTACCCCAGCGGTCACGCTCAGCAGCGTAGAGGGCATGTTGCGATGAATACCCGATGGCACCCATAAATGGAGTTACCGACGATGAACCTTGCCATGACGTTGGAATTCTGACATCTGGCCCTCTAGCGTGAGAGCTGCCAGGTACGGCAACTACAGGAGGCAGATTAGGTGTAGCTGTTGTGATATAAATAAATTATGAACCTCCATGGTGTTACACTGTAAGCGTAGACTCAGGTAAGAGCTCTGTACTAAGTCTCTACGTGAGACGAAGATAATGCAGAGGTTCGTTATCGTTTATCGTTGGGTCAAAGCTTGGTGACGAGAGTCGGCAAGCGAAGACAAGACTAATGGTATCGATCAAGTATAGGCACTTAAGACGAAGAGTCTTTTAGTGAAATCGTATACGAGAGCTGTCTTGCTCAAGGAAGGTCTATCAGAAGACTGAGTAGATTCAAGTTAGAGAATACAAGACAAGACGATCGACTACTTATAGGTAAAGGTTAGTTCAGGGCAAGACTACCAAGGCAATGGTAAGGGTACAGGGTACAAGATAAGAGATATGAGATAAGACGGCGATCAAGGATGCTGTACAAGAAGGTGATAAGACGTCATATGGCAGTACATGATAGGAGAAAAAGATAGGAGGGTCCGGTCCGTAGTATGTTATCGTAACATATGGTAACACAAATCTGGGGCTTACATTTATGTTGCGCAGCATTGACAGACTGCTGTATAGTACATGGATCGGGAGGGATGCGGTATTGCGAGGTTCGGCCACCAGTAGGTCTCACAGAAGTGGCTCGTTTCTTCCCGTAATGCGTGTGGCGGGATGCACACACATAACGCCTGCGTTGACCTGGCTTGATTGTCGCAATGTAGAAACATGGCTCTCCGGTCCTGATAGTAGCCTGGCAAGACGGACAGTCGCAGATTCGGTCTGCTTTAGCATAGGCATCTTCAGTATACTGGGTGAGAAGTTCATAGTCTAACATAGCACTCTGAAGGCAGCATGCTAAGTGGATGCCAGACTTAAATATTGATTGCGGCATGTTCAAATAAGTGTGGTGCCGCGGATGGCATATGACCTGCGCACCTCTTGCAGCATTCCAATAGCCTCAAGTCCATCTCACAAAGTCGGATGGCATATGACCAGCGCACCTCACAGACTTTGCAACTTGGTGTGGTGTGTTGATGAGATTCCTCTCCGACCTATGAGAGATACTCCAATAAGAAATACATAGCTCAGAATTGATTGAAAGACTGACCAGATGAGGCCTTGTTCACACATGTGAGATGATAGGAAAATTGTCACCGATTTCTCGGGGTCACTCAAGAACATGAGGAGCTTCTCCTTGCGCTGTTTGCCTGCAGATTACCTTCATTGAGTCGGATGGCATATGACCGACACTTGGCACAAGAACACGAGGAGCTTCTCCTTGCACTGTTTGCCTGCAGATTACCTTCATTGAGTCGGATGGCATATGACCGACACTTGGCATATGACCAGTATGGGAGTGATAAACTTCTGTTGAGTTGAGTTCGAGTGAATATGCCGTGGATCTGGTAAAGAGAATATGTCGATTGGGCGTTTAGAGATAAGGAGACTGTGCCATGACTGGTAAAGTGAGGCACAAGTGGGGCATGAGTGGTGAAGCCTAAATGTTTGGGGCAAGTCCGGGCATGAATTGCCATGTGGCCACGGCATGAACTCCTAGACTACTGAAGTGGTAAGTCCAACGCAAGTTACTACTAATATAAAGGTGACGACACAAGCCTAGCAGTAAGCATGCCGCAATGCCCAACCAGAATAAACCCACATGTACGTACCTTTCAAGTCACTCCCACTAACTTCATTCTGAACTCGAAGTAGCGCCGCTGGACGAAATTGCACCTCATATCCTTCGCCTTTGGAAGGCCCGCCAGAATGATCAGCAGATCGTTCAGGAATTACAAAAGCACATCGACACTATGCACTACGGTATCGGGTGAGCAGTGTTTAAACAGGGTCACATGGTTGAAACCATTCGTGATGCGATGCTTGCCCTACGTGATACCTATCCAAATGCTGGAGCCCGCGAGATGGTGAGCTTGCTATATCACAAAAGAGAAATGAGTGTTGCTAGGTAATACATTTATCTATACATTGTAAGCGCTGATTGCTGACCCATAAGTTTTGTACCTTAGGAGGGTTGTGACAGAGTACTTTGCTTTGTATGAACTGGAACTTGTGCGTCAGCACAAAGCTTGTCGCCTTCGAAGGAGACGCTTCTGGGCAGCAGGCGTGAACAATTTATTCGCCGTCAATCAGCACGACAAGTGGCTTCGATTTGGCCTCGGGTTGCACACTGGCATCGAGCCTTTCTCAGGTCGCATAATGTGGATTCGGGTCTGGCACTCCAACCAAAATCCGCAACTCATTCTGAGTTACTACCTCGACACAATTGAGGCTCTCGGTCGTAAGTGTTTTGTATTTTAAAGCATGAACCTAGATTGATACAAATGTTAGATATGCCAATGGTCACTCAAAGTGACCCTGGGTCAGAAAATTACGGAATCGCAAACGCCCATACCATGCTGTGACAGTGGCATGATGAAGCTTTGCATGGTATGCTCCAGCACCGCTGGATGCGAAGTAAGAAAAATGTCATGCCGGAGATTGCGTGGTCTCAACTGCGCCGCCGGTTCACACCTGGATTCGAGAATCTTCTCGATTATGGTGTTAATTCTGGTTGGTATGATTCCAGTAATACCCGAGAATTGTGCGTCATTTTCCTTTTCTTTAAGTGTTAGTCTTAATGTTTGTCTGCAGGATGGTTTTCCGCTGGGTTTTCATACCATGGCTTCAGCAGGAGCTGGATGCATATTGGGAACATGTTAACCACACCGCCATCTTTTGCATTGACGTGCTATCTAGATTCTTCCTCATGGAGTACCTAATCTCATCTACCATTCAGCTGAAGATTTTGGCGCTTTGGATTTCAAGGTATGTGTTACACCAATTCTGCCATTGTCAACAGTACTCTAATCTCAACACTATCATAGATTAAAATTGAACCCGAGGCCCTCAATTATGTCCGAAACCTTTACATCAAGTCTTCTCACATTGTATTCGACCTGGTGCCAGAGGCTTTTGGCAAATGCATCCAGCATTGTTATGACGATCTCAGTCGCCCGGTTGTCACACGGCAAACAGCCTGGAACACATATCGGCTTTTATTAGATGCACTCCGCACGGCTGACGAGTTACCACAGCATATTCAGCTGCTGGATGATGAAGTCGAAGATTTTGTTCCACTTTTAGATGACTATCGAGACTTACCTTCTTGTGAGGAGCCCAATGGCGCCTATTACATGGGCGGTGTGGGCGGAGGGCTTGGCCTTGGTTCATTGTCTCCAATCACAACAGTGCAAATGCTGATATTTGCTAGATACTGAACACCTTCATCAGCTAGATGTTCTTTCATCTAATGATGAGCCTGACATTACCCTCGGGACTGACGAAAACTTGGTCGGTCTTGATCACGCTGGTTTGGTAGTTTGGGAGTTCTCAGACTGTGAAAGTGATGATGAAATAGTAGATGAATGGTGATTTTCTTTCCTTGTCGTACCCTTTGCTATGATTACAGATCACGAATGTTTTGGTTGATTGGATTGGGTGATCACATGACGTGAAGGTGGCTGTGCCTTGGAACCATACACCAAAATCGAGGAGGTTTCGACATTCGCCCGATAACAAATGTAAGACCAAATATAGTAAACTGGAGTTGTGTACATCGATACGCACACATTGATGTCAAGCCATCAAAAAGCATTGCGATGTGATTGTCCGATCAAAACGTCGTACTGGTACGAAACTTCAACAAGTACAAAGAGAGAATTATGTGAGTCAGGGACCGGCGCTCGCGCCGCTATAGTATATTTAGTATTCTTGGATGGCGGTATGCGGAGTCCTACTGCCCGTTATGGATGTGTGACACTTATTAATGAGCGCGCGTGTCCAGCTTTCCATAATCACAGGTCTTGGAGACTGTGTTGCCGTTGTTGGCAGGTGACAGGAGTAGTGAGCTTCAGGGGATGATTTTGATATATTGAATGCTCACCTTTTGTCAAACATGCGACCGAACTGGAATGCGGCTGAATGGCTTGATGCACCTGTTATTGTGCTTAATTTGTATAACATCAAAACTTACCGACTTAAAACAAGGCAAACATGATTGATGACAAAACTCATGTCAAAGGTGTTTTCGCCTTGGGACAACCAACGCAGGCCACTGAAATGATGTATGTCACATTTGGAAACCAGATCGCTACTTTGGACGACATTATCCAAAGCAGTTAATATAAAAGAGTGGACTGCGCATGCTGGAACTGACCAAACGGGTGCACCAGAGTTTATCATAGTCAACACAGAACAGTTGTATTCTGTAAGCATCAATCAATAAACGGAAAAAAAATGACTAAGGATTCCCAAGGTACCAAAGGCCGCACAGCAAGCAATGCAAGGAAAGTGACTGAGGGTTACCAAGAAAGCCCTCGCTGGCATTGGTGAACGTTCGGAAAGCAAGCCTGTCGAGGGAACATCACCTACTGATGGAAGCGCTAAAGACAGTGGCAGTGAGGCTGCGATCACGACAAACACATTCTACGAATCATCCATCCTTCCGGATTACAGAGGTGACTTGTTTCAGCATGTCAATGCGAAACTCAGGCAGCTAGACATCAGTAAACTGATTGTGCCTGCAGATTGGTATTCGAGCCTCAGATGTGGTACTCTTGTCATGATCAGGGCAACTTTACACACCTTCAATTGGAAGGAACACAGGGTAAGTTTCTCCGCTTCACTACAAGAAAGCCATATTAGTTAAACAACCACTTAGGTGTATCAGCTAAATGCGCATACCATCTGTGTAATGGATCCCTCTGAGTTGGAGATAGAGCCGTTAAGCTCCCAACCCAACAGATTTGATTATGGCGTGAACACGTCATCCTCAAAATCACGTGCATCAGACACCATGGCGGGAGTCCAGTTGAAAAAGAGGAGTAGGGAGGATTAAATAACAGAGGACATCTGAAGTGTATGATTAAACTGACTGGGATAGGGCGCTGTATAAAGAACTGCATGAATCAAAAATTTCGGAATGAACATGAAGTATAGGGGTACACACTTGTATTGCTATGAAAAGCATGGGCAGCACACGCCTGGACAAGCAGCATTGTTTCTGGCAAGAAGGGACCAATATGAACCCAAAGGAAAACACCATAAATGATGAAACTGCCCCAACAGGGGACAAAGACTGGATTAAATCACCGCCATCGGCAGGTTCATCATGGTTTATATCATTATAAAGAATGCATGAAGTTTCTAGAACAGCAGAAGAAGATAAGTGGAGTCATGAAAAGATACGACAAGACACAATGACCTCGAGAACCAGATGAGCATCTGAAACTCAATGGGCAGCGAAAAGATACGACAAGACACAATAACCTCGATAACCAGATGAGTATCTCAAACTCAATGTTGGTTGTGAGCGAATGGCCATCATAAGAGGCTGTGAGAATTTCAATTGCTGTGTTGATCAAACAACCTAGGCCTGAGGCCTGAAGACGGTCAATGTCTGAGTTTGAAATTGGTTGACGGAATTGCCCCTGATAGCATCCTCGTCTTCATCACACCCACATGACTTCATTTATTGGCCGTGTTCTTGTATCTGTTGAGTTTGACTCAACATCACAATGTTCTCTCGTTTCTTCTTCAGTTGCTCGTTCGCTTGGCCACTTGGGCTCTGGATTTTGTGTTGAGTTCAAACATGGTGTATTTGAACTGAAGGCAGAACACAAACCACGTTCATCATACAAGATATCATGCAATAGATTGCCATACAATTCGACATCAGGATTAGAACCCGATTCTGTCTCCAAATCAAATCTGCCAGCCATCCATGCTAGATCAATGATTCGACCTTTATGAGTACAGAGGTCAGGACGCTTCAAACGAGTAAGGTCTATCTCATTCAAGGACAAACTGATCCCAAAATCCTTCAAAGGAGTCACAATGTGTTCCCCAGTCATTCCCCGTTTTTCCAGCCCGATCTCCAAGCCCGTCTCTCAAAAAGCCTCCAAACTTACCTTCTGCTCCAAAACGGTCAAATCCTTAATCTGTTTCTTTAACAAAGACACAGCGCAAGTTGATTGACGACCAGTTACGGCTGCTGGACTCTCAGCTACATGTGGACTAGATAAAGCTTTGCGGTCCAAGTTGTTCAAGTCTTCAATAAGCTTAGATCTTATATTTCATCTTCATTACCCTTCCAACGCTAACATGCCCTGGATCACTAAGATGGTGCGTATTGTGTCTTTTGAAGTTTTATATTTACTTTACACTCCTCCTACATTACAATAGGGAAAGATAAACATTGTCGTCCTTCATGACGAAGACACGATGCATATTGACGAAGACGAACCCCGAGACACTAATACAGTGAGTGTCATTTGTCGTGCGATGCATTATATTGACACTGTCCTTCTACGCTGTCACAGGGACAGATGGACGCCGTCGGGCTCACTGACGAAGACGTGATGGATATCAACAAAGACGAACAGCAGGTCACTAACATGGTGCGTATCACATGTCCTACAGTGTTTAATATTTACGCTACACTTATTTTGTCACACTACTATAGGAAGAGATCAACACCGTTGAAGACACGATGGATGTTGATGAAGACGAGCCCCGTATTACTAACACAGTGAGTAGTACTATTGTATGTCTTGTGGTGCTTCATACTGATACTACGCTCTTCTCATGGTGAGACTCGGAGATGGACGTTGTTGCGGTTGATGATGACGCTGTGATGGATATTGATGAGGAATGATTAGATTCCGGTATGTATTGCAATGTGTTCTGTGACACTCTATTCACGCTATGTTCACCCTTCTTTTACTAACATAGGGAGACACAGATTCTGATTAAATAATGTACTACTACTAGCACTATCATGATATCTCAAACCACTGTGCAAGCCATTTTCACATCCCCTATTTGACCGACTTTTCTAAGTTTGAATTCGCGGCGATGCTACCAAGCCATAAGGCCACAGTGTTTTAGAACATTTGAATAATTCGGTTTTCAAGGGGTAAAAGGAATTTTTCCAGGGCTCCCACAAAACCAAATTATGATAAACACGAGGGATAGGACTCATAACAATGGTGATAGCGAGGTAAGCAAAAAAAAGGATACATCATTCAATCAGCACGTTCAAATAATTTGGTTTTTGTGAAGAAAATGGATTCTTCCAAGACTCCCCGAAAGCCCTATTGAAATGAACGCGGTGTTTTGACACCACGATGACAAGCTTCATAGCAATGGTGATGATGAGGGGAAAAAATGACGGTGTTTCTGTACGAACTAAATCACTGACTGCCTTTTATTTACAGCTGATAAAAGAATATATCCATCGTTAGAATTGAATGCTCACGACAAAGCTATCAAGAAGTACAGATACAAGGTGGTGAAGAGAATGTAAGGGTGTTTCTAACATGTTCAATATTGTTGACACACACAACATCCGAAGCAATAAGAAAAAAGAATGACAACGCACATATTCAATGACAGAATCATTCTTCTCGGCACGACTTGTGGACTCTTCAATTACTACAATTCAAGACCGCTTTTTCTGCGGATTAAATGTATTCACATGAATGACGCGACAATGTTTAAAATCAGTCACTTATGTACACAGAGACCACTGTGGGTCGCACCTCCAAAGCGTCTAAAACACTGTGGCCTTATGGGTTGCCTGTAATAGTCTATCCTATGTCCACAGCATCCTGGAAACTGTGGTCATGTGGTTTGACTGTAATAGGTGACTTCGTCAATATTCCATGCAACTGAAGGCGACGATTCGACCACATCATCATAATGGACGTTGACCCACAGCACTACAATAACCACATCAAAGGTGGACTTTAGGACAATGTTATTCAACAGCTGATGGCGCTCCCCAAGGGGATGTCATTAGGAGAGGGTACCTATAAAGATGACTTTGTGAAGGACAGCAATGTCCACACCGGGAACTTCGCATACAAATGCAAAGACAATGGATCAGAATATGAGACTGTACTCTGGGACTATTATTCCTACAGTCGGTTCCATGGGAGGGTTATCAGAGCTCGGTGTATCAGCTAAACATGCATACCATCCGCGTAATGGATCCCTCTAAGTTGGAGATAGAGCCGTTCAGCTCCTGACCCAATGGGTTTGATTATAATTTTTGATTAGTAATTTTTGACTTAATTCATTTCGGCAATTGATAAAAAAAAATTATGAACCTGAGTCTTCTAGTGCAGATAGAAGGACAAAGTAGTTGATGAGTCCTCTCTGGCAATCAAGTTCTGCACCACCTTTGACTGCTTTTAGCAATAACTAGACAATTTTCTTGTCCTCATTGTTACAGTAACATGGCCCCCTATCTTTTTCTCACCCTTTCACTCTGTCACACCATCACAACCATCACCTCTTCACGATTCACCATGATGCTAGATGCACACTTCCTGATCCCTGCCGACCCTGACCTTCTGTGACAAGAAGCTAGATGCTTCCTTTGAACCCTTGATCTTCTGCCTCATGACCTGTACTCCTATTTCCCTTGATCTTCTCAAGAACCCTTGTCCCTGACCTCATGGTCATATACCCTCGACCCCACCTTCCTGATATACCTATCTTTAGTTCCCTGACCTGCCCTGAACACTGTTCCTATTCCCCTATATATAGTTGACTCCATTGTACTGTATTTCCCTAACTTGAATCTACTGGGTTTTACCTGAACGATTACCTGATCTCCTCGACTTGATTACGAACTGCTATACTCTTGGATCGCTATCCTTGAGTCGATATTACCTTTGATTCTCTTAGACTATTCGTCTTTGAGCCGATACCGATCTCTCGCCTAGACTTCGCAGTCAACAGTGAAACCCTTCTTCGGCTTCACCTTAGAAGCTTACCTATCCTTCCGTCATAACCCGACGGCTCAGGCTACCAGGTATATTGACATTCCGACTCCTGATTGATAACTTAGAGGACGTATTCTCTTCGTTAACCATCCCAGTTCGAAACGCGACTTCTGTCGTAACACTCATCTGTTTAATTAGGTCATGCCTGTAGGTGAATTACTAGAAACTGTGTCCCACCAGCTCCTGGATTAAGATACTCCTCCATGAGTGTCCTCTCAACTTCACCACCTCCATGTCCATTGTGGTTAGCCTTGCTGAGAACACCAATGGCTTGCTCATATGGAAACACCCACCGGCATATGCCGGACCATAGGTATTAATATACTTGAGCGTATGGCTGGAAAAATGAAAGTTCAGTGTGAGTTGGCAGTTCATCGCAGCCCATGATTGTGATGCCTCCAACATGAAATCTGAGGCACAAGTTGTCTCTTGAGGTATGATGGATAAAGAGGTAAAAATTTGTGTTGCAGTACAGTAGTGCATCACATTTTGACAGTGAATGTGATAGTTGCAGCTTGTCAATGTCTTCAAGAGCAATGTAATCATCACTCTGTGCATCCTCATCATGAGCAAGGTTTTTGATGCGGCTCTTGTACAGTATCTCTTTCAATTTAATGACAGCTTGGTGGAGGAGGTGCATCTTCATCCTGTTGACATGTCCACATCTGCCAAGCAAATGCAAATGCAACTGGATAAACTTACATGAAATTGTGCCATTCATCTGCTTTTGAATGCTCTCCTCCACTAGCAATCTTGCTGTTATAATTTAGCATAATCAGTTGAAATTTTGAAGCTCATATCAAGCTTACCTTAATTTGAAACTATCCAGGATTGTTCAGCTATCAAGACATTTTCCGAAACTTAGTTAGGTGATCCATGGGCATGATTTCTCACCATTTTCTGGTCCCTTGTGAATATGGAAGCTTCAATGAGAATGAGCCTATTAATCTGACCAGAGGCACCTGTAAGAAAGTTTCGACCACACTTGTAACCATCCAGAAGGTGTCGGAACACACCTGGACCTATTAAGACTGTACTCAAAGGACTGATCCAAAGAGCTTGGCTTTAGCTTATGCGCTGCACCCCTTATCTGAATACATGCTCTTAATTTCCAAGGAGGAAAAAAAGCCCAACCTAAGCTTAGGGTAGCTTGTGTCGACTTTTTCTCGCCATCCAATTCAAACTCAAGAGTTACTGAATCCCCAAAGGCATGATCTGTCATTAACATGGTGCAGATCTGACCAGGCAGATCTGGTGTGTGAAGGCAAATGGTGTCTCCAGCTTGCGAAGAGAGCTTGGAGAACGTAACCTCGCCCTTTTGGGTAAGGGGAATATCCTATCCAGCTTGGTGGTGAAGCTGGATGTCGTTAGGATGAGGAACAATGATTGTTGAGTATTGGTGGAAAGTTTTCTTCAGGAGGCTGCAGTAATACTCCTTGCCCTTGTATTTCTGGCCGACAACTTCTCAATTATGGGTGATATCGGTTGGTGATATGCTGGGTGGGAGGTGGGAAAGATCAAACAGGGCAACAGACCCCTTGGGCATATTGCAAGCGACATCCCTTGGAGGAATGAGCACCATTGTATTAGAAGGGTTTGGCCAGGGGCTTGTCTAGGGGTCTGCCAGGGGTCTTGCCTGGGCCTCAAGGCACCATATAGTTAGATATATAGCGCATGTCAGTAGAGTAGATCCTCACCTATTCCTGCATCCATTCTCACTTGCTTGGTCTGAGTCCCATGGCTTGTCCCCCATGGCCCACTCCACTATTATAAAGTTGTTGCTCTACTCAGAGGAAAACAAGTAGCTGATAGCATCCCTATACTTACCCTGTTTGACCCTGAGCCAGCAGGGGTAAGGAAATTGCAGGCTGAGCGTGTTGACAGTGTTCAGGGGCTATTAGATGTGATATACAGGTGAGAGGGCACCCATGGTGATGTCACGATTGATAAACCCTTCTTCTCCATTTTCTTGGCAAGATATTGCCTTGCAGGTACTGCAATACATTGAGCTTTGTGAATATGTAGATAAAATTAAAACTTACCATTGACCGTGAATAAGTACATCCGTTTTCTGAGAATGTAGGGAGGACAGGGAGCAGATGTACTGCCTCTGCTGTTTGCATTGACCTCAATCCTTGCAATTGCTTCAGAGAGGTCATGCTTGTAAGCTGGCAGATGTGTCATCATCACAGCTTCATACTGTCAATGCTCAATGTCACCATCTTCTTCTTCTTCCTCCTCATCATCCAGTTTGTCGTCCTTGTCATCTTGCTGTGCCTCAAGATCCATAAATAGATTCTCAGCCTAGATAGGATTAGTGATGAATCTATGATAAAAATCAAATACTTACTTTGTGTGATGGACGAGCTTGCAATTTCAAAGTTGTGCTAAACTGGCAATAGATAGTTGGTCATTGCCATCACCTGAGAACAACACAAACCTAGCATCAATCAGTCCACTCATTCAAGAAATGACGACTATTAAGGTAGGTGTGGAATTTGTCTTCCATGGTGCCATATGTTAAATCTGTCATAAGGAAGCACTCCAAGACTGACTAAGCAATGGGATCATGCAAGGCAGGCACATCTTGGATAATGGGGTCGGAGAAGGCGTGATGTGCTGGCCTGTGGGACATCTTCTTTGTCCTCCAGCACTATGACCTTGTTGTCAATGCCCTGTTCTGTAACAATATCTGAAGTCTGATAGTTCAAATTAGTATTTTGATATAGATTAGATTAAGAAAATATACTGTAGATGTGCCGTCCATCAAGTACTTTGATAAAACAACACAAAGTAGTGGTCGCTTTTGATCAGTCTTCTGTGATGAAAGAATCACCTAGGTAATTGTTCACCTTGGTGAGTGTATCACCAAAGCTGGACACTTTGGAGGTCAAAAATTCTCAAAGATGTCCCATACCTGACAATCTGTCAAGGGCAATAAGGGCAACACTGTATTAATATTAGTATGAGCATAACACTAAGGATTTGGAGGACTTACACTGTTCCTTTGCGCGTTTAGCACTTGGCTCCTCCTGGGATATGGAGGCAGCACATTTTGGCATTCCTAGATAGATACTTTGTAAGGTGCATCAATTCTAATTATCTTGTATATAGCAAATATAATTGTACCATATCTATTTTTAAAACATATAGGTGGGGGTGGACGTGAAAAAGAAGTCATTGTGAGAAGCCACAGCTAATATAGGCATGACCAAGGCCATTTGAAACCCGGTTGGGAACCACCAGTGAACTGTGGCTGACAGTTAGTGCCAGCAGACTTTGAAAAAATGTGGTGTTCCCTACATTACAGGCAACTGCATGTCATGCATCTTCTTTTTGAACCATGACATCAATTAAGCATGCACATAGACTTTACCATAGACTCTACCATAGTATATAGAGGTATGTACTCAATGTTCAACTACAGCAAGTATAGAATGCTCATTGTGTATGTTAATATATAAATTGATGAGGCCAGACAGCATTCACTTGAAACACCTCGGCTTGTTGAGCGTGTCACGTACAATAGTAAGTATGTTGTGAATTGATAATATTAATATCACCGACTATCTATATATATCCCACCAGTTGATTTAAATCTCCCCCACTTCCCACACCATGTGTGTCGACAACAACTGTCATATCCCGCGTTCCTGAACCCTATCTCCGATTTAATCTAACAGCCGGTTCTTCGGGCCCGTCCCTTATCTTGATTGTGCTTCTTACCCCATTAGTATTTTCCCTTTGTCTAAACCCCTATATGCCGGATCCGCTTGACAGTTAATGTCCGGTTACATTCTAGATCATAACCCCTAGGCCCGGATTCACTCAATCCTTCATCTCCATTCCATTCCTCAATCGTTCCTGTAGTATTTTCCTTATGCCTGTCAGTTTAGCCTTTCCATATGTTCCTCCCTTTGACCCGGATCTCCGCTGTTTTCCGTCCCCGTCACATATGTCCATAATATATAATACCTTGTACATCCGTAGTAGTTTCCCGATGTAGGAGACGATCTGGCTGCAGCCCCGTACAGCACCATTTCCCCTTACTGGACGAAGTCACGCATACCTTCCACAGGCCGTTGCAGACCATCACATGAGGTTGCGGAATCCATGCACTCATCGCATCGCATCGCATCGCATCACATCGCACTATCCATCCATGTCCTGTCTGCATCCGTCCGTCCTCACTGGACCAGTTACATATCAGTTCCCATGCACGAGGTCGCATAAGTGCTACTTACATATTATCTCCCTCCGACTTCGCGTACATATGCATTCGCTTATACAGTTCCGGTTTCTTACGGACTCTGTTATATACTACGTTGCGGACTGGTATCCATCACTTTCCTACATTCCCTCTCTGGTTGTGTGTTGCGGAGTCACTAGCTTAGTCTTACCTTGTCCTTCCTTGCTTGAGCAATCACTTGTTTGCCTTCTCATCCCGTGCGAACGCTCGCATCGCCATTGACAGCTTGACTATTGCTAGTCCTAGTTGAGTTCCTTGCAAGGCGGTTTCTGCACGTCTTCGCATATACCTGGTACCTAGTTCGCTCTACCCGATTACCTGTTCCGATACCTGGTACCCTACCCGTTTCACATACCTGGTACCCTCTAGACATTCACTCGTTTCTCCGCATCCGCATACCTCGCATCTCCGCATCTGCATACCTCGCATCTCCGCATCTGCATACCTCACATCTCCACGCACCTTGCATCTCCGCGCATTCTCGCATCTCCGCATCTCCTTACATACACAGCCGTTCTGTCTTCAGCGCATCACTTCCTTCTTCACTGTTCCCCTCGCTCATACTTGAGGAACTGCTCTCAGAGCTATCCCCTTGGGTCGACTACTATTCTCGCACCCAGCAGGATCGGTACGCTATCACTATAGCGGACTTCTACGATTTCTCCCACACCGAGTTCGAATATCATCTTAGACTCTGCCTATTCTATCCTCCGTCCCTCTCCGTGTCTAAGGGATTGATTCCCCATACGACTATACCTCCGGCTCTACCCTCAGGTAGTCTACCTCCATTAGTTTCTACTGTAGATCCGTCTACTGTAGTCCACCTCTATTTCTCTGACACCCGGACTAAGCTAAACCCGCTGGTCCGGACCCCATAATTCTACGTCCAAAGTTAAGGGCAAATACTTGGGTAAGGGGCGCAGCACACGAGATGAAGCCAAGCCCTCCGGATCCGCCTTTCAAGCATGGTCTTAACAACAACAACTGTTCTCTCAGCTCATTGTCTGAGTTATCAGAACTTTCTTCGGATGACTCCTTCAATGACATCATGACCGATGGCAGGCTCATATCCCAAGCAGCCTCTACCATCAAAGGTGATGACAGGATCAGCCCTTACAATGTGACCACAGTCCCGTATCCTGAGACTAACCTTCTGTAGCCCAGCACTTGCCAATGCAGGCCTGGAAAATGTAAGTCTTGCAAACGCACTTTATGAAAATGCAAGCAGCACCAGCACTTGTTTCAATCATGACTTGCAGTACTGGGTGGACAACGCGCTGGTCTATAGACTTCTGGGAGTCAACCTTAAGAAGTTGCAAAGTCAAACGAAGAATGTGCCAAAAGATAACATGCAGGCACAGGCAATCATTGAATAGATGCAGTTATGGAAGAGTGACAGAGTGTCAGGGGTTTTTGAAGATGAATTGGGGAATACACTGGTCACATACTTTGGAAGGTGAGTTAAGGCTAAGATAAAGGTGAGTTGATATTAGGCTGTCTTCATTTGTTGTGCTGACAGGTGAACAGACTGATAGAATGTCCGTTGATCCTGAACACTACAATCTAGGGCCTAAGGCGCCTTCTGCACTGGGGCAATAGCTAGCATGCTTGGACAAGGTGGAGTGTGAGGGGAAAAGGTATACTCAGATAGACTCAAGGTATGTATTTTGTATGTAGCCTACTTTTAATCTATATAAGGTGCAGGTAGCTACACAGCTGCTGGTGCACTATATCTGCATGGAACCATGTCAAGCTAGATGGTTGCCATGATAAAGGCAACTTTTTGATGAAGTACACCAAGGATGGTGGTCTGCCCACTGAATCTGAAGACCGTCAGAGCTATATGCTGGGAGGAATAGAGTACATGTACCAAGATGATACATTTACCTCGGAGGCTACCAGTGTTTTACACCTAGTACATGGCTGGCCAGACCAAGCACATAATGTGACCAAGGTAAGCACTGTTAGTCTGTTCTGAATTCAACTCATGTTTATGACAGCACAGGATTCACCCATCCAAATATGCTATCTAGACCCCAAGGGGCACCCCACATTCAGGCATACTTCAACGCCACAGCGACATTGGCCTTGTGGTTGGGTGCAATGTTTCACAAGTCTTTTCCAGACTTTTACTGGAAGTACAAGAAGGTGTGTGATGCAGGAAAGTGGACAGTAGTTGATCCTGGCCCCTTCCTGGGTAGGGTTATAGTTTGGAAGTTGTCTGTGAGCCCCAATCAGGATGGCCTAGATGAAGAACCTGCTGTTATCTTCTCAATGGAGTGTTTCGAGGGTGGTGAATGTTACCTCCCCAATTTGAAGCTGAAACTAGTGTGAGTAGTTCAATTCTTCAGTGCTTTACCCGACACTTATCCTATTCAAGGTACCACCCGGGGGAAGTTATTATTTTAATGGCAGGTGCATTATACCACAGTATAGGAGAGCGGATGCCTGGTCTGGAGTGTCAGAGGATGGGCTGACCTCAGGGTGCATAGGTAATGTATGGTTTTTTCCTCATTCTTCATATGAGGTTTTGAAGAATAAACTGGCCAATTGGGCTCTTCAAAATGCATGAGGTACTATAACCATCAAAAGTCATACCTAGTAGTGTATACTGTCACACCTTGATCAACACAATTTTTTTACAAAGTGTCTGCAATGCAAAATAAATGAGTGCATAGCTAAAGGAATCAATCAATGGTAAAATTTCCAAGGTACCAATCTAATGCCTCTTGATTTGTTTTCACCTGTGAAACTGTGAGTGGAGAGCAGCAAAAGAGCTACTCAAACTTACTTTGCTTTTATTGAAATGTCGCAGTTCCTGGCCTTCTTGTGTTCTTGCTCGAGACAGAGCTACATATGCTTGACCTTGTCAGATAGTTAGGATCAAACTTTGTATTAATGATAGACTTACCCTCTGTAAAGGCCTTATCAAGGTCAATGACGACCTTTTCCAATGTGAGACTCTGGCTTTTGTGGATTGTCATAGTCCATAAAAGGGCTAACGGTAGCTGGAATGTTGGTGAGAATTACACCAAACCCAGAAAGAGCGAACATACCTGTAGCCTGTGTGCAATAACATAACCTTGCCTTTAATCTGAAGTGTGAAATCATTAGGTATGACTAAAACTCATTCAGGGCCACTCATGATAAATTTCACCAGGGGAAAGAGGTTGGTTAAGTTTCTCAGCTCTACCTGAGATGCTAAGTAGCAATCAAGGGGGTAGTATTGGTCATTGACTGCAATGTGGCAAAGAAGGCCAACTTTGCAGCCAGCATGATGATGATCTGTTTGACCTGGTTTGAAGAAACTAACTACACATCCAGTAGAGCCATTAGCCAGGCCATCGCCAAGATTTTAAAGGAGCATGACTTATGCTCCAATATTTAAGTCAATTTTGCTGTCCACAGGGAGCTCCTTGAAGACTCACTGGTCCTTGTTTCCTCAGAGGTTATCAAGAGCATCACAATAAAAATTGATGTCCTGGAGCTGCTCAAGGTGATACTTGTTCATCTGCTGGACTTTGCGGGTGGGGAAGAGATAGATGAAGTCAATATTAGGTAGGTAGTTCAGGGTGATTTGTGCCACTCCAGGGGTTTGAAAAATGCTAGACTGGAGTGGTTAAAGTTGCCCACCCTACACTTGTTAAGAGCAGAAATCAACTCTGTGCGCGTCATCAGAACAGTGTGCAACAGTTAGTGAGGTATGCACCTTGGTCCACTTGCTGGTGAACTGTGGAAAGATAAATAACCGCAGGAAACAAATCTGTCCAACAACTTGCTTCAAAGGTGGGGCCCTCCTTTGAATATTACATGGGGGGAAGCTGCAAGAAATCTCCTATGCCAATAAGCTATGTAGGACGTGAGACATGCTTAAATTGGTGGATGCCCCCAAAAGGTTTGTTGATTTCTTAAAGATGGCGTGCAGCTCTATCTAGGTGGTTAATACATTGGGTAGTGATCATCAGAACTGTGAGGAATGAGTAGCTAGCACATAGGCAACAGTAGGGCAATGTACATTCATCAATCACTAGTGCTTTGGCTGAAAGCCACCTTGCCTTTACCATATCCTTGTGCTCTATCTTTTTTACCATATCTAGATCACATTTCTCATTGCCGCTGACACCTGCCCAAGAATGAAGGGTCTGTCAGAACCTATGACAAAGTAACACAGGTGAGGTCATGGGCTAGGCAAGGAACCAGTGTTCTGCCAGTCAGTGAACCAAGGTCACGGTCATTGACTGTGATTCGTGGGAAAGCTGGTGAAGTTCATTGTCGTTCACCTGAACATGACTTTGAGTGGTTCTGTGGTACTCGGTTGACACCATATCAATGCTTATTGATTAGATATCTTCACGCAGTCTGATTATGAACATGCGGTTTAGGCCTGTTCGGCTGGGGGCACACTTCAAGAACCTGCAGCTACTACTCTCAATGTTTGACACACCAAAGCTGACTCGATGGTGAAGACTGGCAAGAAATTAAACTGAGGATGGTGGTGGGACCACTTCGTCGAACACCCAGGTTATGCTGCCAAAGAAAGTGCTTCAATGGTCAGCGGGAAGGCAAAAGTGATATGTGCGAGGCTCTATGAGCCGCGCATGGCTAACGAGCATGCACTGAATGAACAGCAAATCCACGCAGGTCAGCAAGATGCACCGAGAGATGAAGCTGCAATTGCAGGCACTTGTATGTGAACTCTTGTGTGCTAGTACTAGCTGTTTCCTACTAACTTTGACTTGAAAATATAGTATGGGCCACTGGCAGAATGATTCCCAGTGTGCCGGGTTGATCAGTTGGCTGACAACACTGTTATGTCACCTGCGTGAATCGACTCTCAACAGAAACCCTCACGCTCATCGCAGAACTCAAGATGTATGTTCACGAAGAGCATGCACAAAACAACATTGTCAAGAAGCGGCTTAAGATGCGGAAAGAAATTCAAGGAATTGAAGTCCCGGAGTTGCCTCAAGTTGATGATGTCCTCGCTGAATAAATTTATTACTGATTTCATGTGCCATACAATGTACATCATGTACCATACCCAAGAATACCAATAGCAAATATGTTGTAGCAGATGATATGTAGAAGGGAATATGTTGCAAGTCTTTCAATGTTCATTCACTCTTTCTTCATCATCCAATCATAAGTGATTATATAATATCCAGACAGGATTTCTGGCACTGAACAGGTTCAGTTTACTTGCATCCATGGGATTGTCATTGCTAAATGTACACTTACTCTGATAAATGTTCATTGATCGGCAGAACACTGCAAGGAACTCACCTCTAATCTTCTAGGGTGAAACACTGGTGCTAGAGGTGACACCTACATCATCAATGGTATTATATTTGATCTGCAGCCCTGATAAGATATGTCTTGCCAGTACCTTTGACTGCTTGAATATAATTATAACATCTCAGAGACAGTACATACTAGCCCCACCAGTAATGAAGGCCCCTGTGCCATCCATGACTGTGGTGAATATTTTTTTCTGCTCAGAGTTTAGAGTAGAGATATTGGCCTGTAGGAGGTTGAGGTTTGCACAATGTAGATACTGTGCTATTGGCGCTTGGTCAATTAGATAGTAACCAAGAGGCTGTCACGCAGGAGTCATAAGGGTTGTTTAATGAGTGTTTGGGTATAATAGTGGCCAAGAAAGATGAAATCAAGCGTATATAGAATGATACTAATCTGAGAGACTAGAAAGAGTGCATATACTAGGGATGGTGATGATGTAATTTGTTATATAGGGTAAAGGAAACTGAAGTGGACATGGCACAGATACCTATAGTGCCAACTCACCTGCAATTCAGACATACACATTATCTCATTGCCAGCACATCCTTAGCCATCAGTGACCTTCGTGGAGCGAAACTGCTAGATGTTGTCCAATTAGGTCATTTGCCTAGTATTTCACATTTGTTTGTTATCCAATTGGATGGTGACAGGACCATGAGGTGTGTAGTGGTCCTCAAAGATGTTGGTCTGAATATATTATCCGCATACCCAGGCTATAAGTGACTAGGTGAATATACAAGTGCACTCAACTAATTGAGACTGTCACGATGGTGATGTCGACTTCAGCATGGGCAACGACTTTGAGGATGGTGGTTGAGGAAGAGGAGAAAATTACATAATGTCAGACAATACTTGTGTGTAGGAATCAGTGTTGCATGTGCCATAATCCATGAGAACAATGTGTCATGGGAATTTATCATGTGATATTAACTACCATACCACAGCTGTCATTGGGAAGCAAGAAGTTGAGATGGGGCAGCTCTGCATTGACGAGGTATCCTCTCACCTGATGTTCTGGTTATTATCTTGAAAGATCAGGAAAGGTGGGCTAGGTCAGCTACCAGATTCTGGATGCACAGATTATTTAGGACAAATGTATTGGCATAATGGTGATATTCCTTCACAATGTGATGACCTTATTCTTTGAATCAGATTTAATAACAATGAGCAACCAAGGGCACAACACAATATGAAAAATTAGGACACAATAAAGCATTATGCATTACATGAAAATTACTGCATGTAAAATGATCTACTCTAAAAGTACAACACAGAAGTCCATCTAACTATTGTATACAGAGTGTCTCACTGGGGCCTATCCAACGACGATTATAGAGTACATACTGACAACTGAAGGTTCATGAGAGCCGTGTGAGTCCATGATGAGTACACTATAAGCTTATCGGCAGTCACATATGAAGAAGGGCCTGCTAACGCCTGTGCGACGAGGTCAGCTGGACCAAACTGAAGAGCTAACCACCACAATATTCCTCCGAGCGACAAAAAGCGACGAGCGAACGGTTTCTTGAGCAATTCTGTAACTCTCAGTGTGTAAGCATCCCAGTACTGGGGGGTTCTGAAGATTTAAGCTTATGTACTGATCACGAGTGGCTAGATAGGCCGGTCAGGGGTCGAGCGATTCAGGTGTCACATTTTCACTGGCAAATGGCACCCTAATCTGGTAGGGTGCTCCAGATCTAAGCAGACCTGGTATGGAATCTGCTGGGGAGGCGCTGGGATTGACAGACATGTCATAGGCGATGCATATGGCTGATCGAAATGTTGTGATTAATTGGCCCGTACGCTGGGCTGGAACAGCGGGGAAAGTGACACCAGTTATAAAGACTGGTGGTCTGGTGAGTTGCAAGTCTTTTATCCCATAAGCGTCATTAATGCTCTGTGAGGTCTCATGAAAAAATAAATTAAGACTTACAACTGAGAAAGTGGTTGGGGTATGGGTGCAGTGTCATCCAGGACCTGTGGGGCGGATGAGGGGGACACGCCAACATCTAGCAGTGGACAGTCTTGGAGAAGAACTGGTGGCTCGCTGGTGAGTTGTTTGTGTTGGGCGGGTCGTTGATTGCTTGTGACTCCACAATACCTCTTGGCCTCAGGAGCTGAAGAAGTGCTAGCAGAAAGAGTGCGCTTCCTGGAGGAACCGCTTTCTTGAAGCATCACTTGTTCCTCGCCAGGCGGGGAAGGAGCACGTGGATGTGATCCCTCGCAGTCCGTGCTGCCACTCCAGCCATGACAGATGACAGAAAACTACCCACAAGGTCTAATTCCTCCTGGGAGAGGGGGGTTGGCGAGGTCTCATGTATGCTGTGGTCTGGTTCAAATATGTGTTCCTCTACAACATGAGCAGGAGACGATTCCCCTTTGTTTTGTGAGAACTCAGTGTGATGCGCTGTCATGTCCACATCAGTGATGGAGGCTTCAGTAGGATCATTCAATATATCCTGGAATAGCAAACATATTTCACCTGAGGGTAATTGCTCACGCTTCATCTCGCACCAGTATGCCCAATGTTTGTACTCTCTCCTAGAGATCACGGTCCTATCTCCACTGCTACTGACTCGATAGAAAGTAGCCTCTCCCATAGCCGGCAAGGCAATGACTTGATGTTCCTCTGGTGGGAAGACTTGTGACTTGGTCTTCTAAGTTCGTTGTAATCACTAGCCTTGAGCACTTTTGGGTCAAAGGGGCCAGTGTCTGTAGGAAACCATTGATAGTGCATTGGGACTTGGTGCTCAATAAGCATCCATAACTCTTTGAAATGCAACTTCTTGACATCTATTATGCACCCTCAATATGTGCATTCTGCGAGACCGGCGCTGATTATTAGATCCTTGACGGTTGATAAGTCCAGACGTGTTATCCAATCAGGATGTTTCTTGATCTGAAACACTATGAACCCATACTGCTCCAGTATGTGGTATCGGGCTTCTGCGACCTTCGCAGCTAATGTCTCCTCTGTATAGAATTGATCCTCTAACCAGTGTAAGGAGAGAACAGGAGGGAAGGTGCACTTGAGGTTGTAGGTGGAGATGAGAGTGTCGATTATTTTTCGCGCGTTTTCATGTATGCTAAAAATTGCTTTGCGCATATCTAACGTCAAATTCCAATGCATACGGCGGTTACTAACACCCCAATCCGAGACCCAATGACCTGCGGGGAAGTTAATGTCATTGCCAGGGTTTGAAGGGACATAAGCGCGGTACGGGCGATCGCTCAACCAGTAATTAACTGTTATAGACCAACCTGAGACCAGGGGTGGCGCCGGACCTATCATGGGTTTGTCGCTATTGATCACTACCCAGCAGTATTCCTGTCCTGGCACTGTTCTGGTAATTACATTCCACCACACCAAATTTTCTGTCACTAGCCACTGGATACAGGAAGGTTTCACAATGCGCATCTGAGGCATATCTTCGAATGGAACTTGGGAACATTGTCATTCCAAAATTCAGACAATAGTATGTGTATGAAGTATACAATCCGGGAACATCGATGTTCCAAGAATCAGACAATATTAGGGGTATGGGAAAGAGAAGTTTAGCAAAGTATGTGTACGAAATGTAAAATCCGGGAACATTGTCATTCCAAGACTCAGATGATAGTAGGGGTACGGGAAAGAGAATTTCAGAGTTGTGGGCGAAAGAGGAAGGTCCTCACATAGAAAAAGTTGCTATTTTATAGTGACCTTATATTTCTTCATTGTGATAATATTTTCTTTGCACTCAGCAGAGAAGTAGTTTCTACAATGGTACAGGCCTGATAATTTCATATCTATTTCAAAGTAGATAGACTTGGAAAAAATATCTACATCATCAATTCAACAGTAGGAGCAATGTATTAGGAGATAATGACCATAGGACAAGATCTTCTTGCATAATGTATCTCTCTCTTCTGATTATTTACCCTCTATTAAAAGTTTTCCTCTAGAATTGGACCTTCAGGAGGGTAGGGAGTCTATTTTTATGCATATTTATAGTATATCTATCACATAGGTACTACAGTAAACCTATAGGCTCCTTCAATAGGAATAGAAATAGGAAAATTCACATTTTTGACATTTTTCAATATCTTACCCTTGCACACATGGTCCAACATGCTGATATATCATCACTTGTACATATATATATATATTTTATACCAACAATCAGTTTAGAATAGGCCAGAGGTTGGAGCCAATGGGTATATTTGCTATTTTTACTGATAAGAAGCTTATATTATTAACACATCAAAATTTGATAGATATACTATAAATATGCATAGGAATAGACCCTCCATACTCCTTAAGGTTCAGTTCTAGAGAAACACTTTTCACATGGGGTAGACCACCAGAAGAGAGGGATACATTACACAAGAAGATCTTGTCCTATGATCAGTATCTTCTGATACATTGCTCCTACTGTTGTAGATGATGTAAATCATTTTCCCAAATCTATTAACTTTGAAATAAATAGTATTTTCCCATATAAATGTTATATATATTGATTTTAAGCACTTCAGGGGGTCAGATATGTGAGTGAACCTCTTCATATACACTCCTAAATATGTCCTGAATATCATAAACCACTTCCTTATCAAAGAGGCAAAAGTGCAAAATATTCTGCACCCTAGACTATTTTAAAATGACCCTGGAGGGGAGCTATGATATAAATACACAAAAAATGTGGTTTATTATATTATATTTCATTATACATATATATACCAAACTACTACTTATATATGAAGGGGGACCTATTGTAGTGTAGTGGTGAAGCTGCAGTAAGGTGGGAAGAGTGGAAATAATTGATATTGCAGAAATTCCTAAAATGGGTGATATTTTAGGTGTTGTGGGGTAATTTCCACAGTAGGTGGTTAAAAGTGAAAATATATGGAGTGGGAGAATAATGTAGGAAGGCTCTAATATGAAATTCCCACAGTATGTGGCCAAAAATACAGTTATTAGAGGTGTAAGATTATTATGGAAATTTCTTGACAGGATCATTTACTGATATATCAGCCCTATGGGTGATAGATATCTATGTACTATAGCAATTAATGTATCACACTTGTTCTACAACTATAAGTATGTAATATATCATTGTTACCGTATGGCCTCTGATGTTTTCCTGATGTGATGTTTTCATTAGTGATGACTTGTTCTGATGCTAAAGCATACCCAGCATGATGGGAAACAGAGTAGTAAATCTCATATATATATTTAGGGACTAATTGCTATATGCCCATTCCTTGACTCGCTTATCAAATTTGATGTTGTATCTTATAGTTATGAATTGAGCAGTTAAGTTTGGAATGCAGTATTCTAATGTAGTTCAGTTCAATGCATGCCATACTGACTACATCAACCTTATCTGTGTCTTCACTGTCTGCCCTGATCATGGCCAGTGCTAGTTCTTCAATACGATAAATCAAAGCTACTTTTTCCAACTGTGCTGAAACATTCACATTTGACAAATCAAAGGCACTTTAAGTCTTTGGAACTACCACTATAAAACAAGCAGTAGAATTTGCTAAACCAAGTCTAGCATTGGTGATCACTGACTCTCACCATTAGGATGAGAAGGAGAAGCTAGAGATAAAATTACTGGAAATGTTTACTTCTAATCTAGAGCCTTATAAGTTCATTCTTGGCTAAACAACAATGACTAGCTAAGTAATAATGTCCGCTAGCGCTCACTGACTACATATCATAGCCACTGATAAACTAGGCAAGAGGGCACTCGCCACCATATTTACTCTGACATGCAATGCAGACAGCTAGATACAAGATTTTCCAGAGCACTTGATACATGCAGAGAAGAAATGTGAGCTCCTGCATGCACTAAATAGCAAACTTACTGCGGATGTAAAGGAGGCATAAGCCAAGCATGCCTATGTAATGAACCAAGCCTAAAAAGGTGTGGGTGGGTAATGAGTTCGAAGGGGAATGCTGAGTGGACAGTGAGACTTTGTTTGAGTTTAAAAATAACAGACTCGGGAAACTTGTAGCTGAAGGCTTCTGATGGACACGGTAAGGCTTTAGATCACTGAGGGGGATTAATTCACTGATTAAACTAGAGTTACATGCAGGTATATATACAAGACGTGAGGGTCTAAGCATGTGTGGCAAGAGTCATTTGTGGCTGAGTGCATAGTCAAAGAATAGCTATGGAGAATGAAAGGTGGGTGGCTGAGATGGCGGTCGAAGTGTTTAGTAGTACAAGAGTGAATGGGGACTTGAGGTAAAATGAGAGAAATAAGGACAAAGGCTAATAGTGTGAAGTCGTGACATGTTGTAATTGTGTACCGAAAAGGAAACTAATGTGAAGGCAGTGCATAATGTTGCAACCATTGAGGTCGTTGATGTAGTGCTCATCCAACATCAAAGCTGTAAGCTTTCTTACAAAGGTATTTAGAAGTTTTCCTACTACTGATAATCTTTTACCCAAAATTTTGTTAGATCAAGAGGAGTCAAATAGGCAGCTAGCAAACACCAAAGCTGAATTTGATGCTAGTATTTATCTTCATAGTTGGTCTGTTGAAAACTTCAACAAACTAACAAACCAAAAATGCTACTGGTCAATAGTTTATGAAGGGTGAATAACACCACAGTTTGGTGTTAAGATCCAGGGTGTCACCTGCATAAGTCATCATTCCCAGTGAAAAGTCACAAGAGCGATAGTGAGGACCAGCGAGTCTGAGCACTCCTTGAATTTGGCTTGCTGGGCCTCTATATAGTAGCCATTTTCTCGCTCACCCTATATTTGCAGATCTTCGATATTGTCAGAAAGAGCCTCAGAGAGCTCGGATTGGAAGCAATTCTGAGGTTTGCTAGGGCTCTCTAAGCCTAGATTAGCAAACTAACTGGAGAGAGTGACATAGAGCAAGTACAAAATGTATTCATAGCAGTATGTATCTGTTCCTAGCTAGTACTATGACAACATGGATGCATGTGAGAATAGCTGCGTGGATGTAAGCGAGAATAACAATATGCATGTGAGCGAGAATAGCAGCGAGGATGTGAGTGAGGATAACAATATGATGAATGTGAGCAAGGAAAGGCAGCAAGAACTATTGGAACAAACACAATAATACAAGTTTCAATGGAAAGGAGGCTACTTGATGGTGTCATCATCTGCTAATATTGTGGCCACAATGGGACCGAGGGAAGCGGATGCGCTTGATTTAGCCTATGAAACCATATTAGATAGCTGCTTTAGAAATAAAAGCACCTGCCCGTGCCCCCTTAGCCTTCTTAGAATGATCATCGTAGTCCTAATAGATGTGGATAAGCAAGCTACACAACAGTAGTAGGACAACAGGAACTTACTTGTCTATCCCAGCCTGCCAACAAAGTCCAATATATAGAAAACTCACCCACAGTTCCCTTTTTGTGAGTCTTCTTCCATTCGATGCCACATACATTTCTGTGGAAAGAGATTCCGAGCCAGTAATTGAGTGAGTGATGGAGACACAACCCACCATGCAGTGTAGGATTGATTCAGACAGCATTCAGCATGAAGATTGGTTCCATTCTGTCCGTTTTTGGTGACTGGCGGTGTGTTGGCGACAGCAGCCTGAGTTGATGGCATGGAGTTGAGTTCTGTGGCATCTGTTGCTATCATTGTTGCACGGAGTTGGTGGAGAAACAGACATTTGCATCATGGTTAAGTCCTCGCTTATCCACTGATGACGAGTGAGTAGTGTGATCATGGTTGAATGTGTTGTGTTTGATGATGGGTGCGCTGAATAATGTTGGTTGAGGAGGCAAAGACGTTGAAGATATCAACGCGGCAATTTCACCTTCGAGTTAACAAAGGCAGTATGCAGCTTTTTCTCCATGAGCGGAGGCTTCGGTGCCGTCAACCACAAAGGGTGTTTATTGGACGATGTGACAACTTCTTGCTTGACCAACATATCTACTACTTTCTGCTTCACGTGCGTAGTTGCTTCTGGGATTCATGGGCAGTCACTCCATTGCAAATAGTGCTGGATGGCGAGGAGGTCTGCTTTCCAGTGACCATGGCACAAGCAAAGTTTAACAAATTTTGTGCGCACCAAATGGAAGAAATTGTCTGCAGCAAGAGAACCAATCTTTGTCCAGGTCACCGGAGCATGGCCATAATATTGGAGTGTATACCAGAGTTGGAGTTGGTATTCCTGCATCTCCTGCTGGAGCTTTTGGGAGCAAACCACGCCTTCCATGTTTTCTAGGAATCTGTGTTTCCCAGAGTCATTGTTAGACTTGGTCTGCAAGGTACCGCAACCGTTATCGTAGTTGTTGGTGTATTTGGCGTGATCCCAGTACACAACACTAGGATAATTATCTTGGTTGAGGATAGAATAAGTGTCAGCATTAACTGCTGCTTGGACAACCATGAAAAAGGGGTCTGAGATTGAAACAGGTGGTGAAGGGGTGCTCATTACAGTGGAAAGAGAGTTGAGGTGATCAAGAAGTTTATTGTACATAATTTTAAAGGATTAAATCATACATATCAAATTGAGATGACAAAGCACCTACTTTGAATTTGCAACTTCTCCTAGTTATTCTCTTTTTGCACTCAAAGTTCGCACATATAAGCAGTATGCGAAGGCTGGTAGTAAGAATCAGAACTTTGCGATGATGAACTATCTCCGGTCATGGAACACTTGTTGTGGGAGTAGTGGTCCTGTCAGGCGGGTCAGTATTTGGGCTTGGGGGGCATACGAAATGACTACATACATCACAGAATGATCCCAGCCCAACGTCTAGGCTCATTCAACCTGAGACATACTCCGATGACTCTGCTGAATAGTCATATTCTCATTGTCGGTAAGACTTGACATTATTTACATCAAATGTATAGGAGGGTTGCAAAGAAGTATAGTTGGTGGGCATAGGCAGCAAGGGCAGCCTTTTGTTGCTGTAGTGCCTTGACTCAGAGGACATTGTGGTTGGGCACGAAGTATACCATGCAGTAGCTTACATCAGCACCTTGATCTAAGTCCTTCCCTTTCTCTGCCGCATGCATACACAAGCTTGACACCAACACTCACATTGCACCACACAGTGCACTACAATCACCAACAGAATGAGCAATCTCGATGCCAACATTTTTGACTGCAACTGCAGTACACATACTGACACTGGCAACACTCAACTTCCTGTCTTCAAGTTGTCTAGCACCTCTGAGAGCACTTCCGAGAACAGAATTTTGGATCAGACAGCTGTCGACATTACTCGCAATACTACTAGTGTTGGAAATATCACCCTGATGGATATATTTGGGGTCACACTAGATCACAATATGTATACAGTCCGGTTTACTCCAAACTCACTCGAGGAACAGGTAAGAACTTCATTTTCCCGCACCAGCTTCAATTAAAATACCTTTATTGCCAGACTTTGGCCTTCCGAATCTTTCCTGCTATGAGCCCCACCTCTGTTGACATGCCTGAGGGTGATGGTGCTGATAAAACAGTTGTCCATGTAAGTGTATTCTGTAAGAATTCTCACTGTTCACAACCATCCCAGCCTCTTCGACAGCCAGGGATGAAGAAATGGACTACCAGCTATTATACGACAAGTCCTGCTGTGTTGTGTCATCAATGCAAGGGAAGAGTGACTGATTGAGTAGGTGCTTTTCCTCATGCTTTTTGCTTTTTTGTGGACTTTGTCGTGCTGCGCACATGTATTACTATGCATTGCAAGTTTCTTTATACCTGTTGGTCCTGAACATGTACATTATTGCTGTCTGTATTTGAATCATCGTCCTCGAGACCATCTTCAGGATTGTGAACGTAACCTCCCATGTCTGCCACGTCTAAACCAGGTTTCTCAACAACAAAATATTGGTTGTGTCCTTGAAGTGAATGTGGGACCATTGCGACAACGGCTTTGATACATCTGACTGGAATGACCACAAGTGCACCCTCACCATGATACTCACATGACCACACAGTGAATGACGAAAATTCCAGGAGTGCAGGATCAGGGGGACCATAGACGGAAACTACTGCAAGAGCTGCAGGTGGTTGACCAGATTCCAGATAGGCTTCAAAGAAGTAGAGTACTGCAGCAAAGCACAGACTACCATCAATGTTGAGCTAATAAAATGTTATTTTGATGAAACAAATCTGCGTGTATCTGTACCTTTACATTGTGTGATTGTCATGCATTGGGGTGAGTTTCTCTGAGGCACCAAACTGAACGGTTAATTTGACTCAATGTCATGCAATCTCTATTCAGTGATCAATACTCGGGACTCGGTGATCCTCGGTGAAGCGAGAATTGAACTTTAATGTTTGACACTCGAGATTTGTTGATCCTCGGTAAATAAATTAGAAGTGACAGAGCAATATATCGAAATTTTGGTAGTGTACATGATGTGGGCATGTTAATGAAAATTCAGAAGTTTACATCTTATTTGACTACTATCAGAAATTCACTAATTTACATTTGAATTTGATCTTCAAACTGATGAATCGGGGAATCTACTACTTTGAGCATTTCAATGCTTAACCATTCAGCTCTCTGCAACCTCTGGAGGTCCACATCAGCTCTTCTGAGTTTATCAGATGTTTCTGCCCAAGCCATTTTGAATGGTTGCTCGGCCTTAAGTAGTTGTTGTATGGAAGAGTCAGGAAGACTTTCATTACAGTATTTGTAACCACCAAATCGATCTTAAATTAATTGCACTTGCATAAAAATTAGCAGAAAATAAATAATCTACTATATCAGATACTCACATCCTATATTAGCCCTCCACACAGATATTGATGTGTTGGATAGAGGACTACAGACTACCAGAACAATGTTAGTGAAAGAATCAACCTCTGATGACAGTCTCATTACTTTGTGCAAGATTTCTTGCTGATGATGCCAATCAAATTTATATACTTCCTACCTCATCTGTCAGGAGTACTCTGGCCAGTTAGGCGAAGACTATACAGATGATTGTGCACTCTGTTGCAATCCGGGAACCCAATACAATTAGACTAGACTGGCAGGCAGGGGCAAGCCTTCAATTTCAAGTGGACAGATGAATTAGATCATCAGCCTGGCAAAACTACGCTTTGCCATTTGCAATAAGGCCCAAAGGCTCAAAACCACCCTACAGGATCTTTTTCCAACTGACTTTGACCTATTCTCATTTTCACTTGACCTCATTCATGATTGGCCTGATGATCATACATCACTCTTTGATAGAGAGGATAATAACAGTCTTCAATGGCTTCATAGAAAACCTGTGGGACAAGTTAGGCCAAAGATCAGGAACACTAGTAGGCAAAGACTGTGTAGTCATGCAGGAGAACCGACTCCGACCAACAGCTGCTACTCACTTTTTGCGCAAATGTGAAGAACTGCAGAAATGCTTGATTTGTTCCATTTTCACTACCATCAGCATCTGCCTAATGCCCTGGCAGGATGGTGAATTCTTATACTGTCCTATCAGTGACTACCCTAAGAATCTTTGGATGAAGATGAATTTATTTGTGTTAATAGGGGAACCTTGAGCCAAACAGACAGACACTCTTGCCTTCAATGCCTTCTGGGCACTACCTCCACAATTGGGCTCTGTGTTAAGACCAAGTTCAACGGGTCGGACCGGAGGGGCTTAGCTTCAGCTCGTGTGCTGCACTCTTTACCCGAGTACTTGCCCCTAATTTACAGGGGGGGTAGATATCATCGGCCGAGGGGTATGAACGGGTCGGACGAAAGAGGGAAGACTACCCGAGACTTCGTCCGGGTAGAAACTAACAAGGTATGGACTATACGAAGGTAGAGGCGGAGGTATTTTAGCCTTAGGGATATAATCCCAAGGCTCGGAGGATCGGACTAGGATAATAATCCTAAGAGCCGAGAGAACACGAGGATTGAACAGAGTATAAGTTAATATTCGAACTGAGGAAATACTACGGGTTACAAAGGGTTTATATACTGTAGTGTATCTGATGGGTATCCGGCCGAAGTGCAGTCTTCGGATCAAAGGGCTATGTAGAAAATGTACTAACGGATATGAACTGCTGCGGACAATCAAGAATGGAGCCGGAGATTAAATGAAACAAGGGGGACAAGTTAAATGAAAAGGAAATGAATAGACTAGCGGACAGATCAGAATGAACCCGGATATGAAATGTCAGAAGGATCCGGGCATATAGGGGCATCAAGAAGCATATACAAATGGGGACACGGAGACATGAATTCTAGGACAGACCCGATAGAACAGACGGACCAGACCGGACGAGAAGCTTCAGGTACAGAATATGACACTCTGTCATCATGTTCTATCTCAACATAGACAGGCCTGTGGAGATTGATTTGATGAAGCAATTATTCATTTCCACATCTGAAGCTCAATTGTACATCTTTGTTCACACCTGGGCCTCATTAGAAGCTCTCTAGAGCCTGGAGTGGGGACAGTCGGCTAATAGACAAGGTTGAGGCCCATTACTCATATCTAAATATTCAGAATAGGTTTCCTGAACTTCAAGGAGTCAATCTCAATTTTGTTCATACTCTTTTGATGACACAGGACCTCAAAATGAATATTTGTAAATGTGTTATTGCATGCTTCTTCAAATGAGACAAGCTTGATTATACTGTTGGTGGCGCCCAACAAGCTTTAGGTAAGTTTAAATCTTGTTAAATATAATAACATGTTTGCTTATTACTCACAGGTACTAAGCTCCATCAATATATACACAAAGCTATAGCAAAGTGCCAACCTGCCCTCATGACTACTATTCAAAATTTTCAACTCCTACTGTGAACAGTTAGAGTCCCTATATGACTTGAATTGGGGGATTCCACATTACCAAATTGTCCGTCTTGAGCCTTTCCTTACCGATGCCCAGCAAGTTGGACTGCTGTCCTGATGAGACCAGCTCATGACCACTGACCTTAAGCATTTGCTGAAGTACAATACTAATTGATCCAATAGTAAAGGCTATCACTTTAGCTAATATCAATGAGAGTATCTCTTTACTAACATAGGAATCAAATTCTTCAGCAAATACTACAATTTCCTAAAGTAGGTCCAATATGAACACTGATGAATATCCAAGAAGGGCACCAGCATATAGCTGCTGCTGTAATTTAGTGCATCACACAAATAGCATATCCTAGGCAAGTTGTGCAAGCTACAAATTCTGTTAACTAGCAAAATTAATCAACACAATGTTGGAGTACACCTGTATGCTAAGATGGGATTAAGCAACATATTAAAATCTCATAGGATATAGAGGACTAAAAAAGGAGAGCATAGCATGGGAGTTGTTTAAGCATGAAAATATGCAGAGCACACAACAGATTAAAGGTCTTGAACTTGCATGCAATATTCAAATCCAGTGCCTCAAATGAAAGGATTAAGAGACTTTTAAAGCCATACATTGTCTGTGTCTAAGTAGACAGATTGTCAGTTGACTTCTAAATGGCTTGAGCTAATATCACTCTCTTGACTCTTTCACTAATGCCCTTACCACTATACCAATAAGTGACAAAACAAATTTTAATATTAACAGAATAGAGTACTTACCGGCTTGCTAAGGCCAGATAGGTAATGACACAGGCCAGCACACTAATGCAAACAATGGTGCTGCACCAAATCATATGAGTAGGTACTATTGACAAGATAATGTACTTATCTGTTCGCTACAAATGTCAGGAAACATTGAAGACCTAGCAGTAAGAATACCTTAGGCAATCATAGTGAGTTAGTTGTTCTTATATCTCATATTGTTGTTGACAGGGGTCGTATGTTGTTGTGCATGAAAACAAGGCCCGGGTGTGTCACAAGATTCCCTTACCGGTTATCTAGCCCATAGCACATTGAGAATGATGTCTATTTGTCTTATTAGCAGAACAAATGTGAGCAGTGCTGGGAAGGCTATATAATGAGTTAAATCGAGTAGAATATATGCTAGGATTAGAGAACATGTAGTAAGGTGATGGCTCAACCAAGAGGACATGAGCAGGAGTATTATTAGAGAGATGGTAAGCATTATTTTCAGCGAAGAGATTACTTGAAGGGGGACTAGGCCACCTGAGCTCATCTGCAAGTACTAATGGACTGATCATTATGCATCAATAATATTAAAAATAATGAGGTATGATGAGTGTATTTTTTTCTAATATGTGTGTCTCACATGAATAATTTCAGGCTACCAAAGGACCTAGAGGCCCACATGGAGATCATAAAGTAGATGCTTCCTCTGGACCTACACAACCATATAGTATCATGGCTAGTGTGGGCTGGCATTGGTCATATGAAAGATACCGATATATTGTTTTACATTCCCAAGCATGGAAAAAGAAAATAGAGTTTTTATTACATTCATCTAAATTATGAGCTAACATAGCTACACAGCAAGTTTAAATAAATTATTCAATATTGCTCAGAAATATTATGATCATCTGTTCACTTAATTGCCACATGCTGGACACAAATTGGTGTTAGTTTCCAGGGAGTAAGTGATTTTTATCAGATAATGATCAACAGGTTGATGATTTTATAGGAGGTGTGTTCCATCCTTTGCTACAACCTCTCTCAATGAAGACACTTCACCTGAATATTTGTTTGCCAACTTACCCTCACACATAACAGTTTTGCTAATTAAATTATTTGCCCAAGAATTGTGACCACATTCCAATTGCACATGAGATGTGGTGAGTGTCTATGTGTGAACAGACCAAGAGCCTATTTATTTTGATTCCAAGGTTGACCAATATCATATTGCTGGTGGCGCATTTATCTGCGGTGAATACAACATTGGTGTCAATTTTTCAAAGTAAGTATGTGTACTGCATGTTGCAATACCCTCTAACATTACACCCAAAGGTGTCTGGATTAGTTGAAATCTTTTGGAGGGGTCAGAAGGACTTTTACTACATAATGCAGAGCCAGAGCCCAACTAATATGACCTATTGAGGTACTTCGGTGCAGCTTATAGGTGGTGGTATCAGTGCTGTTGGTAGATTTAACACCAAGGGTGACCCCACTCATGCATGTAATACAGATGAGAAGTAAGGTACTTGTGACAGTTTCCAAGGCATGTGTTTTAACTGAATGTAATAATGGGCATTTGAATCACAGTATTATCTCAATGAATATAGAAAAGATAAAGAGCTGAATCTGCTACATCATCAATGAAATAAGATTAAAAGGTAAAGAAATGAGACAGGTAAATGGAATAGTGGTAGTGACCAAAATATATGTATAATGACATAAGAAAATCCAACAATGAGTGCAGCATGATCTGGTAAACCTTGTTCAGTGTTTCTGAGTTTTGTACTATGCAGTAGAATGATTCTACCTAAAACTATGAGACATATGTTAGAAACATTCAAGTTCATTCATCTCCCGTTTATCTAATCCATAGGTGCAAATCATATACATATGTAGGTTTTTCTCATGAGCATTGCCTCTTTGTATACTCTTATGGTATTCTTATGTCTGCCAAATAAAGAAATGAATGCTTAGCCTCAGTGAGTTATAAATACTCAACAAACACTTATGACCTGTGTGATAGACTACTCTGATTGGTGAAGTTTTGAGTGATCTTGAAGTGACATGATATAGCTCAAAACATAATCTTAATTAAATTCAAGATTAAATCACACTGCAAGATATGATCTATATATAATGTATTGACAGTCACAATGACCTACTCTAATCTCCACTATAGCTAGCCATCTTAAAGCTACTGCTAATGTATGATATTAGTTGAATACAGAATTTGAACCAAACATTAAACACCAGTTGACAGCAGAGGTCTGTACAACTACTCATTATGAGAAATACATCAAATAATTCTAAGCTTTGTCATCACTTAATGACTCTTGTCACCAAGTCTTGACACCAACAATGATACACGAACCTTTACATCATCTTCATCTCCGTTGAGACTTAGTACAAAGCTTTTACCTGAGTCTACACTTTCAGTGTAACATTCCACATATCTCACGCATTGCCTATACTTCCACACATCTTCATGCACCTCTGCATATCTTCAGCTTCCAGCTGTTCCTTGATCCCTCTCATTCTTAGAGAGATTTGCCTCAGTAGCATCCCATAAGGAACAATTCTACTAGCTCGCCTCTCAAGGTTTATATCCTTGTGACTCCCGGGAGTTCACATCTCTATTTCCTCACCCACCACGACCACTATGACATCCTGTCATCCTCGCTTCCTCGTCTCTGAAGGAAAATATCACGAAGGTCGCCACTAATACAGGGAGGGAACATGAGTCAGAAGCCGTATTACAACCTTCACGTCCTCCTCCTTTTATTGTTGCCCGCATTAAAATCACGAGAAGCAGCTGTTCAGCAATGCAGTTCCAACTCAAATATGAAGGTCACCCAGTGCCATAGATCTAAGAGGAATGAGCCATTGCATGAGCCTGTGAGTCAATATACACATTTTTGATTATGGAAATGATGGATAAATGAAATCAGAATACTGGCGCTAAAGTTCAGGCTCCAAATCCAGTGTGCATTATGCAAGGAAACGAGCAGGGGATCTCAATCACTAACTATATTTACCTCACTGCTGATCCTCGTTTGACGGAGGGCCCATTGGATGCCTGGGCTAATCAGGTTTCTGCAAGCATTCGCACCTGTCTTAAGGACTTGAAAATTCCTCCCCATGACAACAGACGAGATTTGGAAGTGCATTGAACAAAAGGGTGGATACGAACCTTTCACATGGCAAGCTATTCTTGTGAAACTGGACATTCCAGAGGAACACACATCACCAATCCTCATTGTGATGGCCAATGCAAGTAATCATTATATTAGTAAGTTTCAACTCAGTCATGTTGTTTGTGGGCTTGGGTTAATTTCTTGGCATAATTTACCCGAACAATTTGTTTGATTTAGCTATGGTGTGAGTCAAGTGGTGATATACTCAAATGTCATTTTTTTAGGTTCGGCCTAGTAATAAAAATTTGATTTGATCTTGACCTCTTCTGTTAAACTCTGGATTTACACAACACAATATAAAGTAAGTTGATCACAATGCTCTTATTCTTGTTGTATACTACACATGGCTCGTATGGGAAAGGTTCAATGTTCATGAGCAAAGTTATCAGCGGCTCAAAAAGCAGAATGTTGGGCTCAACTGGAAGCTTTGACCACTGCCCTTGATTCTGCCAAGTCTGGGTATGCGCAGGAGGCCATCCATATTGCAGAAACACACAAGCGGTAAGGTCAATATGTTGGAGAACTGATTTATTGCTAACTTCACATATGGGCTTAGTTCACTAAAGTGGACTCAAAGCCAGCTATTCTTGAAGAGCCACTTGCTTCAGCAGTGACAGGGTGCCAATTTATGGAACAGCACAACTCAAGGAGGCCAATGAATGTATGTCTTTGTCTCAGTGTGTTGGCTACATCAATGGACTTACTTTCATGCAGATCACGAAAAGGGCGAGCATTTCAAGCTTACAGAGTTCATTGCTCAGAATAAGACAGAGCTTCTCTGTGCTTATTCCAAGCTCACCTTTGCGCAGAAGCAAGTCTACAAAAAAGACAGATTCTCGAGGCACGTGAAAACAAGCAACGGACTGCTTGGGCCAACCCAAAGGCAGTTTGACATGACATGAATGCTTCATCGGCCTCGATGGATCACAAAGTATGTAGTATTTGTTTTCATTTATTGTATTGACTCAGCTGATTATTGTCTCAGTGGATGGCACTCTGCGCTCAAACTGACACAGAGGGGTTTTATATCACAGTGCATGGGGGAATTGAAGACCTGTCAGAGCCCAAGATTTTTTTCACTCAGAAGGCGGAATTTTTTTAAGGACATTCTCCACATGGAATCACGGCACCTTGCACTCAAACTAGAGTCTTATGTTATCAGTGGCTTGGGTTGGTTCCTTCCTTCTCTTATTAATGTATTAAAATGTGATTATTGTCCCCGCAGATGAAGGTGTCACACCCAACCACCAGCACCCATTAAATAAACTCATCAGTGAATGCTGTACCTTTATTCAGGACGTGCTAGGTATTAATTATTTTTCACTTGGTCACACACATCATCCTGATACTCAAACAGAGTCCATTATGCTCCAGAAGAAAATGAAACACTCAGTTAAAATGAACTATACTGACTATGAATGTAAAATTGTCAAGCACCATGGTGTCAAACTGGTGAACTGGCCTCTCTGTGGTCTAGTGTGTAATCCAAGTAAAGTAGGTGGCAGGAACGAGGTTGAAAATTTATGGGAAGCCTTAGACAAGGGTACATGCCACTGGGTCATTCTGTCTGATAATCATCATAAGCACGGATGCAGCTCAACCGTGAGTGCCACGCCAGGGGTGAACCAGTGTATGTGATGAGGAAGCAGAAGAGCGCAAAAATGAGCCATACTACCATAGACATAGACACTGAGGATGAGGATGACAACAATCAGGTGCTCGACTTGGGGAATCAAATGTTGCGAACTGGGGGGGGCAGGGGGGATGTAAGAAATTCCCATGACCCTGGTAGATCGTCCAATGCCAGATTGGCTGTTGTATATGACTGATACAATCATAGTGGCCAGTTCTTCTGCGTCTGACTCAGCTGCCGGCCACCTCATTGTTAGAGAGTGAGAGCTAAGGTAGTGCGAGTCTCAGTCAATGGTAGAAAGACTGAGGTGCGAGGATAGCGTCTAGTCATCCTTAAGTAGAAAAGAGAAAATGTCAGTAACTAAGGTGAATGACGTGCAGTGACACTAGCAAGTGACACTGGCAGCTGAGGTACATGGAAGTGAAACAGTGAGATATATCTATGTGGAACCGGCTCGGGTGCTCTGATGGATCACCTCTCAACACTCATTTCTATGCTGCCCCCAGGCTTTTCTGAAATGGATGTATCCCAAATTGGCGTACTTGAACCAAGCGATGATCTTCAAGTACTTCTCAACATCCCAATAGATGTCAATGGGCTCGGTGATGCTCGATCCTCCATGGGTGTGCACACAGATGGAGAGATTAGAACCCAACAAGTTCAAACCCACGAAGTATTGTCGATTGATTTGGTTTGTCAGAACAAGATGTGCAATTTCGCCCATGTAGCTGATTGTATCGCTGTTGAGCTTTGAGCTATCGCGGTACTTGATTTCCATCACAGAGATGAAGTTTGCCCACTGAAAGGTGTCTGTGCGAGGTGCCTGCTTCATCAGGACAGCGTCAGGCTTGCGAGAACCGGACCCATGGCGAGATGTGATGTTGGCACTGCTCAAGGGGAAGACGAGCATGGTGCTAGTGTCACACCACTCCCGCGCATCCTTACTGAGCGTTTTGACCATGTCATAGCCCTGAACCTCAATGATCATCTTATCCAAAGCAACACCAGTCTATGAGACACACATGAATATCAAGTCAAGCTACAGGATCAGATATTACAAACATTGTTAAAAAAATTGACCACATCCTTCTCCCTAATCTTGTCACCCCCAAGCAAAGCAGGGCAGTATCCGGTTTCCCACCAACTCATCATACCTCCTTGCAGCGACAGCTTATCAAATTCATGACCATTGTTTTTGTAGTAGAGACGACATTCAACTACCTGTCAAAGTAGTAGTTTGCATCAATGGGTCGCAAACTTATCACCAATGGTAAGTACATACCTCATTATACCACTTTGTTGTCACTACTCGAGTGTCAGCTTCGGGGATGTCATGATGCTCAACAAGGTAATTCTCCACAAACTTCTTCCCCTCCTCGACGTTGGCACGAGTTTCCTCGCACAGGGATTTGGTGCCCCTGTCATGCATAACATGGGCTATATCCCTCAGGTCGGTGTCCAATAGCATGGCCACAGTACTCCTAACAAGCGCCTCCCTAAGTGTGGAAAACGAATAGTGATACTGGTGCTCCTTGATGAAGGTGAGCTTTGTCTTGTTGATAATATCGTCATTGAGGAATTTGGGATTGGAAAATGGACCATGCAACAGGAGACACAAATCCCAAGGACATCTGTGAGCCCCGTAGCGGACGAACTGCAATTGCAAGTGCAGCATGATAGGGTTGGAAACTCGGGGAAATGTGAAGTTTGTGGCTCCGTATCCCCAAATAGAGTCGTGGTGGTGAGCAGAATGTCAGTTACACTGCTCGAAAGATCATAAGTTTGGGGCCTACATGATGACGAACTCGATTTACAATCATCTCTTGGAGGTGGGGTTGGTTGGACTTGTAAAGAAAAGAAATTTCCCACGTGTGAGTTCCATCACCGCAGTTGGGCTGTTACTCACCATGTTCTACATGTTGTATGCTGTGAAGTTGCAGTGGATAGTACAAAACTACGCTGATCCGATGGAACACTTCAAAGCTTCAAGTGGGAGGACTTAGCCTTGCACACTCAGCAGCCATCATTTCAGCTGGCACTGATTCCCTCGATTGTTTTACGACAACGGTCGTAGTCGGACTGGGATGAGTAAGCGAAGGACGACGGTCCTAAGCTATTGTGTCGTGTATCGGTTGAACGTCAATATACCTGGTAGCCTAAGCCGTCAGGCTGTGACAGAACAGAAGGGGAGGCAAGCTTCTAAGGCGTGAGCCGAAGAAGGGTTTTGTGTTCAACGGTTAAGTCTAGACGAGGGATTGGTATCGACTCAAAGACAAACAGTCTAAGAGAAAAGAGGTATCGACTCAAGGATAGCGATCCAAGAGTATAGCGGGTTCATGATCAGACTCAAGAGAGTTAACTCAAGAGAATATACAAGTCAAGGTAAAACCCAGTAGAATCAAGTTAAGGAATAATAGTACAAGTGGATCGACTATATGTATATAGGGAATGACTACAGTGTTCAGGGCAGGTTTGGTAATCGTACAAAGGTCAAGAAAGATATATCGGGTAGGCAGGGTCAGGCAGGAGTCCATGAGGTCAGGGATGGGGATCAATGGGAACATCAAGGGAAATGGAAGTACAGGCCATGAGGCCATAGATCAAGGGTCCAAGGGAAGCGTCCAGCTTCTGTCACAGAAGGTCAGGGTCGGCGGGAATCAGGAAGGTGCATCAAGCATCATGGTGAATCGTGAAGAGGTGATAGTGTGACATTGTGATGAGGTGAAGAGGTGAAAGGGTCAGAAAAAGATAGGGGGGCCATGTTACTGTAACAGATTGCAAAGATAGATTTCGATTTCGATCAGCGCAGACCAGGTTAGGAAGACTAGCTGGCAAAGACTCTGAGGTATGTTGAACTTGGGAATGCATGATAAAAGCAATCCATGCTATAAGTGTGGGAATTTTGTGCTGGTTGGGGGTGCAAAGGCGCTACAAGGTCTAGAATTACCATATTTGGTAACCCCCGCTCAACATCTTCAACATCCACCAGAAACCCGCCATTTTTTTGCAACACAACATCTCCCATGACATTTCCACTGACCAAAGAGTATGTCCATCTCATTGTGAATGCCCTGCAACTGATTAGTAATGATGAGGCCTCCTTGTTGAAGGACCAGCTGTTATCGCATTACTCTTCCTATTTTCCTGCTCGCAGATTTGAAGAAGAAGTTCAAGAAGGGCAATCAGCTACAGATCAGGTGAGTTTTTTTTCAATTTGTAATTTGTAAAACCGGCCCTCACCCATTTACAGCTCCACCCTGCAACCAAGCATGCATGTGCACATCATGGTGTTCCATCTGATCCACACTGCCCGAGGAGGGGTGGCCTGTTAGTCGCAGGAGCAAGGTGGACCATTGGAGAGAACACCACATGTTCCTCCAACATTTCAGCTGAAGCGATCATCGGTTCTATAGTGTCCTTCAATGCTTCTCACAAGATGGATCTCACCTCATGGATCTCCAGTGTGCTTGGCACCCTCAAAGCCGAGGAGAATGATCCAAAGACTGGAGCCGGACTGCCATGTCTGGTGGAACATTGTCGTACATATTCTGGAATGGGAGTGGGATGGAGCTTCATGACTATGGTGAGCCGACTGCAGCTAGCAGTGAATTGTCTCAGGTAAGTGTTTTGTTGGCATGCTCTTGTGTTCACTGTGCTCACACAATCAATTTAATTCAAAGTACCATACGATCGCACCCAATGATATCTACAATAACAGAATTCTATGACACTAGGATAACACCTTTAGAACCCGGGTTGAGACCAGAGCGAAGCAGCTTCTTTTTCTGGATCTCATCTGGGGTCAAATTCATGCTCTTGGCAGGTGGCGGTTCCATTTACGCCTTGATTCTTATCGCCGCCAAAGACTTGCGCTGGAGCATCACCACCGCCCCTGCAGAAGTGTCTTGGGAGGTTGGGAAGATGCTGCGTCATCCAGACAAATGCGCTGGTATGTCTTACATGTCATTTTTGCGTTAAACCCTAAGTCTCACTAGTAACACAAGCTCCAGAGATGCAGCTTCTTATTCAAGGGAAGATCATACCTATCATCGCTGCATTGAGGAAGTGCTTTCCCTTGAGCATGCCCAATGTGATCAATGGGTCCATCTCTCTCCAGCTGGACTGTACATGTATCAGAGATGTGACCGCTTCATTGATTCTGTACCAATCAAGTGAGTTTTATTGCTAGGAACGTTTCAGTGTTAGACTCATGTGTTAATTCTCAAAGTAACTATACACTTCCAAAGCGGTCAAGAAAGCACTGGGATGCCTGCTACATACCATGTTGGGAGGATACAATCAGCCTGGAGAACGGTATTAGTGGGACTTGCATCACACAGCAGCCTGAGGCCCCACTCTTAACGGCACCCGCCGTCCCCTCCAACACCATTTGTGTTTCAACCACTTTCAATCATAATCACGCTAGCAACCTTCACTTCCCAGGAAGCCACAACAGGGTGAAGAACTTATCATGGATGATAGAGCAGCGCAGGATAGTGGAGGATGGGTGCATGGTGATGAGCGACATAGATGAGCTGAAGGAGAAGGTAAGTCCACTTGTTCTATTGGCTTAGATATGCTTACATAGATTGAGACAGCTGTCTACTTTCTATCCTGGGGGTGTCAAAAAGGCGGATTCCTTTCTAGTGGTTGCCATGTCCATCATTCCAGGCACCTTGGACATTCGCAACTCAGACGGCAGCATGATGGCCCTTATCTGCACGAGTATGCCTTCTAGCATGTGATCGACCTTATTTTCATTGCTCAAGTCGGCCTTTGATGGCCTGGACATTTTCAAGAATCGCACTGTGACGTCTATTTCTGAAGAAAGTCAAGATCCGCAAGCAGAGGCAAACGAGCCATTTAGCTGCACACACTTCAGTCACTGGAATCACTATGGACTGTTGGTAAGTTGAAACAGTATTCTTTAAGTCCTAGATGCTGATGCTTCTTGTAGGGTCATATTGCGCCACAGGGTGTCCATCCTTATGACTTAGAGGCTGCCGGTGGGAGAAGAACTAACCTTAGACAGACTTTACCTTATGCATCCAAAGAGACTTTTACTCACCAGCAGCTGTACCTGAACATCCAGGCCAATTTGGGCAATGTATTCAAATGGATTGAAGAAGAGGTGAGTCGTTATTTCATAATTTCACTCCAACAATTATTAATTAATGGTCAATCAGATCTCACATCACCTTCCGGATGAGTACAAGGTTCTGGTCAAGCTAGTAGACATTCTGCCAAATGCTGAGGGATCTCCAGTCAGACCTTTCCTCTCGTTGGTCATGAATATTGATGTGTGCACGGTGGCACATAGGGATGCTAAGGACTTTGAACTATGCCTAGTGTTGGCTGTAGGGGAGTTCACTGGTGGTGGACTAGTGATGAGAGAGCAGGGGCTGGTTGCAGAACTCAGAAATGGGGACTTTGCAATATTCAGGTCAGGAGAAACTACTCATTTCAATTTGGATTATTTGGGTAGGAGGGCGTCTCTGGTGATGCATACTGATGGTGGGTTTAAAACATGGGAGCAAGATCACAATGGTTGGAAAGATCACTCCCACTTCACATATTTATGACCTACCCCTACCATTATTCAATATTAGATGCATGGGGAGATAATGATTACTAGTACGTCCGCTGTGTGGCTGCACTCAGCAAATTTATATTTAATAAGTTCATTTTTCTTGTTCAGATTTCCATTCCAACCTCATCCACCCATGGCACCCAAGAAGGTGACTTCAGCTGGCCCTCGTCCAGCTACTCATGCCAGCACTGGTAGTTCAGGAACAAGAGTCAAGCCTACACCTCAGGGTGCCTCCAGAGCAAAAGCTGCTCCTGCATCCAAGGGGAAAGTGAAAGCATCAAGTTCATCAGCTAAAGGGGGCAGAAATGCAGACAAAGGCCCAGGATTGACTGCAGCAGAAGAGAAGATTCTCAAGGATTTGGCTGTGAAGAAGAAGAAGGTAGCTGAGGCTCAGAAAAATGGTAAGTATCATAGAATTGAAAGACTATCGCTAACATAAAGTCTCAGCTTCCAGAAAGTGTGCTGCTGATTGTCTCTTGGAGGAGGCAGGAGAAGACGAGGAGAGGTCTGACATTGACTCACTATGTGACAGTCCACCAACCACCCGTCGACATCTCCTACGTTCCCCTGTCGAGCCTGAAAGGATTGATAAAGGTAGTAATATAGTAAGTAAGATTTTAGATGATGGTGCAAGTAGTGAGATAGAGGTGGATAGTGACCAGGTTGGAGAGGGCGGGGATGAGGGTCACCAAGATCAGGAGGTGGATGACGTGGACGAGTTGGATGAGGGCATTCAAAATCAGGAGGATAAAGAGTTTGCTGGAGAGGAGGTAAGTGTACTAGCATACTAGAAAGGATTAGACTGATTTTTTGAGGAACACTCCAGACCGTTGTTGGCCTGAAGGAAGAAGACCAGGAATCCAACAAGCACTTCAGCATCACTTGTGTTCCAAGGAGCAAGGTGAAACTCAGCAACCTGGACAGTCCACGTACCAAGTGTATAGCTTGTCTGCGCTCACAAGGCAATGCGCCTCCATGTAGCCACAGTTAACAGCTTTTCTTCAGCTTTTGACAGGGAGGAGCTCTGCTGGGACCTATTGGTGTCTAGCACTAGGGATAACGAGGTGTTGTGGGAGAAGATGTCGCTCATTCAAAGTGATGATGACTTGAAAGCTTACTTGATAGACTATGTGAGTATTTTCCTTTGATGCGCCTCAGTTGCTCATTCTGTACTATAGACTTGGAAAGCTGCCGGCCATCTCAGAGGGGAGTTTGTCGCCAAAGCCCGCATCAGTGTCCCCAGTACCTACGGAATAGGAGAGCTAAAGCACGAGGAGTTGGAGAAGGCTCTCAAGTGGTTGTTGGAGGACGCTAGATTCATACACGGAGGGATTGATGTCAAGGTAAGTGTCCTGTCTATTGAAAGGCTTTAGACATATTGAAGCTTGAAATTTCTGGTACAGAATCTCACCTATGATGACGCTTCTCCCCTCCAGAACACCATTTTCAGGCTGCTACTATCCGTCCAATGGTGGGGTCCCAAGGGAGAAGAAAGAAAGTGGGGGCAGAAGAAAAATCCATTTTTCAACAATATACCCATCCTGGCATTGATATCAAGCGCAGTGAGACCTACATCTACCTTATATCCCTCCCACTCATCACCGATGAAACTTGAATCCACAGGTTGAATGTGTTTTATTAGGTATCATGAGAGGACATCCCATGGACTTTCTGAAGCTCACTTCAAACCTAGGTTTGATTTTTTTTTACTTCTAACGTCAGTCAGCAGCTCATTTTACCATCGGTTTTTTGTTAGATGGGATCACTACGTGAGCCTCCTGGAGAACTTTGAAAAGGAATGTCCTAGCTACCTAGAGATGATTTGGGATGAATTGAAGGAAGGGGTTTGGTGCGTAATATTGTTTTTCCACCTTGATTTTACTGACTGTTTGAAATAGGAATGGTAATGTTCCTGGTGCGGAAGACGCTCCTACCACCACTTTCAATTTCTCTGCTCTGGAGACTGCTGGACGTGCAGCAAAGGCTAGGAAATCTGGCACTGAGTAGGAATAAATTTTAGTTGTATTTGATCGCTCAATATCATTGGCTTTTGTTGCCTTTTTTTGGCTTTGTTTTGGCTTTTTTTTTTGGCTTTTTTTTCATCTAAAGTGATCTCTAAGTGAAAAATAATACATTAAAAGACAACTATAGATGGTCCCTGCTATTCTGGAGCACATCGTTCTAAGAGCAAGAATTGCAATTAGTGTGAGCGCTCTGCAATAATTGCAATAATTGCATCAATAGTCAGGTTTCTTGATTTTTGACAGCATCTCTCTAAGAGCAAGAATTGTGATTATTGACTCTATATGTCATTTAAATAAGGGCACTTGTCTTTTTTTGCTCTGAGGGATATAGATGCTATATTTGCATAAATAGTGCTATATTTGCAATTAGTGCAAATACCATTTTTCCTGATGCAGGGGATACCCTCAGACTCCCACTCGCAATTGAGGAGGTTCACCCGTGGACCGCGCAAGAACAGCAGCTCAATATGCTACCATACCTCATCATGCCAATTCAGAGGCAGGAAGGCAAGTGTACGATTGACAGGTCCAGGAATGGCATGTGCAGCATGGTGCAGAAACCATACCCAGCTCGCAAAAACCCTACCCGTTGAAACCTGGCACAGCACCCATCAGATGCCGTGAATGTTTCAGTTGTGGAATGGCAACGTTGCCACCACATCAGTCCTATGAATGCCCTAACCAGCCACTTCCCCCCCAAGAGACCAAGTGGAGAGAGACCGTATTGTGCTTGGTCTCGAGAATGCTGGCATCAGCAACCACACCAGGACCAACCACGAATGTACAATTTGTGGCACCTGCAGCAGGACCCCCCAACAACATTCATTATGCAGCTCCACAGCCTATAGGGTACCCGCAGTACTCACAGCCTTAGCTGTAGTATTTGGCCAAACTTATATGGTTGTTGCCGTCGATCAGTTGACAGATTCATTGGATCTTTCCTCTAGCCAAATTGGGAAGAGCTTGGGTTAGGGTTAGGCCTACCTGCAACATTAGGTCACCTGATATTTTCGCATTTTGAGCCACCTACCGTGGGAACTTCCCCACAGCACTCAATGAGGACATCTCGATCCCAGAATATCCGGGACATCCAGGACATCCGACCCATGCTTGCATAATGCAAATCTCACAGTCACAACGTACCACGTGACCCACAGCCATGATGCGTGCATGTCTGCTGACACGTTGACCATGGCTGCTACCCAGCCAGCGCTTGCAGTACTGCAAACACTACAGGCTGAACTCTCTCCTGGCGCACCATTGACATTCAGTAGCCCTTTCAGGTTCATGACCCTGGCATTGACACTTAGGAACGACATCTTACTCATCCAAGCTGCATCACACCCCTCCAATACTGCTCCCGACTTTATGTCTCCTGCCATCAATTTGTTCTTGGCAGCCTGCTATGGTCTCAGCGAAAGTGATGTAGATGTGCACTGGAAGGTTCTCAAGGATCTTGTGTGGCATAGCGATGGAGACATATTTGGTATCGAGGACATGTTCCCCTTGTTTGCGAATCATGGGCGACAACATGGAATCAGTGCATATTATCATTTTATACAGGGATAACTACTGAGAGCATCAATAGCGCCACAAGCACTTTACCTTCCTCACCAGACGTGCCTGACTGAAGGCTGTCCCGCTCATGCGAAGGCGTCTGTCCTCAAGAAAGCCGAGCAAAGACAGATCGTTCTCTATACATTGGATCATGGCCCGATTGCTACATACTCTATCCACCTCTATGGCGCAGGTATGTTCTACTATCCAGTATGTGATCTCATATTGAGGCACTTGTGACAGGGTGCAACACCAATTACCACCATGAATATAGTGTCAAAGACAAGACTCGTATGTTCTACCCTGGCATTCCTGACATCATACAAGTCGGCGGACACCAGTTCATGGAAACTAGGGTTGTGCGTATGTGGCGCACACTGATGCTTGTCTTGTGGTGAGTACACGATGTCCAGCTGACTATTTTGTTCTGATGGAAGCCTTCACAGGATGTCAATGTCCAATTGCACACGGCTATACAATGTATCACTGATGCAGAATGTGAAACCTCCTCCCGACTTCCCATGGAACTTTGAACTTATGGGAGATCACATTTGGCACGGTTTTGTGCAGTTCGCTCTTATGGAAGACTGCGTCGAGCACCACACTATATTATCTGTTCCTCAAGATGGTGACCAGAGAGCACATTTTATGACCGACAACTGACGACACCCACCGCACACAAAAACTTCGTTAAAGACTTTGCGACACATTACACCCAGCTTGCAAGGCTCCCGTACTTTGATTTGGTTCACCAGGTCATAATCAACCCCATGCATAATCTCTTCCTCGGTTATCTCCATTTGGTTTCTCAATTCATTGCATGCTTATAACCCACTAGGTCTAGTCAAAACCCATTTCTACAACATTTGGGTGCAAGGAAAGGTACTTCGTCCAAATAATGAACTAACTATGTTTCACACAATGCTTGCCAACGTAAGTTCATATTTTCTTGTTTCATATACCTTATATCTCACATAGTTCACTATACCGAGCTCTTGTGGCAAGCTTCCTAACGACATTGGAATGCCCTCCGGAGGATTGTTGACAGCGGATCAACGGCTCTTACTTTCGACCGTCTACGGCCCCATCGTTGTGGGTGTTTCTAACTCTACATAACGACAACTTGTGCTGACTCAGCAATCATCTTAGATACCTCAACTCTGGAGCACTTGTCTCCTGGGCACTGAGAGTGACCAAATTCTACAAGATTGTGTGGCACAGATCAAACAACTCGAAACTGAGAAAGCTCGGCAAGCTGAGAAGAAAATAACAGATCGAAGGGTGCTCGAGGAAGCGAAAAAGCGAGGTAAAGAAGCTTATGCACTTGAGAAGGTTCATATTGCCAAGGAGAAGGACCAGGAGGCCACTGCAAGGAATGACACTAGAGTTAAAGTCACCGCTGCGAAGCAAGCGGAGAAGGTTCAACTTGCTGCTGAGAAGAAGGCTAAGAAGGCTTGTATCTCCGCAGAGAAAAAGGCAGCAAGATATCGCAAGAAGGTATGTATTTGCATTATTTATTTCCTTCACTTACTATCTATTCTACAGGCAACACAGGCACCTCGCTCCGACTTGAGCCCTCAATCAGAAGCACTCCCCAGTACTAGTACCGTCACTAGTACAACTGCTCCTCCCAACAAAGTCCCCCCGATGACTGATGTAGGTGACGAGGGTGAAGACAAGATCAAATTTGGTTTTCACCCAGATGACCCTGCCAATTTCCTCAAGCTATCTAGAGTTTAAAAGTCCGGTTAAGTCCGGTCTTTTGCCTTATTTGGAGGCAACCGGACCAGGACCGGTCTTTTTATTCCCACAATATCAGCGAACCTGGACTGGACCCGTAAAGACCGATGTTTTTGGTCTTTTGTGGTCCTGCAACTGGTTTTAGACCGGTTGCCACCACAACCAGTCCTGTGGCAGTGTAGTACCCCTTCCCACAATTCCAACGGTCTACTTTTTGTAGTAAACAGTTAAGATCTGAGCAAGATATGAGCATTATAAAAAAGGGTTCCTAAACTCCGCCCTGCATGTGAGTAAAATATGAAATGTCATTACTATGCTTAAGTTTCTTGACGAAATATGTGCTGCTAGTCAAGGCGATACTATAGCTAGTCTTATCTAGTCAATAGGTGTTAAGACCTTGTTCAACGGGTCGGACCGGAGGGGCTTAGCTTCAGCTCGTGCGCTGCGCTCTTTACCCGAGTACGTGCCCCTAATTTACAGGGGGTTGGATATCGTCGGCCGAAGGGTATAGACGGGCCGGACGAGAGAGAGAAGACTACCCGAGACTTCGTCCGGGTAGAAACTAACAAGGTACAGACTACCCGAAGGTAGAAGCGGAGGGATTTAGCCTTAGGGATATAATCCCGAGGCTCGGAGGGTCGGACTAGGAAGACAATCCTAAGAGCCGAGGGAACACGAGGAATGAACTGAGTCTAAGATGATATTCGAACTGAGGATATACTACGGGTTACAAGGGGTTTATATACTATAAGGTATCCGACGGACGTCCGGCCGAAGCGCAGTCTTCGGATCAGAGGGCTATGTAGAAAATGTACTAACGGATATGAACTGCTGCGGACGATCGAAAATGGAGCTGGAGATTAAATGAAACAGGGGGGACAAGTTAAATGAAAGGAAAATGAATAGACTAACGGACGGATCAGAATGAACCCGGATATTAACTGTCAGAAGGATCCGGGCGTATAGGGGCATCAAGAAGCATATACAAATGGGGACACGGGGAAATGAATTCTAGAATGGAACCGAGAGAACGGACGGACCGGACCGGACGAGAAGCTTCAGGTACGGAATATGACAATAGGGTAAGATATAAGCAAGATATAAGCTTGACAAAAAAACGTTATCAGGGTTAGGTGTCTTGATGAAATATGTGCTGCTAGTCAAGGCGATACTGTAGCTACTCGTATCTTGTCGAACACTCAAGGTTTGGGTAAGTTATGAGCCAATTGGTGATTTTGACTCGCCGTTCTAACATGTCTGATCTTTGTGCTAGTCTTGGAGCATGATAAATCATCAAGAGTTATCTAAATTTGATGTTCCATACCATTTTTGAGGTCTACGAACACACTGGTAAAGGTTTTTAAGCTTGGAAATCAACCCTGGTTCAGTGCCAACAAGCCTAAAAACATGCCCCACAGATTTATACGAGCCATTCTTAAAATGCTTGTAACTTTCCCAAATCTCAACCGATTTTGAAGATCAGACCACCGATAGAATCGCCTAAATGAGCACTACCCATATATAGGCAACCGGTTCCACAATGGACCGGTTGAGACCGGTCTTGGACCAGTCTTTCATTTTTCGCAAAAGTTAGGCAACTGCAACCAGACTTTTCTGGACCTGAGGCAACTGGCAACCGAGGTCCGGTCTTTTTCGGTCCGGTTTCGGTCCGGTTGCGGTCTTTTTTCGGTCTTGCAACTGGACTTTTAAACTCTAAAGCTATCTGCTGCCCTCCATGTCTTGATGCGACATACCTTGTCTGATGCAGACATCGACTCCACAGATACTCTTATCCGGAAATATACAACTGACTCAAGGGATGTCTATGGTGCGGTTCACTTAGAGGCCACTACTTTTGACCAAGCGCCAAATCGAGTCGTGAAAAATGCAGATGTAACCCTAACCCTAATATGACATGTGGATCCTAGCTACAGAGGTACACTAGCGCTAGCTTCGATACTCGTGAAACAGATGTCATTGCTTGCCTGAATGTTCAAAAGTTTGAGTGAGTCACGACGTGACGAGTAAGAATGGCCAACACACACCAGAAAGCAGCAGCAGCTCGTGCAAGAGCTGCAAGGCTTGCAAGAAAAGCCCCAACACATCCACCTCGTGTTCGCATGTACAGGTGAATGGATGCTCACAGGATGGGACTCGGGACTGTGGACGCACAGCTGCAGGTCAAGAAATTTAGTTCAAGACAGTACAAATCTCATAGACGTATTCCAGACACAGTAGCACAAGTTTTTGACCAGTAGTACACATATGCGCCAATTTGGGGTGTCCCGATATAAAAATCTTGCTCAAATTTGATCCAGAGAAAAATCGCTCTTGGGTTTTTATTCAACACATCAAAAGGAACATTTTCCCAAGAGGGATTGAAAAACTGACGAAATTTGAGTGTGGGAAACATTTGGTCAAAAGTAGCGGCCTCTAAGTGAACCGCACCATAGTTCACCTGTCTCACTTATGGCATGCTCACTAATTTGCGCTCAATATCTAGCTTTACAGCTTGAATGTTATCAAACCGAATCACCATTATGCTACACACATTGCAAGTTTTGTGTGCAACTTCGGACCACTCCATGACTTCTGGACCTTTCTATTCGAGCGCCTCAACAAAGTTCTAAAGTCCTTCAAAACGAACAACCATGCAAATGGAGAACTTGAAACAATGTTCTTCTCAGAATTCCACCAAACATGTGAATCAAGTTGCTTGGTATGTCTCTCGCAGCTTTCATATGATTAACTTCATGATTCATTTTCTCTTAATAGACATACACATTACTGCAAATTCCCAAGGAGTCTCTGCCATGTGAAGTGGCAGAGCACATGCTCAAAGCATCAGCCAAAGAACACAGTACAGTTGCGGCTCTATCTAAAGAGTTAGATGATGTTAAACAACGATGGTAAGTAACTAGTACTAGTACTTCCTTCTTATGATTAGCTGACTTCTTTCATTTTACGTAGCTGGACAGATCTATGCACTCAGCCCACGCCGTCAGAAAACTTCAATGATGCTGGAGACATGCCGCTTACTAGCGCAGTCAATCTGTTTCCGCTCACCTCTCACTCCTGTACACTGCCGATCAGACCATCCTGTCGTCCCTCACAGTATCCCCCTCAATCATGAGGCTATGTTTTTTGATTATGTCATTCTTGAGGGCAAGTGTTATTACGCATCTCATACCGTTGGTCACAATTCTTCTTCTCTCGTACATGCTGTCATCCCCAACTTGCATGGCAAAGGGAGCCGTGATGCATACGGGGAATTACTCGAGGTATTTCAGTTTGAGCAAGATATTTGTTTTGCAGGTTGATTGATGTGGTTTGCCCATATGCGATGGTTCAGGCCATGGCATGGGTCAAGCGCGTGTTGGGAAGACTTGTAAGTAATCACCTCGTTTGTGACATATTTTACATGCTGATTAGTTTGAAGTGCTGCTGTGAGTGTTCGTCTTTGGGAAATGGAGGAATACCAAGGATCGGACACACAGCTCCCTACCCTCATAGACCTTAATTGTGTACAAGGCCATCTAGCGCACACGGTAGTTTCAATTGGTACAGATCAGGTGAAGGCATGGGCAACCATTGATCTGTCTAAGGAGAGTCATTATCTAACCACAAATCATTCACAGAAACTGACTTTTGAGAACTGCAGTAAATTTTATTGCATGTGTCCAGATGTATAGCGCACTAGATGTATAGCGCACTGCCAAGATATGTCAAGATATTCGAGTTCACGTCACCATGAGTGTGATAAGTTATTTTCGATGAAAGCTACTCATCCGTGTTATCCTCCTCATCCGCCTGCCACTCTTCCAACTCAGCGAGGTATTTCTTATCTTCTAATGCCAGGTCTTCCTCACGCTCATTTTTACGAAACTCCTTTGGCCACTCTGCACCTTCAACCACCTTTACCTCTTCTTTGTGCCTCTCCAACCACACTGCATCGACCATGGTATTTAAGAGGGCCGTGGACTTCCCCGACTTGGGGAGACGATGACTCATATCAGAGGGATGTGCGTCGAAGGTCATCTTGAGTGTTTCCTTTCCCTTTCCCCTGCCCTTGGCTAGCTTGTGGCGCTTTGCTGAAGGCTCCGTAGATCTGTCCTGCGTATTGGCTCCTCCACCACACCTATGTATCTCATCTAACATGCGGAGAAATGCTACATACTGTCAACAAGTCAGGTAAGTAGTTCAAACTCTTGTATGAATTGAATTCTTACGTCTATTGATTGCCACTCTAACCCAACAACTCTGCAACTTGTCTTGCCTTGGCCTTGGTCCTTGCGACGGTCCTTCGTGTCAGTGCTCAGCTTAGCCTCGTCGTATGACAGGATGTCTGATCCGTAGTCTGTGTCAATCAGCGCAACTGACCCTTGGTGTTCATAGGATCTCTCAAACTCCGGAACAGCTTCGTGGCGATGATTTGCCGCCTGTTAGTATATATATTGGTAAGTGATCATTTATATATTGATGAGCCACAAACAACTCACAGTTTGACGTCGTCCACGACGACGAGAATTGATTTGCTTGTTGGTAAGCTTTTCTGTCTTCTCAGGCGACAAGTGGCTAGAAACTTGCTGACTTAAGTTTCTCCAGTATGATTTTGCAATCGTGGTGATGACGCTGCGAGTGTAGTCCTCGTCTAGCATCTCTGGTTTTTTCTTCAGATCGTTTCATAAGGACTCATGGGGTGATCAGCTAGGATTTGAACTTGAAGCCCTCACTGTTTCGTTATCCCAGACACGTTGAATAACTTCCGCAATATATAGGGCATTTACTTTATCGTCAATTTTTGCGCTCCATTGTGGCCTCCATATGCTTGTTCCGTTCACCACCTCGAAGGGTTTGCCGTTCTCGAGAGGCAAAACCTTTGCAAGTAACTCTGTTCGTTCTCCTCAATCCGTGCTGACATCTCATCCACATAGTTCGAAGGTTACGGGCTGAATAATGGGCTGATAGTAGTGTGGTCAGCGTGCAATACATTTGATGGTGCGCAGTCATTTACCTTTAATGCTGGATGTTTATTTGAAATATTCTTCTTTCCCAGTGTGCTTCTAGTTGTGCTTGACACCATCATGTGTCGATGTTTTGCATCAACTCATTGAGCGTATTCTCGTATTGGTGAGCATGTTCCTCATTTGTTTTCTGGTTTGTGATAATGATTTGGCTAGCAGATTTGATAGTGGTGAGCCGGACATTCATTTTTTTGCATTTTGGTGAGCAGTTGTTGCTGGAAACTGCCCTGGTTCATTGACGAGTCATTGCGAAGCATAGCATTATGAAATTGGGGTGTTGGGGGCATCAAATACCCTCACAGACTCGGATGCTCACTTATCATGGGTGTAGGAGGAGGTATGGAATGCCCCCGAGATCCATGGTCACTGCCATATGGTGTAGCATGCGGATTATATCCTGTGGGTGTTTGGTCTAATTGGTGAGGATGCATCTGATTTAATACAGGTGCACTCTGCAACCCTCCAAAGTCATACATCCTGACCCCCTTGCCATACAAACCTAGTGCTGATTGGTTGAAACCAGCTTGGCAGTCTCCATGTGTTGTATCTATAAACAGGTCATTCTGGGGTATCGCCGAGCCAGGGTGCAGTGTAGTGCCTTGTAGCCCCTGTGGTGTATTAACAGGTTTTTCTACAGGCACACCAGTTCTGTCAGATTGATGCCGCATGCCTTGATGTCGCTGAAACATGGTGAGACAACGTGCACAGCGGTGGGGGTTCAACCAGAAGTGCAATTATTTGCAGGGTTTATCGAGGGGCAGCGGCATAGGAGGATCTGCCATAGATTTTATTGTTGCTATCTGTATCCTATCTCGACTCAATCTAGACTTGAACCATACCCTATCCATACCTAAGGACTGATATATTTGCTTCCTTTCTACACACAAACTTGGGGATGGATTGTATTACTGGCATCAACCTAGACAATGGATACTACATTTATCTAGAGTACAGTTAAAGTTCGAGTAGCCCAACCTTCCATACATTTTTTGGACTTAGGCAGATGTACTTGCCTCTATCCAGTTTAAGTATAGTTAGAACTTCTATTCGTACTCTATCTGGATATGGACAAAAACTTGTTTCCGCAGTGACTATAACAACATATATTTTTCTAAAAAAAAAAGTTATTAGCCGTTTAGTATCTCTATCTTGCCGGTTCCTGTCACTCATGTTTTATTTCACTCTTTTTTCTGCTGAGGTGTGCTCACCCAAAAGCACCCATCCTCCAGACTCGCACTTTTGTTGCTCTATCATGTTGCCTCATTGTGTACTTTCTATTCTCTGTTCGCAATAAAATTTTGACTGGGTCCCCCAAGCACGGAGCTGAGGGACTGGGACTGCTGAGTGCTGCAGGAAGTATAGCTGCCGACACGAAAAACCACGGTCCAGTCACAGTGTGACCGAAGTGACTGATCGTGACTTTCTTTGTGACCTGATCTGCCCAGCCCAGTGATCGGGCGAGACACCCAACACCCCCCACGCTGCACGAACTGACACTGATACTGGGTTGCCCCAAGGACAACAGACGGCAGGCGACTGCCCACCACCCACCCCAAAGACAGTGGGGCAGAAATGGCTCCCTTTTCGCCAGGGACTCAGTGAGCCCTGTTTTTTTTGGGCAGGGGAGGAATAGAAGAATTGACGGCTGCTGCATGTGCGCTGGGCATGCACCACACACAAGAACTCAGAGGGGACCTGGTCACTTCACTCACCGAGGGCATATGGGGGGTTTGGGTCTTGGAAATGAATGTTGGAGTCTTGATGGCGCAAACGAGAGCAAAGGAAGGGACAGTTTGTGAAGGGGTCTGCAAAAGGTGTGTGCTGACTTGTGGGGCCTAGGCAGTCGCTAACAGTTTTCTGCCGGCACCAATGTAGGTTTCCGAACAAGACTTTGCAGTCCGCAATGTCACGCCCATTTGGGAGGGTGTTTTTTTGCCCAAGAAACCCATGGCAGATGGGTGAGATTCCCTGCCAAAACGGAGGGACGGAGAGTTGGACTGTGCTGTTTCTCCCCCAAAAACACTGTCCTTGTGCGCTAAAGACAGTCCTGCGCATGCTAAAGACAATCCCTAGCACATGTTCCCACTCTGTTTATTGCGGACCTACTAAGTCTGGTCCACTTATGTTGCAGGCGAGGCACCATCTGCGTCTTGGAGGTCTCTGATCCACATCTGGCTCGGGCAAGTACAATATCATCATTCGCCTCTGGACACACACATTCCATCAACTCCTTGAGGCCTCGAGTCGTGCCTTTTTTTCCTTGCCCCTAGCTCTTGAACACCTCCAAGATTTTATATATTATGCCTACACTCTCTACACCAGCCTTCTTGAGGAGCCCACCTGCACTTGTTCTGATCTGGCTGGCTTGAAGCTCTTGGAGACCTTGTGTGCTATCGCATGGCTGCGGCCCCAATGGTTACCAACAACCAATTGAAAGGCTTGGCACTACTCACAGACACTGTTTCAAAAGTGGCCACAGCATCTGTAGATAGCAAACCTGTGACAGCCAAGAGTGAGTCACAGATTGTCTTACTGCCCAGGTAGATGACCCACCAATTCTGAATACTGGCATTGTTGCTGCGCAGATAATTGATGTTCTCAGAGCCAGAGAAGGAGTGAGTGCTGGCGAATTATTTCAAAGGAGTGGTAAGGCGCTCAAGGCCAGCACCCCAGCCCATGCTGAGCATTGTGGCAGGCTATCTTAGTTTGATCTCAATGGTGCACGGCTCTTGATCAACGCATGCAAAAAACTTGGTGCATAAACTGCTTTCTCTTTGCCAAACCCTCTTAGACTCTACCATCTGATCTTACAGTGGCTCAAAAAAGTGTCCAGATGTTTGTGTGATTTTGAGTAATTGGATCATAGCAAGCCAGCACCTAAATATAACATATTGGTATAGGGACATGTCTGAAAGCCCTATATCATGGCTCGAATCTGAGCTATGTAGCGTGGGACCAAACCCTTATATGGGCAAGATATGGTAATTCTATTCTTATGACTCATTCGGACACTTTTTTGACTTTATATTAAAATCACAAAATGAGACCATTCATACATAATAATCTTAATGAAAGTGGTACCATAATAATAATATGGTATGATTTTAATATTATTTGAATATATAAACCCACATAAGATCATGAAATTTAACATACTCATCATGAAGCCCATCTCCTCTGCTCAAAAGGATAATATCCTTGTTCTCTCTACCTCTGGTTTATCTATCAGGAACATTGCTTCCAAAACTGGTCTTGGCAAGTCTACTATTGCTACAGTTATAAAACAGAACATACCAGATAAGGAAAATGTCAAAATGGGATGTCCTCCTAAGCTTACCCCACAGAACAAAAGAGCTGTTGTTCATCAAATTCTGTCTGGCAAGGCTTCAAATGCTGTACAAGCCACCAAGTTCATCAATTCCATTATCTCTACTCCTGTCTCCACCCAAACAATCAGAAACACCCTCAAGGCAGCCAATCTCAAGGCTGTAACCAAGAAGAATAAACCTCTTCTCTCAGCAGCTCATAGGAAGAGAAGATTGGCCTTTGCTTTAAAGCACCAACATTGGACTGTGGAAGACTGGAAGAAGGTCATTTGGTCAGATGAAACAAAAATCAATAGAATGGGGTCAGATGGTCAGGAATATGTGTGGAAAAAGGCAGGAGAACCTCTAGGAGAAAGAGAAGTTAAGGGTACACTGAAGTTTGGAGGAGGAAGTATGATGGTATGGGGCTGCATGGGGTGGAATGGTGTTGGGATTCTCTGTGAGGTGGAGGGAAGGATGAATGCAGAGCAGTACACCTCTATCCTAGAGGAGTGTTTACTCAAAAGCATGCAAGAGTCAGGAATTGATGAAGAAGACATTATCTTTCAACAAGATAATGACCCCAAGCATACCTCAAAGCTGGCCACAAAATGGTTTGAAGACCATGACATCAATGTTTTATTATGGCCAGCACAGTCCCCAGACCTCAATCCCATTGAACATCTCTGGGAATTACTCAAGAGACTACTTGCTGCCTATCAAGATCCTCCAAAGGGGCTATTTGAACTATGGGAGAGAGTTGCAGTAGAATGGGCAAAAATTGCCAAGGAGGAGTGTCAGAAATTGATAGAAAGTATGCCTAGAAGGGTTTCAGCAGTAATTAAAGCCAAGGGAGGCAACACAAAGTACTAGAATCATACAATAAGATTGGTTTAACACAAAGTCAAAAAAGTGTCCGAATGAGTCATAAGAATAGAATTACCATATCTCGCCCATATAAGGGTTTGTTCCCACGCTACATAGCTCAGATTCGAGCCACGATGTAGGGCTTTCAGACATGTCCCTATACCAATATGTTATATTTAGGTGCTGGCTTGCTATGATCCAATTACTCAAAATCACACAAACATCCAGACACTTTTTTGAGCCACTGTAGTTCAATCTTAATGGCACGCAGCTCTGATCAACACTTGCAAAAAACTTGGTGATTAAATGACTTTCTCTTTGCCAAACTAAGCCTGACTCCACTCTCTATCCTAGTTCAATCTCAATGGTGCACAGCCCTGATCAACATGTGCAAAAAACTTGTACTTAGGCCGGATGGTCTTGGTATGTTTGTGTCTTGAGTCTTTGGCAGCTGTCCTTGACAGGTGGTGGTGGGGTGGGCAGTGGGAAGGTGAGTGGGGTTGAGAAATCAGAAGGTGGAGTCACATAGTGGGTATGGGGCTGACGTCTGTCTTGCATGGTGTGTGGAGCAGATGTGTTGGCAGTTTGTGGTGAATCTGGTGTGTTTGTTTTTTTGTGTTTCCTTTTTCCATTGGGAATAGTGTGTTCGGGCACTTGGACTTTTCTCACTCTTGGAGGTGCAGATGATTTTGAGGATCGTTTTCCTGAGGGGCAGCAAGCTCACTGCCCGTCACCTCATCTCCAGACAATTCTCCACACACCCGTTAAATACCCTCACTGACGCACATTATCTAGGACCCGGATGCTGAACTCGAGCTTGACGAGAAAATCCTCTTCTCACCAGAGGGCGCACGCGTGCACCCAGGGTGCATTCCATGCTGTATTTGGGCACGGACCTGCCATTGAATTGGACTCTTATGTCATGTATCATGCCCGTGAGTGTGTATTGCTTTGTCGTTCATTGAGAAATTGCTGACTTTTCTAATCTGCGTGTCTTGTAGAATTTGAGTATGGAAGGCTACTAGCACGACCAGGCGACAAGGATGCTGCGAGGCAGCTAGTTCTACAAGTGATATCCTTTTCTTGCTGCCTGATCATCTTCACAGAACCTACTCACTGTGCCCCAATTTAGGGTTAGGGTTACATTCCAGAACAGATTTCCGTACGTGGAATAACCCTAACCCTAACTAACTGGGCTAACCAAGCCTAACCACTAAGGACAAAGTGCTGTTCTGACGAGAACTTGCACAAGGTTCACAACTGGTGCTACAACATTTCTTTCTACCATCACTCTGTCTCTTGATCTATCATTGATCATTGTGAACCTTTCAACCTTTCATCTTCAATTCTCAAATGTTCTGACGGATGTGTCATCAGCAAGTTCTTGTCAAAATCTTGCAACAACCAAATTCTGTCTCGGCCACAAGTTTGTGGTAGTGCAACATAGACATTGAATGGAGTAAGCCCCGTGGTAGGTGTACTTGTCTAACATTAATATTTTCTTCTCCAGGACATACACCGGTGGATACATCAGTTTCACCATCGCAGCTGTCGGCAAGAACTCTTTTTTGCATAACAACTCAATCATGTCCAACCAGCACTCTCGAGAGGTAAGTGACATTCATATAATCATGCATTTAACTGACCATTGTTAGTACAGGCACTGTATTATCAAAACTCGCCATTCTTGCAAGACGCTGGGATCACTGCATCCCTCAGCCCTATTTCAGTCACTAGGTGTGTACCCTCCCAACACTAAAAATCCACCATGTCAATCAGCTTCCACCTAAGTTCTTGCCCTCGACCGTCCAAGAACCCCCAGGATTGCTGGGCACTTGTCATATACCGTACACTGAGCCCCTGAATCATATCCCATCTCTCGCAACACACAATGTCTGGACCTGCGAAATGTAGCCAAGCTATACCTTAACCCTATCCCTACCCCTCGGCAGGATAACTCCGCATCCCAGTCTCCACAGCAGGATCTGCCCTGCTTTCCTATACATCGGACGTCCTATACGTCGGACGCCCTATTCATCGGTCCTCCTCCTGCATACCTCGGATCTCCTTTTCGTCGGACGTCCTATTTGTCGGATCCCACTCATGTTGTCCACTCGTCCACTCATCCACTTGTCCGCTCATCCACTCATCCACTCGTCCACTAGTCCGCTCCTCCTGTATTCGTCGGACATCCTATACGTCAGACCCGCTCGGGTCCACTTAACCCCTAAGCATCGGACCCTAAACATCGGACCTACTCAGATCCTGAGCTTCAGACCCAGGTCCACTTAACCCCTAAAACATCGGATCCACTTCACAGTTCATCTCTGTCCCCATTTCCCATGATCTGCTTGACAGTTCATTTCCGGTCCTGCTCCTATTCTGTTACCCCATTTGTATAGTCCCCTTGTCCTAACCCCTATATACCCGGATCTGTTTGACAGTTAATATCCGACTTCATTCTCGATCATACCTCCTATGCCCGGATCCATTCGATACTTCATCTCTGTCTCTGTTGCTGTATTATTTTCCTTGCGCCTGTCAGTTTAACCTTTCCATATGTTCCTCGCGTTGACCCAGATCTCCACTGACTCCGTCCCCGTCGCACATGTCCATAGTATATAATACCTTGTAAACTTGTAGTAGTTTCCTCAGTTCAAATATCACCTTAGATTATCCTCATTCCTGTTTCCTCGGACCCGGATCCATTTCCATGGGCCCGGGTCCACTTCCCTGTCCAACCTCTGTGTCCTAGGATTGATTCCTCGGGCTATACTCCGCCTCTACCTTCGGGTAGTCTACCTCTGTCAGTTTCTACTCTGGACATTGTCTAGTGTAGTCTTACCTCTAGCTTCTGTCCTTTCGGACATCCTGTCCTCTCGGACTTCCTGTCCTTCTGTCCCCTCGGACTTCCTGTCTTTCTGTCCTTACACCTGTCTGTTCTGTCCCCCATGTCCGCCGGACTAAAGCCCCTATTCTCCGGGTGTACTAAGCCCCTATTGTCCGGCGGACTAATCCTCTTATGTCAGCCAGACTAACCCTCCTTACGTCGGCCGACGAACCCCCTTTATGTCGGCCAGACTAATCCTCTTATGTCGGCCGGACTAATCCTCTTATGTCAGCCGGACTAACCCTATGATCGGCCGGACTAACCCTCCTTACGTCGGCCGACGAACCCTCCTTATGTCGGCCGGACTAACCCCCTGAACATCTGCCTGACTCTCCCTCGAAAAGCCTACCAGACTTATCCCCTTGAAGTCCACCGGGATTCATCATCCTCCCTCGGACTTTGTTTCTAGCCTTCGGAAATTAAGGGCACGTACTCGGGTAAGGGGCGCAGCGCACGAGCTGAAGCCAAGCCCTTCGGATCCGCCCCTTGAGCACGGTCTTAACAGCGCTTATCAGTGTGGGCATCAGCAACTCAACTACATCTGACCAGCACTATGTAAGTGATACATTCATCTTTTCATGCGTCTAAGTGACTGTCAGTACAGGCGCTATATTATCTCCCAACATCTCACCCTTGACCGTCCATGAACCCCCAGCACTGGGTATTCCCCAACCATATTTCAGTCACCAGGCACATTGTTGCTCATTGCGACCAAACATTGCATCCCTCCTTTGAAGGCAAACATAGGTAAAAAAAAATGCACAATTATTTAGGGGCAGCACACTAACTTGTTCCTGCTGCACATCTGGGTACTAGCTCAGATACACCAGCGCTCATCAATAAACTAGAGGGTTTGCTTGTCATCATGGGGATAAACAGCCTGTGGGAGGTATGTGCACCTGCTGCTTGCCGGATTTCAAACCTCAGATGCTTTACAGTTACTCGAGCCTGCAGCGAAAATGGTGCCTGTCATCTCTCTTGCCCTCCAGGGCCACTACATAGGGCCCGCCCCTCACCTGCCCTATGTGGTAGGGGTTGATGCAAGGTTAGCATTTGGATATCAGCAGCCATGTCCACATTTGACACTAAATGTCTACTACCATCCAGCGGATGGTTTGAACAGTGCCAACAAGGCAAGTGGCATTGAGCACATGCTCAGACTGGGCAGAATCCCGCCCTTCAAACATTTCTATTTTGCCTCGCTCGACTTACTCAGTACCCAGTACAACTGGTTTTCTGCTATGATGGTAACCTGCGGCCTGATGTCAAGTGAGGACATAAGGTGTCTTCTAGAGAACACTGGATGGTCAAGCCAACGAAACACATCCTGGATGTTTTCAACACACAGTGGATCACAGTGCGTTTCCTTTACCTTGTTTTGTTTGTATCATCTAACTTTAGTACATAGGCTGCAGGAGAAGCCGAGGCTCAACTTGCCTTGATGAACAGGGCTGGTGTCATTGACACCATAATGACAGATGACAGTGATGTCTTTGTGTTCAGTGGGAAGACTGTCCTCCGAAAGTAAGCTTTTACTTTAGACTTCAATCATCTGTCCCTCATGTTCTTGCCTTAGCTCAACATTCTCCGCGGACACGATCAAGATATATACTGCTGGTGCCATTCAAGACCAAATTGATTATTGTCTTACTGGTGATGCTTTTATTACCATGGCTATTTGCTGCGGTGGTGATTATGATAAGGCAAGCTTTGATCTTGTTATGTGGACACTACACTGATATTTTCCTTCAGAATGGTCTTCTAGGCTGCAGGTGTGAGATAGCACTTGGCCTGGTTTGGTGCATGGACAACAGTATGCTGCACAGTGCTGCATGCAGCAGCAATCAGGACAGGGTCCTCGATCAGTGGCGAAACATTTCTCAATACCACCTTTTGAGTGATCCCACTGGAAGAATGGGCCGATCACATCCAGCACTTTCTTGTTCACTCTCTGAATCATTCCCTAGTGTGGATGTCATCAACTTGTATGCCTACCCTGCAGTCACCTCACTCGCCGAGCTAGCCAAATTGCAACTGCCAGCTCCCCCTGACCTTGCTCAGCTCACATCTGTAATTCAGCAACTCCTGGGCTGGAGCTCAAAGAAGCTTCTTACTACCTTCCATACTAATATCTGGCCTGTTGTCGTCCTACATGAACTCCTGGAGGATCTTGCTAACAATTCGCCCAAGAGCAATGAGGTCTGTGATTGCTATAACATCTCAACACACTGATAGACATGTGATCCAGATTAGTCTTGCCTCCGGCTGCACAAGGGCAGTGTTCCTCAACCATGCATCACGCGCAAAGAAGACACTTGCCGGAATTTTGGGGCACAATACTGATGTGCCCACTGATATGCTTGAGAAGGCCACACTTCAGCTGCTCGACCCAGAGGAGCCGGCCTCAGGCTGTCAGGATGATATAACACCATCACATAAGTATGTTCGAGTATGGCTTCCAGACAGGATCTATGACAGCTGGGTGAAGACAATGTTTCTATCATTGTCAGGTGATCCCTGCACAGCAGAGGTGCATCCCTCAGCCACGTCATTACTGCCCTCGCTGACATAGAGATAGAGCACTCCCTCGTCAATGCCATATGCTGTCCGTCAGTTGCCTGCGCACACCACCCCTGATTCTGCTGCCAGTACCTCTTCTATGAGTATCATTGACCTCACAGAAGACGAAGATGCAGGGGAGCTTGCCAGTAGCATCATCATTGATCTTACAGGTGATGATGATAATGATGACTTGATTGATCTCACTCTTTAATTCATGATTCAGTACTATACTTGTATCTTGTTCTTGTACTATATGTGACTTAATAAAGGTGCGGTTGCAAGCATAATAGGACAGGGAGCAAGTCTATTATTTCAATTTTCACCTACTCAAGCACATGAACAGCACCGCCCACACTGTCTGCACTTGATAGTTGGTCACTGGTTTGGATCAAAAAAATGCTCTTGTGGCTCCGCTGGGTCGTCGTTTGAAGATATAAGATACTTAACTATTGTCATGTTAGTGAATTTGGTGCTCCACCCGCCCCACTCACAAATCCTTCTCAGATGCCAGTGCCTTTCTATGTGCAAGTATTAGCAGCCTCCTTGACGAAATGAGTGGGTGCTGTAGGGAGCAGGGTCAATATTTATGTCGAGAAGGTTGTTCCAAAAGAGTTCCAAGAACTGTTCTGAGGACTTGAAGGCCACATTTAACTATTTATGCCAAGGTACAAAGTGGTAACGCACCATAGGGCTGTTTGCCTCTGCTATGCGGTCACCAGATGCCACTTTTGGGAAAAGGTAGCCTGATGTTAGCTTAGACTCAAGCAGCCAGGCAGTGAGTGCCTGTGTGGGACAGATATGGGCTTCATCTCATCTGAAGGGAGAACCCAAAGGTAAAATGGCTTGATATCTATTACACTTTTCGTGATTCTGCAAGCTCAATACAGATTCAATACATACCTCCATTTTGGTGGGTCCTTCGGAAGGGGAGGTATAGCACAACCCGATTTTTCTATGCTTGGATGGTCCAGTTTTGAGGGAGGTGGTTATGATAGTGTAGTTTAAATAACATTTCCTGAAAGAATTCAAATATTGCTCAAAATGAACACATGAAAAATTCAACATGACTCACAGATGTTATAGCATGGGCACTGTTAGCAACCTCGCTGGCCTGTACCTAGTAAAGCAGTTAAATAGTCAGCTACAAATCATCCAACATTTTTAGTGTCACCTTGCACCTCCGCAGCGAACACATAAACAATGACACCTCAACAGAGATCGAAGGATTGCTGACCATAGTGCCATCACCAGCATTGGACTCATGCCAATGCATGTTTCTGAGACTTCCCGACTTTCACACATTCATAATCCAGGCCACAATGACCCACAGAGCATTGGGTTGTTGTTTCTTGTTGAAGAAGTCTTCGTCTGACTGCAAAAGCCTCATCCTAATAGCAAGCGAGAGGCATGAATTCATTAATCTTCCATGCCACATGAGTAAATGTCAGCCTATCAAAGCCACACAGTAGTAGGACTATTCACCTCTTGTATTCAGCATCTGTGCCCTCTGTGACCCCCTTAGAAGTGTCCATGAGAGTCGCCTGCAGTTTAGCAAACTCAGAAGCATCCATTGATCTATTAACTGTCATTGTTGAGGCACTTAGTTCAGGGCCAATCAGGGTTTCTTGTTCTGCTGCAACATCCTCTTCGATACTGGCATCCATCTCGAGGTCGGTGGTAAGTGGAAGCACACTCCGAAAACCAGCAAAGTGTTGCTTAGGGTCAATCACTGTCGAGGTCATGGGTGCTGGTCAATAGAGAGTTTGTGTCTGAGTGCATCAGTGAAATTGTGGTGACCATACTTGTATTATTAGCTGACATATCCTAAACTTTGTATGCACAAGATAAACTATCCACCGCACTTCATGCCAGACCTTTGCCGGTCAACTCAATGAATCTTTTTGCAACAGCAGATGCCTTTGTCATGACGAACTCTTGTCCTCCTCTCCGGTAGGTAAAATGAGTGTCGAAGGTGGCACCAAACTCTCTGTGTGCCTGTTCTGCAAGGCGAGAGTCAACTGACATGCGTATATCATGCAGCTTCTGGATGATTGTGGTAAACTTCATGTGCTCTCCTTTGGCACTGAAGGTGGCCCAGAACTGCTCAGGACTGCCTTGATGGTAACGCTCGATGACAACCTGAGCACCGAGAGAATCAAAAGGTCAGTCAAATGTAGGTGGCGAGCATCCAAAGGGTATACTCACCTGCCAATCATTCCATTTATTCTTCATGCCCTGCCACTGCTGCTGTTTTCCATAGCGATAGAGTAACGGCCAGTATTCGACTGTGATTGGGTGACCACGGATGACAATGACAGACAGACCTTTCCAATGTTCAGTATGATCATCCCACATGTCATTGAGGCGCAGGATATCATGTGTAAAACTGATGGCAGGGGGATCAGGAATCTCGCTGGCATCCACTTCCAAGACAGTGCCATCTCTGAGCTGGAGTAGCTGTGGCTTCCCTGTCAGGGATTCTCTCGCTGCCTCACATTCTGATGCAGCAATCTCAGTGCTGGAGCGAGTGATGGCCTTGGCACCTAGTATAGGTGGGGACTGAGCAGCACTGGTTTCGTGGAGGGCACCTTGAACAAGGCTGACGATTTTTGCGCTCACATTTTGGATGATGGTGTCCTGCAACTGTTACTACCGGTTAGCTTGTGGCAGGAGAGATGTCAACGAGGAAGCACACCTCATCAATGTAGGGAACAGAGGGAATATTTGCAATGGTGGTCAGACAAGTATGACTGGACTCGGCACCAGCAACTGGAAGCACAATATCCATTGGCTGGTATGGATACTCTCTGGTGATCATCTCAGCTTATCAAGCCATAAGTTGGTCATTTCAATGAAGGAGGAAGGAAGGAAGGAAAGAAAGAAAGAAAGAAAGAAAGAAAGAAAGAAAGAAAGAAAGAAAGAAAGAGTGGCTTACCCATGGCAGCAGCGCTGCAACTTCAGCGGAGGTGTGTGTGTCCTTAGATCGGTCAATGACAGCAGTGGCAGCAGTGGTGCTGACCAGCTGTGCATGGCATTGCATAGACTGCTTTGTGCGGCCTGGCCTGGCTATGTCTGTGGGCCGATTTACGTGAGGCCCCTTGTGGGACTTGTGGGCACCTGGACGGAGCCTCGAGCAAGAAGTCAGCACCTAGTCACCATAGCAAAGTATAGCTGCGCACCTGTCCCATGAATCAGGCTCACAACTGAATTCCTCCAGCCGTTCAATCAGCATGGTCTTGCTGCCTGTCTGGCAGAGGTCAAACTCGGCACAGTGCTGCCTCAGCACTTTCACAGTCATATTGTAGCTATAGTACCAATGTCAATGTCTGATGGAAGTGAGCGAAGAAGACAGCATAACTTACATCGAGAGATGTTGAACCACTGGTTCTCTCTCCTGCCTGAATCGCCATGGGAAGGGAAGTGATCGCTCATGAGAGGACATTGATCCCTGAGTGGTGTCGCTGGTCATTTGGTCGTGTGCCCCAACATCAGCACTCCAGAATGCCTTGTTGTCATCTGAGCTGGGATGTGATCCAGTAGAACTGACCACATTCATTTTCAGGAAGCTTGGAATGCTGTTGGTGATGCTACTTTCATTGTTGTCGATGATGCAGAGGAAAATTTTCTTCCACAATGGATATGTTCCTATGAGAACGATGAATGCTGAGACACCCAGTATGACGGCAAAAGAGCTGGACTCGTTGAGTTCGTCTGGTGGTGCTAGAATGTCAGGGGCAGCAGTAGCAGTAGCGGTTGCTTCTGCTGCAGCCGAGCTGGAAGTGTTTGAGAGCTGAGTGAGGTTGGCTTGCAGTGAGTGCAGGAGTCGTGCACCAATGGTATTAGCAGAGGCGAGTGCGTGCGCCACATGCTGCAAGTTGGGATTAGGCAGTGGGATCTGGGGGACAGGCAGGTCAGCAATGCGAAACACTGAAACATAGCGCAAGCGAGTGACAGGAGAAGGGACTGTCGTCGCTTAGGTGGAAGGCCGTCACGGCGACGGCAACACTGACAGACAGACAGTAAAGTGGAAGAGCTTATGATTGAAGGTATGGGACGGGGGTAAGGTGTAAGTACATGTACGGCACTGTATATATACGAGTCAGTGTATCATGGTGTCCAATGAGGAGTGAGGATGTTTCTGTGAAGGATGATGTCGTCCGATGATGATGTAGCAGACTGACGTAGTAAGCCTATGCTTACACCCTTCCTCTCTATGGTTTTGAAATTTTCGTCTCCCAAGAGTCAAGGGCCTCGCAATCTTCTAACTGCCGTCGTGGCAACCACTCATCATCTTCCTCGCCGAATCCAACCCAATGAATGAGGTACTGTTTTCCGCGGCCGATCTTCCTCTCGTCAATTATCTTCTCAATGAAATTTTCGAGTTGTCCATCTTCAGTGACTACCGGGCCCGGCTGGGGGAGTTCTCGAGAGGGAAAAAGAGTTGCATTGTTTGGGTGATACAGACGTAGTTGGCTAGCATGAAAGGTAGGGAAGATGTTTGGTGAATTTGGTAAGTCGAGGGCGAAGGTAGATGTTTCTGGATGTGCGTCGATGATGGTGTAGGGACTGTCGTAACGTGGCATGAATTTTGCTACCCATTTGTCTCCCTTTTGAATGTACTCTCGACACCGATGTTTTGTCGCTAGTAAGACCTGATCGCCTGTGTGAAGATTTAAGGGTGGTGCACAGGTTTTGTTCACGATTGTTGCCTGTGCAGCTTTCGCAGCGAGTAAGTTGTCCTGCGCCTCCATAACATCATGTTTGAGCTGTGAGAGCAGCTTGTTTGCGCATTGGTGTTCTGGTTCGGGTGTAGCAGGCTCCTCAGGCAATATGGTGGGTTACATGCGGGGAGATCGTCCGAGATGTAGTTGGAAAGGCGAGAAGCCGGTACTTGCATTGATGGTGTTCATGATATTGAAATGTACGCGTGGTAGGGCGCGCACCCATCCTTTGTGATTGCGGTTGACATAGTAACGTAGATTTTGATTGACGGTCTTGTTCGTGCATTCACTGGCACCGTCAGTTTTGGGGTGATATGATGAGGACATCTTAAGTTTTATGCCTGTCAGTTTGTGAAGCGCACGCCAGAATTTTGACAAAAATATCTTATCGCGATCCGATACTATTTCTGAAGGCAACCCATTTTCGCAAAACCAGTTGTCGAAGAATAAGGACGCGAAGTGTTCGGCCGTTATGTTGTCCTTGCAGGGGATTAAACGGATGTTGGAATTCAGTCGATCCGTCATTGAGATTAGCATGTTGTATCTGTTGTCCTCAGGTAAAGGGCCGATGAAATCAATAGCTACGGAGTCGCCACGAGAGTCTGGGATTGGTAAAGGGTGGAGTGGACCCGCGGTAGCCGTAGTTTTGGACTTGTTACGCATGCAGTCCATGCAGGAGGGGATGTACGAGTCAACTAAGTCCCTGCACATACTTGGCCAGTAATAAGACGCCCTAAGCAGTGCATATGATTTGTCGGCGCCAAAATGACCAGCTGTGTCGTGTACCACGTGGAAGAGGTGCTCGCGCAAGTTGTCCACTCTAGGAATGATGAGGTGTTCTGCGATGCGGAAGAGATCATGTTCGTCTTTCGACAGACCTGGTAATGACCCCAGGAGGCCAGTGAGTTTCTTGCACCATGGATCCAGTTGATAACCTTGAACAATGCGAGTCCTGATGTTGGTATCTGCTTGTAGAGTCAGTATGGCAGCGCAGATTTGTGATGCCTCAACCGTATCCGTTCGTCTAGACAAGGCGTCAGCTGCTGTATTTAGTTCACCTTTAATGTAATGTATGTCGACGTCATATTGTGACATATACTCTGCCCAGTGCACCTGTCTTCTCAACAGATCACGCTGAGTGTTGAAATTCTGTAACGTGCAGTGGTCAGTGTAAACATCAATATGCGCACCAAGTAACTCTGTGCGCCATTTCTTTAATGCTCTCATGATGGAGAGTAACTCCTTCTCATGCATGGGGTAATTTAGTTGTGCGCAATGTAGTTGTGCCGAGTCGAAGGTTACTGGACACGCTGTCTGGTGTGTCGGTCCCCATGATAATACTGCACCAGTCGCATAATCGGAGGCGTCACAGGTAAGGAAAATTTTGTTGTCACCGGGATTATCATGATTGATTGTTGTGAGGCAATGAGGGCTGATAACCAGTTCTTTGATGGCTTTGAAGGCCAGCACGTGTTCTGTTGACCAGGGAGGGAATTGGGTTTCTGCAGCTTTTGTGGCCAGTGCGGTTAACACTCTTGTGTACTTAGCAATGTCAGGAAGATGATCTGTGAGGTAGCGAACCATACCGAGAAATGAGCGGACATTGGACGCTTTTCGAGGCTGCAGCCAGTCAAGTATCTGTGTGATCTTCGAGGAATCTGCCTCGATACCGCGAGCTGAAATGTGGTGACCTAAGAAGTCAATTTCGGTGTTGAAAAGCGATGTCTTCTTTGGCGAACAATATAGGTGAGCCGCCCTTAAGGTGTTTAGCACGAGACGGACATTGGCTTCATGTTCCTTAAGCATCTGGGACCAGATGATTATGTCGTCCAGATAGACATGGCATATTTTGCCGATCAGATGATGAAGGGCCGTTGTCATGCGCCGTTGGTGTACGGTGGGCGCGTTTCTGACGCCCATTGGCATGACTGTCCACTCATACTTACTGAACGGTGTGTGAACGGCCAGAAACTTCATGTTGTCTGGATGTACGCATGTCTGAAAAAATGTGTTAGTCATATCAATCTTTCCAAAGAACTTTCCTTTTGTGCAATCTTTTAAGATTTCATCAATACGTGGGAGAGGGTGATTGTCGGCAACAGTGTTAAGGTTGAGTTGTCGAAAATCGTTAACCCAATGCGGTAAGACTGAAGGATCTGCCTTCGGAATGATGAATGATGGCGACGACCACTCGCTATCTGACGGTCGTAATCGCCCACTCTCCAGATGGGAATCCAATAACATTTTCCAAGCTGATCTGTACTTCTTGGGGCAATCATATGACCGAAGCTGTACAATTTTATTAGCATCCTTTAAGTTAATTCGGAACAAAACATTATCTGGCATGGCGTCGTTATGAGGGATATCAGAGGGGAATCGGTCATGGAATTCGGCCTTAATTTTGGAGTCCATGTGCTGTAGTTCTTGTTGGTAAGCCAGATCTTCAATCTTCACCGATACAGCGCTAATGACGTCGATTCTGTTTACTTGTTCACATTCGCTGTCGACGATACATTTCAGTTCCGGAAGTACACTTCGTAATTCGTTTACGACACTTTGCTTCTTCCAGAATAGATCAGGACCGAACGATGGCGTTGGAGGTGATTTCAATGGAGGCGGGGTCGTTGGTACATGTAAAGGGTCGTAATTAGTATCTTTCACAATGCATGTACGTAGTTCGTGATCGATCACAATTCAATTATGTTGAAGAAAAGGACCGCCAAGTAATAATGGCGTACAGAGGTTTGGTGCAATGAGTGCACGTACAACACGAGAAGTGTAAGACTGGTCCAGAGAGGTACAAGAAAGTTTGACAAAGTGCGATAAAAGGAAGGGCTTCAATTGGGAGAGTGCGAGGGAGATTGGTAACATTTTTGTGAGTTTGCGACAATGAAGTTGCAGTTGGTTGACGAGGTCTTCACTAATCAGAACTAATGAAGAACCATGGTCAATAAGCGCAGAGACAGAAATAGGAGAGGAAACCACTGGCCCATCAACAAGACAGTTCCAACGGAGGTGGGGAGTCTGTAGTGGGGCCACACACTCTTCGTCAGAATCAGTACCATCACCTAGTACCGCTGACGGCATAATGACCACCACCATGTTCTGTTCCTCATCAGCGATTTTTACCGCTGCGACTACACCACCTTTACGAGCCTTTTTGTTGGCGACACTTGTGGCGTTCAGCGTTTTGTAACTTGCACCGTCGGGGAATCCCTTAGAACAAGATGTCGATGTATGTCCCGCGAAGGGTTCAGGCCATGGTGTCATATTAGTGCATTAAATTAATTGTAGTTACAAGACAAATGTAGTGCATTAAACATTGTAACTATCAGTACACCAATCACTTACATAATATCTAATGATAACTAAATCTCCAAGGCAGAATATAATCCTAGCTAACCCTAACTAACTGAACCACTAACCACTAACTACTGACTACTAACCCTCTAACCACTTACCACTAACCACTAGCCATTAACCCTCTAACCCTCTAAAAACTAACATCTAACATATAACCCTCTAACCGCTCTAACCACTCTAACTAAGATTAAATTTTTAATTAATTAGCAATTACAATGATTAATGCACAACCTGTATCTTGTAATTACAATAGTAATGCATTATTACCACCTCACCTTGTGAAGGGTTCGCGGCATTTATAGCAGCCATCATTGTCTCTGAGCAGTTGGCATTCAATGTCAGTCAATGGCGGAAGGTGAATGAAGGCTTTGGTGGAGGAGTTGGGCGTGGTAGTGCTGCTTTTTGAGTTAAAACAGCTGGAGGAGGACAGTTTGTTATCTGTGGTAGGTTTGGGTATGCCGACACGTGCACGTTCTGTGTGTAAAGCGGCTTCCACAGCGCCCTTTTGACGAGCAAGGTAGCACAGATGTTTTTCATCAATCAAGCGCACCTTTTCAACCCATTTGCGTAAGTCTAACTCTTCAATGTTCTCGGCGTAGTAATCAGCTGCGAGGTTGGGGTGCATGTGTGATTCGAGATGGTAGAGAATATTGATGTCGTCAAGGTGAGACTTGGTATCCTGCAAGAGAGTGTTTTGACTTTGGATGTCGACCGCCCATTCAGAAAAGGGACGTTGACCTTGGACGGAGGCAAGCATCTTTCTACGGACCATGTCAGACCAGTCAGTCGGTAACCAGTAATCTCGAACAGCAGCCATGTAGTCCTTAAAGGGCATTGCATCAAGATCTGTTTGGTTATTGAGGTACCAATCTTGCACGATTGGATCTTGCATGCCCCATGCTACCTTCTTTACCTTGTCTCTGTCTTTGACGTCTTTGTGGAGAAAGAATTGAAGGCAACCCATTTCCCAAGCACGTAGCGCTTCGGGTGTGATTTCGCCAACGGTGAGAAATGGTGGTTTGCTTGCTGAGGACTGTTCTGCACGTGTGATCTTGGTGGTGGTGGACATGGCATGAAGGGGATAATCGGCTTCGGATTCTGAGGAGGAAGACGATAGTGTGTGGCTCGGAGACGGGTGACGAACGGGGGATGTTGTCGACGTGTCTGGAGTGTTAACAGTGTGATCGATATTCGGTGGAGTAGCGCTTGCCTTTCCACGACTGCGTGTAGTGACAGTCGTAGGAGGGACGCTACGAGAACGAGTAGGAGGCAGTTTGACTTATGCACGGTAGCGGGCTGACGTGAGTCAACACCCTAACAAATCGTTGCGGTTTCAGTGGTTCCTTTTAATGGGAGAAAACAGTTCGGATGGCAGACAGGGCTCGACTGGACTTTAAAAAGAAGTGGAAGGCCATCATGGCGACGGCAACACTGACAGACAGTAAAGTGGAAGAGCTTATGATTGAAGGTATGGGACGGGGGTAAGGTGTAAGTACATGTACGGTGCTGTATATATACAAGTCAGTGTATCACGGTGTCCAATGAGGAGTGAGGATGTTTCTGTGAAGGATGACGTCGTCTGATGATGACGTAGCAGACTGACATAGTAAGCCTATGCTTACATTAGGTCAGCGTGCATAGGACGGTGTTTGCCGAGCGTCACGCCTGCATGCGGACGGTGTTGTTTTCGAGAGAAGTGCTGAAGTGCTGCAGCATAAGTAATCCCCCTACTACTTAGTAAGGAAGATCCTATCACATCAACATTACTAATCAGTGCTATTAATGACAGGTGCCCAGATCCTTCAGTGAAAAAAACACATGACCACCCAGGAACTCCTTCGCGACGAAATCTATCGATTGCAGCAATAACCTTGTGTGCGTTCATGCTATGTATTCTACGGTTTGATCAAGTACAGAAACAACTTACAACAGAAGATGATCGTGCTATGCGGTTCAGGTTTGTATTATGCATGTCTATTAGTCTCATTTTACAACGGGCGCGGCGGCCCATCTCGCCTTGGCTCAGCTTGACTCTCGATATCAAGACGGCACCTCACTGCATCTTCCCCAATACTCTCGGCTGACTCAGATCCGCAATGTTAATGAAAATGTCATCCGCAGGGTGTCTGTACAGCGGCGCACGGAGCCTCTTCTGGTCGAGATGATGGCCGATGAAACCGATGCTGCGGCCTAGGACGAAGAGCCCGTTGAGGGTTCCGATCTTGATGTATTCGTCGGCTTCTTCGGGAGTGAAGGCACCGGAATCGCGGAGGAGGTCGACGAAGCAGACAGCGATACAGCCGTCGACGTTGAGGATGAGCTGTGTAGACGGGCGTTAGTTTTGTTCGAGGAAGTTTAAGTTGATCGATCGAGGAACGAGGAAGGAAGGAAGGGCGCGAGCGAGAAACGAGAGGGCGAAGTGAAGGAGTAGAAGAAGGAACTCACAGTATCCTTCTTACTGGTCGTCACCTTCTCAACAGCAAGCGCATAATCAAGAAGCGAATGACTCGGGAAGTTCTTCCTCACGTATTCCTTGACGAGCTCGACACGGAGATCGGGGTTGTTGACTGATTTGATCTTGTGGCCTATACCAGAGACTGTCGGAATTCGCGTTAGCCTAGTTCCACAGCCAAAATACGAGGGGCACCAAAGAACACCGAAAACGGGTGAAAGAGGGAGGAAAGAAACACTCACTAAGCTTGTTAGCCTTGCGACTATTATCCACAAACTCCCTAGGCGTCAACCCCATATCCCTAGCCCCACTGAACATACTGGCAGCCTCATCAAGCGCCCCACCAAACCGACTCCCAATCGTCAACAACCCACTCGCCAGACTCGATATCAAATCTTTGCCTGCACGGGTAGCGACGATGGTGTTCATCGCACCGCTAACGGCTGGACCGTGGTCTGCGGTAAGCATCAAAACCATCTCGATGAATTTAGTGGCCCAGGGCGGGAGGCGGCGTTTGAACCAGAGCAACGAAACAACACCTCCGAGACCGATGTCTTCGCGGAACACATCAGAGATCCGCATTCCAGCATAGAGTAGCTCCTGTCCACGCTCATCAGAGATCGTACTGATAAACGCAGCCGGTTTCCGAATAAGACCCAGCTCCTGCGCCCATTTATAATCCATGGGTATAACAGGCGGCTCGACTTCTTTCACAGGTGCAATGACGCCTTCTCTCACGAGCGACTCGTACGTGTCTTTGAGAGCTTGAGGGAGCTCCTCGAATGTGGTGGGCACGATGAACCCTGCTTCGCGCATAGCTTTGTTCTTAGCGTCTGCGGTCTCGCTATCGCTGTTTGCCATGCTGCCTGCATGTCCGAATTGGACTTCGGTAGCGAACATGGATGCGCAGGTGCCGATTGCCCATGCTACGATCGGTTTTTTGATTTGCCCAGATTTGACAGCTTCAATGACGCGGTATTCTTCGACACCACCGACTTCGCCGAGGAGGACGAGCATTTTGCAGGCGGGATCGGCTTCGTAGCGGAGAAGGTGGTCGATGAATGTGGATCCGGGGTAGCGGTCACCGCCGATAGCAATGCCTTCGTAGGTGCCGTTTGTGACAAGGCTGAGAATGTTGTTGAGTTCGTTGGACATGCCTCCGGATTTGGAGACGTAGCCAACACTGCCAGCCCGGTAGAGCTTGGAGGCGATGATGTTGTCCATCATGCTGTGTGGCATCAGGGAAGAGAAATATCGATGTCAGCGTACGCCGTTCAGAAAAGTCAAAGACACAACGCACCCTCCAGAATTCCCAATCCTGAAACACCCAGGCTTAATCCCACCAACGGTAGCAGGCCCAATAATCAAAACACCCTTCTCCTTCGCCTTCCACAGAATCTCCCTTGCCTGTCTTTCAGGCACACCCTCCGCAATCAACGCAATAGCTTTAATACTCTCATACCCCAAACACTCCATCGTACTGCTATACACACTCCTGCTCGACGCGAAGTTCACGACGACATCGACGTCGGGGTGTTTCTTGACAGCTTCTTCGAGAGAGGTGTATACGGGGAGGAGCGTCTCGCGTGTTCCCCAGTAGAATTTCTGGATATGGTGTCCTCCGAAAGGGTATATCATAGCTGCGACACTGGGGCGCGCGCGTTTACAGCTGTAATCAAAGTCCAGCATGCCCTGGATCGCACGCGGCTGAAGACCGTACACGAAACTGCGTGTGTCTTCATCGAAAGGTCGATATGCAGGCCGTGCGCCTTTCTCACTGAGAGAATCGAAACGCACGACAACGTCGTTGGGCTGGGTGCGTTCGCCGCTGGCGTGGATGGTGCCGACGTCGCTGGCGCCGGGCTCAGGGGTTGCAGGTGAGATCTTGGGGGAGCCGGGTGCGGTGGCGGGGACGCTGATGGGTGCTGTTGCGCTTGTTGTGGATTTGAGACCAAGGGCGAGGGGGACGATCTCGGTGATGTGAGTGTCAGGGCCGAAGACGCGGATGGGGACGCCAAGAGATTCGCCTGTGTTATTGTGAGTATATATGCGTTTGTAAGAGATGAACGAGACTCACCGAGTAAACGCATGGCTTTGAGACCTTCTTGCCAGTTTGGACCGCCGCGGCGGACGTATATCTTGGCTTTGTGGGCGATGAGCTGGGCTTTGTAGGAAGTGAGTGCGCGGATGATGCCTTTGAAGGTGGCCGCGACGTTGGTGAAGTTGGCGATACCACCACCAATAATGAGGACCTTGCCGTCAGGGCGGGGAGGTGGGCGAGTGAGGAGGTCAACTACGGGGGTATATTAGTATAATTCGATTGAAGAGAAAAGATACGGACGGATTGTCTTGGCATATTCGAAAGTCTGACCCTCGCTTGGGGCACCAGAGTACTCGCCATAGTTGGCGAGTTCATGGGCGAAACCTGCGGCTGCAATGGCGTCACTGTAGACGACTGATGCACCACCACCTGCGACCATGGTCCAGACACGACCGGTGGGGTTGAGGACGGTGAGCTTGAGGGAAGCACCGGTGGAAGCATCAAGTTTTTGAATATAAGCTATGTAAAATTAGTACTATGCAACGGTAATCGACATTGAACGCACCTTCTTCCTTTGTAAGATCTCTACCAAATGGAGCAGGCCAGGCCATGGGTGGGCCACGGTCAGCGGTGACCTTTGAGCCGGTGGTGGTAGCAGCTAGGCTAGTCTCGTAGACAGTGAGGTCTCTTGCGACAGCCCACTTGGGACCACATATGCTCTCTGCCGTCTGGTCGAGTTTCGCTGCCATATCGAGGTAGTGAATGGAACCGTCATCGAGGACGACCAAAGGGTTAATTTCAAGATACGCAAAGTGAAGATCGACATAAACAGAGTAGAGTCTGACGAGGAAATCGGTGAGGACTTCTTTCTTGTGCGCTGGGACTTCGCGGAGGAGGGTCTTCTGGAGGTCCGCACGGGTTGGGAAAGGGCCTAGAACGGGTATGTCTAGCTTGAGTGCCTTTGCATCGACATCGCCTACGTCAACACCACCTGAAGTGGTGAAGAGGAGGGTGTCTGCGTGACGTGCTGACGTGATACAGATGTAATACTCCGAGTCCGATGGGTGAGGGAGGAAAGGTTCGACGATGAAGGAGCTGAGTGTGCCAGTGACTGATTCCACCTGTTATAGAAAGTGAGTTAATTGGTTAGTTGATCGAGAAGGGAAGATGGTAATTACCCTCTGGGGTTTACCGGCTCTATCTTGGATCCATTGCTTCGCGTCTTGCCAGTCTTTGTTGAGGGCGAGTAAGCCTGCTTTGCCTCTGCGTTTGATAAGCTGATCTGGCTTTGCGACGAGCTTGGTTGTGGATACCCAAGAAGGGAGAAGGGTATCTGGAGTGATGGAATCAGTTGCAGGATCCCATAAGATCTGAGCTACGCGTGGAGCTGGAAATTTGAGGGTAGAAGAAGGGGATGGGGTGAAGTTTGGGTTTGGTGCTGGTGCACGTTGAAGCCAATAGGCTAGGAGAAGCTTTGCGTCGTATTCTCTGATTGCTACAGACGGTGATCTAGTTAGTATGAGTTGGGTATTAATCGCGATGCGAACCTTTTGAAGACATTGTAGGGGAGAAGGAGGAAACGATGTCTATCTGATCTTGACAGAACGCTATTTTATGGCACTGAACCCCAATATTCACACGACCTAAAATTTACACAGCCACACTCGAACCACTTCCTGCAATCGAACCATCCAAAAAGATCGTATCACTAGTCGATACTCGGTACAGCTCTGACACAGGCTCATTCGGGTATGTAATGATACACAAGGCAAACACCTGCTACCTCGGGAACGAACAGATTCTGCTGGAAATTCAACGATAACTCAACGTGCACCGACCAGCTCTGCAAGGACGATGTTTGCTGGTGTGCAGATGACGCTTTAACACATGTAAAGATGACAACTTGTCACATAGGCTAGCTAGGGATTTGCAGTCAATGACATTAATGTGGTCTTCTCACCCGAGTTTGAACATAGCTATTAATACATATAATCAAGTGAGTGCGCTCTACGCATACGGTTAATCACATCGTCCCTGTAGAAATCGGGATCCTGCTGTATCCTAAAGCTTTGAATAGCCGAATTTGCTTAAAAAAATTTCCATCTTAGCCATTGTACATCAAAATGATCACTGGTCTTATCATTGCGAGAGCACAGAATCACCTGGCAGCGACTTGGTTTTCAAGTACGTGCTGGTTTATCCAAGGACTGATTGGCTAATTATCTAAAGTTCTCGGGTGTCTTTGCTAGAATAGTAGTGAGTGTTATTACGCTCACCAGGGGATGCAGATAGTAGCCTTGTAAGTATTTCATTCCGGTAGTACGTACTTATTCACTAAACAATCCGATGGTGCAGCTTCTGAAATGCAAAACCCACGGAGGAATATTTCCAAAGCTATTCACAGAGTTCCCTACCCAAAATTTTCTTTTTTTTTTTAAAAAAAAAAAAAATTACGTTGAGCATCATGTTATCTCACGATGAACAGCCTCTTGCAGCTCAGTATACTCTTGGCGTTTTCGTTGCAGGCCCCGGGATCAAATCACACGGACCTGTTGACGGGATCTCGTTTCTTTGCAAAGTCGCCATTTACGATTGTGGCCGCATGATGCAGACTTCAGAAATACGAGGTGTGTGTACTTAAGTTTTTCCATAAAGTCGTGTTTCATTTTCCACTACCATGCAGTGTTACCCACTGTAGTCGGCGCGGGCTTCATAACCAGCGCATTCTCTGCAGGTAACTCCCTCCTATTTTGCTCTTCACGTATCCTCTATGATCTAGCATTTCATAACCAAGCACCCCAGTTCCTCCTCTCTCGCTATCTGTACGAAGAAAGGCGTGCCTATTGTAGCAGTTCTCTGTTCGGTAAGAATAAACGCTTGGCTAGTCCTAAGTACCACGGACGCTGATGTGGGGTCAACAGGGTGATTTTGTTGTTTTTAAGTGGGACTGCATCCTTCGTCCCGTCCAGTGGCTTCACAAAGCTTGGGACTTTGTGTAACCATTTGGCATGCTTATGAAGTATCTGAGACCTTTGACGAAAATCCTAGTTTGCTGATGCCAAACCCAGCACCACAGCATGCAACTCGTAAAAATAAGCATATGCATGAAGAGTTTATAATACATAAAACTATCCTTCCCAACCGAACCAATTATATACAAGTTCTAATTCAATGCGAAGTTTGACAAGAGCTGGTTAGATTTGGTAGTGCTATTAGAGACAGCCGCTGCCAGGCCGGTCATAGATTCCCGTACTCGACTTCCCCATCGATTACAGTTGCTGTTACTTTGGCACCTAAAATATCCTCAACGGGTACCGTCATAATATCACGATCGAGAACGACGAAATCAGCTTTCTTTCCAATTGAAAGTGAACCAAGGGTATCCTCGGAGAAAGACGCGTATGCAGTGTCGAGTGTCATGCCTTTGAGTGCTTCAGCGCGCGTGAGGCGTTCGGATGGGTACCTAGGAACAGGGTAATCGATTTACCGCATTTGAAAGTATAACAGAACCTTACCAGCCTCCGGGACCATGGGGCGAGCTGCCTTTTACAGAAAGGCGTGAAACAGCGGCGTAGAAACCAAGAAGAGGGTTGATGCCCTCGACAGGGAAGTCAGAGCCAAGGGGCAATACTCTGTTTGGAGACGCGCTGTGGTGCATCAGCGACAGCACAATACGAGCCGAGAAGTGAAATATCTCACTCGAGCATAGCTCGATACGCATACGCGCCTTGGATTCTCTTTGGACCCTGTGGGAACCCGGTTTGCTTTGCTGTCTAAGATGTAACAAAAAAATGGGGACATACCAACCGATCCTCGGCATACCACATGTCACTTGTCCTGCAAGGCGGGTTGTGTCAACTAGACAGTCGATAAAGTGTATCGTCGGACTCACGCATGGGTTGGCTGCACACTAGGTATCACTGGATTTATACCATCGATAACGCGAACGCAAAATACGAAACGGGAGGCCTCTTACCGCCCAACTTTCCAGTCCGTTTAATATCATGCTGTGTCAAGATCTGCGCATGCTCAATACGAGGTCGCAAGTTGTCTGTGGAAAATGAAGCGTTGGCGAGCATATCCTCATAAATGTCAAGTACGACATGATTTGCCCGGTCCCCGATGCAGTGGATGTTCTAGTGCGAAGAGCCAAATTCTTGAGCTCATGAAAGGACGAACGAACGTGACAGCAAGACACTTACAACTTGCCAACCATCTGTAGAAAACTCCCTCACCAGCTTCGCAAGTGCTTCCGGCTGCACCCGCATGATACCGCTCGTTGACGGATTATCACTGTACTAATCATTTATATCAGCACAACGATGCCTGAGCCATGACGTGGATGGGTGCTCACGGGCTCGAGGAGCGCAGCACCAAACGAACCCAGCGCACCTAGTTATTGAAGATGAATATAAGAACAAAAATTGTTTCGAATAAAACTGACCATCCGTGAAAAGTTTGACGCTGCGCACCGTCAATCGTCCACCAACTCCATGCTGGATCAGTCTCGGGATTTGGTCTCCCCAATAGTCATCAGAGTTCACACTACCCATGAGATAAAATCGGAGCTGCACGTGTTCAACAGACTGCTATGTTCAAGGAGGCAAAGAACTGACGGGCAACTTCTGAGTCTCTGAAATTCTGGAAGACGATTAATTCGAGATCTGGAGGGAGAGCATGTGTCACGCACTTCTTGTAGAACCGTATTTCCTCTGGGACTGACATTGCGTCATGCACTGTAGTCAGACCCACTGCGAGCGCGTCAGTAGTAGCGCGGGTGAAGTACTCCATCGCACGGGTCTCGCTGAAGGGTTGTGAGGGAACGAGATCCATAGCATTGTCGACGAATATTCCTGTGATTCAATAAAAGCTTCAGACGAGGAGTACTACCTCAAGAATGAACATCATGAAGGAGGAAAACACACCGGTAGGTTTTCCGTGCTCGTCGCGAATAATCAGCCCACCATCGACGTTCTCTGGGAGAGGTGCCATGAGCTGCAGCACGCGGTTGGACACCCAGGAGGCATGAACATCAATACGAGCGAGGGATATTCGCCGACCGCGAAGGAGTGGTTCCCTGTCAAAGTCATCCTTGAGTGTTGTCAGTAGATGTGAAGAGGGAGGAAATAGAGAGACACACGGCATGAGGATATTGCGCTCCGAGCCATTTATTCTGGTCCCATCCCATACCCTCTATAAATCGAGTGGGATCGCCTAGAATGTCGGGATTCGATATAACATAAGCTTTCAAGTAGCTCAAGACCTCTTTCATGCGTTCAGTAAACTGTTGGTGGACTACAAAGTGAGTTGAAGCAAACCATCTACAGAGGTACAGTCCTCCAAGTTTAGATTCATCTTAAAGCCATACTGCAACATATGAGCATGAGCATCTTCAAGGGTCGAGAATGAAAACACGAATTTAGAATTGAATTTGGTGACTTCATACCAGTCAGTCCGGGAACTACGATACTGTCAGGTTGGATGGTTATTACTCTCAGAGACGGCTCGAGTAAATTGAATGGCCATGGTAGCTGGATGACGCCTGGGATCTCTGATAACTGTCGTTGCCTCCAGCGTAAGGTTATGTCCTCTGTTCATAATTGCAGCGCGTGAGTTGTTGCATCAATAAGGCGACGTTGCACGCACCTAGATCACCTGTGTCTGAGATGAGGGTATCATGCACGACGATGCATTGGACATTCGGAAGATCCGAGTCGACTGTGTAGACTTTGCGGTTGGCAGAACAGACTGCATAGTCCAAGGAATGGGTTTCAGGTTTGAGCCATGTCACGGTCGCTCCCAGCGCAACCAAGAGGGCGAGGAACCGTGATCTAGTTAACCAGCTTCGACGCTGAGGTTGATTGATACTAGTACTCTGCCCACTTGCCGGCTCAGACTTGACTGGGACTCCTGAGGAACTCATGTCGTGCGAGAAAACACACGAAGCTTAAGCGAGTTGGGATACATGTAGAGTTTAAAATTAGAAGTTGAATGACACACAATGATGCAATGTACATTATATGGTGTTCAAAGTCTGTAAGTATATATAGGCTGAACTTGGGCAAGCTCGCAACTCAGACTAATCTATTAGCAGGCCTCAACTTGGGACTTGACGCCTCTCATCGAAGGCTGACCCCTCAGCTTTGAGTTCAGCATGGCCCATGTTTTCCAACTTCTTATCGAAATCGCACTTCCGATATCCTGACACAATGCGTTCGAGCAGCTCCGAAGTAGACACACCCGGTGTACGGCGGGTAGGAATGAATTTACCTGAGCATGTCAACTTTTAACGGAGTAGAGAGAAAAGACAAGGAACAGACCTTGTGCCTTTACAAATGTGTAGACATCATCATGACCATCCGAGACGTAGGGGAGTTCGTCGTGGGCAACGTAGTCGATATTCCACTTGTCGAGAAAAGCTTGGTCGAGGACCCATGGGGAGCCAGGAATGACCTCGTCAACCCAGCGGCAATGTCTCACAGCCTCACATCTATCAGCAATGATTAAGTATTAAGATACGGAGAACTTGAGCATCATACCGCTCAGCATGTGTCATCACACAGCGTGCTTTATTGGCGATGACGTCCTCATCGGAATTAACACCGACGAGTAGATGTACAGATGGAAAAGACAGTTTGGCTTGCCGCAATTGCAGTGCATGACTGGCTCGACAATCAGTACATATGGTTACACAGGAAGGGAGGGACGGATATACCCAAAATGAAATAGATCATATACTCCTAATTTGAATTAGCAAAAAGCTTCTATAAATTAAAGGAATGTTTACCGTCCGCAAAAATTCTGACAGGCCGATTTAGTGGCGGTTGGTTAATCTTGTAGGACCTAGAGGGTTGGCCTTCGATTGCCTTGCGTATGAAGGCCTGAATATGGTCGGGTGTGAGGGCAGCGGGGTTAAATGTAGACATTGCTTCAGCAGTAGGCATTGGTTCATCGGGTGCAAGCGCAGCAGGTTTCGAAGATGGCAGGACATCGTCGATTTGAGATGTCAATGTTGAAGCGGATGAAGAATGATGAAGGGTGGGATGTAATGATGTCTTATTGAAGGGATGCGAACCGGCTGCTGCTGTGACGCTGCTCTCTACATCACCATCATATGTTTGGGAATCAGTGCCATCATCTGAGAGCATGCTGGAGGCCAACTGATGACGTGCACGAGATGCTGCCTTTGATTGAAATGGTGGTTTAGCTGAACGAGAGACGGTTGGAAGGGACATGGCACTAGAGCCTCCGTCATCGGTACTGAGAGGGTCATTATCTTCTTCTGACCTGATAAAGCGAGGTAAACAACATGAACAAGGACATGTAAAAGGAGTAGTACTTGCGCGTCATAAGTAGGAGAATCTGTCGAATGGTGCTTTGCAAAGGAACGCTTTGAATGCAAAGTCTTTTTATGATGATGAAACGATTCAGTTGATGAATCCATAATGTAGTTACTGATAGACTAAAGTGGGTGATATATTTGGCCCATCTATGAGATGGCATCACGTGATAACTTGACTTATGTAATTAAGGGCGTGTGAGTGTATACGTGTCATTTGCGTGTCCTTTGAAAGACATAAATACACCGGAGCTGGTTCACCAACCAAGTACCAACTTCTCTTGTCACAACAATGTCTGGTCGTCCAAGTCGCGCCAAATCATGGCGTATGGCGTCCTCCCTGTCTCTGTTTTTCCTTGCATTCCTTGCAATCATTTGTTTCTGTCCCGCTGTCGCAGCAAATTCTAACAGTGAATACGGTACGGTTATAGGCATAGGTAAGCGTACCTACACTGCGTCACTCTTCAAATCACTGACCTTACTAGACTTGGGAACCACTTATTCTTGCGTCGGCGTTCAACGTGGCGGTCGTGTCGAAATTATCGCCAACGACCAGGGTCACCGTATAACACCCTCATGGGTCAGCTTCACTGATGACGAGCGGCTGTAAGTTTTTTTATGTAGCCCATGCAATCAGTGCTGATATATTCCATACAGAGTTGGTGATAGCGCCAAGAACGCGTTCCATTCAAATCCGACTAACACTGTCTTTGACGCCAAACGTCTCATTGGCCGAAAGATGGACGACCTGGAATTAAAGAAGGACATGAAGCACTTCCCTTTCAACGTTGTTGACAAGGGGGGTAAACCAGCCATTTCCATTGGTTTCAAGGGTGAAACCCGCCAATTTGTGAGTACCAAGACCAATCACTGAATGTTTTCAACTGACTGTTCCCTCTAGACTCCGGAAGAGATCAGCGCCATGATCCTTACAAAGATGAAGGAGACGGCAGAGGCCTATCTCGGCGAGAAGGTCACCCACGCGGTAGTAACAGTTCCTGCATGTAAGCCTATAACATTGATTTCACCATCTCTCGCTAATGAATATTGTTTCAAGACTTCAATGACGCCCAGCGTCAAGCCACGAAAGATGCCGGTACGATTGCTGGGTTAAATATTCTCCGTATCATCAACGAGCCCACTGCTGCCGCTATCGCCTATGGTCTTAACAAGAAGGGCGGGGAGTCCCAAATTATTGTCTATGACCTTGGAGGAGGAACTTTTGATGTCTCCTTGCTCTCGATCGACGATGGTGTTTTCGAGGTCTTGGCAACTGCTGGTGACACGCACCTTGGTGGTGAGGATTTCGATAACCGCGTCATCGACCATCTTGTCAAACAATACAAGAAGAAGACCGGCACTGATGTCACCAGCAACCTCCGCGCCATGGGCAAGCTGAAGCGCGAGGTTGAGAAGGCCAAGCGCACTCTGTCCAGCCAGCAGTCGACCCGCATCGAAATTGAGTCCTTCGAGGACGGCAACGACTTTTCGGAGACGCTCACTCGCGCGAAGTTTGAAGAGCTAAACATGGATCTGTTCCGTAAGACCATGAAGCCCGTCGAGCAGGTACTCAAGGATGCGAAGATCAACAAGGAGAACATCGATGAGGTCAGGCGTTTTGCGTCCCTTATTTACGCTGTCTAACATGGTTGCAGGTTGTTCTTGTTGGTGGTTCGACCCGCATTCCCAAGGTTCAACAGCTCCTCAAGGAGTATTTCGGCAAAGAAGCGTCGAAGGGTATTAACCCCGATGAGGCTGTCGCTTACGGTGCCGCTGTCCAGGGCGGTATCCTCTCTGGTGAAGAGGGCACCGAAGACGTGGTCTTGGTGGATGTCTGTCCTTTGACACTTGGTATCGAGACCACGGGTGGTGTTTTCACCAAGCTCATTCCCCGTAACACTGTTATTCCCACTCGCAAGTCACAGATGTCAGTGTCCATGTTCCTGCGCATCAATGCATCGTACTGACAATCTACAAAGCTTCTCAACGGCAGCTGACAACCAGCCCACTGTTCTAATCCAGGTCTTTGAGGGCGAGCGCTCGTTGACCAAGGACAATAACCTACTCGGCAAGTTCGAACTCTCGAGCATTCCCCCTGCTCCTCGTGGTGTTCCTCAGATCGAGGTCACCTTTGAGATCGACGCCAACGGTATCATGAAGGTCGGTGCATCTGACAAGGGAACGTAAGTCATTGGCCATCGCTCAGCATTATAGGACGCTGACCGTGCTCTTAGTGGTAAATCCGAGTCAATCACGATCACGAACGAGAAGGGTCGTCTTTCCAAGGAGGACATTGAGCGCATGGTCCGCGAGGCTGAAGATTTCGCCTCAGAGGATGAAGCCAACCGCAAGCGCATCGAGTCACTCAACTCCCTCTCCACGTTCGTCTACGGACTCAAGTCCCAACTCGGTGACCAGTCTGGCCTTGGTGGCAAGATTGACGATGATGACAAGAAGACCATCCTTGCCTCGATCAAGGAGGCCACGGAGTGGATTGATGAAAATGGCCAGAGTGCTACCACTGAGGAGTTCGAAGAGAAGCTGTCGGAGATTCAAAGCGTCGTCAACCCCATCACGAGCGAGCTCTACAGTGGAGGTGCCAGCGAGCCTGAGGATGATGGACCTTATTATGACCATGATGAGCTGTGAGGCGGGCGCGGTGGGATAATCCCGATAAAAGTTGTACGTCAGTATCGGTAACATAGAGCCATATTATTTCAATGGACGCATTCCAACTTCTACAATGCCTCGCGGAAATGAGCGATATATATGCGCGCCATTCCTTGCGTGATGAAAATTTTCGGTTATTCGCAGTTTCCACTTGATCGCCCTCCGTTAGGATTTATGAACTGCCCTTCAAGTACGTCTCTCGATCGAGTTATTGGTAGTTGTCTCGTAGTAGTCAATTGTCTGTCAATACACGCGTTCCAGGAAGCGGTGTTCTGCCGGTCGCGGCTATTAGTGTGCAGTACTATACTTTCGTTTGATCAGATAGTCCTTGTATATTGTATATTCCGCAAGTGTATAGAGACTAGTTGTGACGTTAACATATCCATACATATAATACTATCGAGCACACGACTACTTAGAGCTCACGTCCAGACAATGCCGATGACCTGGCTAGTACATGTGAACGAACGTCACTTCGTCTGCCTTCTTTAGGTCCGCTGTGAGACCTCGTGAGACCTCACACGTCCCCGCCTTCCATCTTTTCGTACGTGATAGCGCCGACAATCCCTGAGATCTATAGATCGTCGTCAACGTACTTTCCACGTCATACGACACGAAGAGCAGATAAGTATGACGCTCCAAACCCCACTTTAATAAACTGCGCGATACACAACATTGAGTGCGCGATACACTATAGAGTGCGCGATACACAACAATCGCGTGCGCGATACAACATCGAGTGCGTGATACACTCACTGATGCGCGATACACTTACTGAGTGCGCGATACTACTGTACTGGATTGCACTCCAACGTCGCCCCAGTGCCTCCCGACGCGATGCTACCATCCCAGTGAGCTCCGTCTGATTGGCCTGAACATCGATCTGGCAAAATGCGCTCCGTACAGCGACACGTGTGGCGTGCACAATGTCGAGCACTTCTTTCTCGACGATGCGCAGTGCATTCAGCTGGTAGGATGGTTGTGTGGCAAGGACTATGATTGCTAGCTGGTGTGCGGGAGTGTCACAGGGACGCAGAAAGTGGGCGTGATTGGCGAGTAGGTTATTGATGTTATCTGTATGAGCATGCATATATGTAGTGCTGTGGCAAAATTCTCGGAGCTGTAAGTGGCTACACGCATGAGGGTGGGGAGGAGCTCTTCACAAAAGTCGACATCATCCATTCCATCCGCTTCGTCGGATATGTAGACGTGTCGGCTGTCCACAGTCACGACAACGGGTTAACGTTTCCAGGCTCGAGCGGACTAAGCGGGAGATATTGTTGCCATTCACGTTGGCGTTGACGAGAGTATTCCCAAAGTGAATGTTTGCATTGTCATTTGAGGGGCTCTCGACTGAGACATGGAGGGCGTTGGCGAGGGTATGCCCAAAGTGAATGTTTTGTTTGCTTCTGTTAGATTTTGAAGGACGCAGCACTGAACCAGGGACCACTGCTACCCGGGTATACCCGTGCAGTCCCCTAAGCGCAACTGCTACTCACTCGAATCAACACGACTTATTTCGCTCGCTTTGAAGTACAACATCAAAGAATTCTTGCCGCATGCTTTCGAGCGCCTCATTCTAGCTAGCATCAATGACATGTCTGATGACGAATGTCACGCTGTTGGGCCCATTGTGTGGAACACAATATTCAAGGTCAAAGAATGTCTGGATGTACACCGTTGGATTATTGCATGTGAAGCCCCACCTATGGTACATGCAGGAACTTGCACGAAGCAAAAGAGATGCGAGGAGGACTGGAAACAGCTGTGGTGGAACGGAATGGGTCGGTTTCTGCTGGATAGGCGAAATCCACAACCTTACAAGGACTCCTGCCATCGAACGGTTTGAGAAACTCGACATTGGCGAGATAAACCCAGATTGCTGGAAAGCTGTATTATTCATTGTGAAAGGCCAAAGTGCCTTTGATCACAAGCGAAAACTTATCACTCGCACAGCTGACAATCTCACAAAATACTCGATTGTCAAGCCCAACTTCGAAGATTTTGGCCGTGCAGTTTAGTAGCAATATCTACGTTTTTATTGTATTGTGCACTCGACGTTGTCTATCGCGCACCCGATGTTGTCTATCGCGCATTCGGTTGTGTATCGCGCACTCAATGTTGTGTATCGCGCAGTTTATTAAAGTGGGGTTTGGAGCGTCATAGATAAGCCTTGTTAATTGTGTTGTTAGCTACTGTGATGAAAGTACAATTGACCTGTAAGTACAAGTGTGATGGTATTGTGAGAACGAATCGAGAAGCTCTATACGTTGCGATACTCGAAGGCAGGGCTTCCAGGTTCGGAGGACTCCACGATAGTGCGCGTGAAACCAGGACCCTCTCTTTGCAACGCCTCCTCAACAGAGAAAACTTCCACATCTTCCAAACTCAAAGACTTTTGGAGATACGGCAGTAACTCCTTCAAAATTTCAGACTCAGAGAACAACAAAGTTCTCCGGAACGCAGCATTAACCCCAATTTCTGACATTCGTTTCTGCATTTTCGAGATGATATGAGCCAATAAAAACGGTAATGGACATGTCCTTACCTTGAACGCCTGGATGAATGGCATAGCGCGCTTGTCCTTGATCAACCCTTTCTCTATCAGGACATCGCGCACTTTAGCGTCGTCTACCTTATCCTCCAGTGTTGAGTACGAATCCTTGACAGCCTGCACGCAGGTCTCCTGCCACTCAGGGAACTTGGTCGCAACATAAATCCGGACGGCCTTGGGTTTCTTGGGGTCAAACAGCGCAACTTCCCCACCCTTACCTTTCTTGCCCTTCTGCATCCTCTTCAACAACGTGATCTCCGCATCACGGATAGTTTTTAGCGTTCCACGCATGTACACACCGGTCTCGATGATCGCCCTATCAGCAGTGCGCCCTGTGTCTGGCCACAGGGCCAACTGTACCGAACGAGGCTCCTTCAACAGCTCCGTCCAGATGTGCTCCGCAAAGTGAGGAGCAAAAGGCGTGATCATCAAGGCAGCGACACGGATCCAGTATTTGACCAAGTCTGCGTGCATTCCGATGTCGGCGGTCACTTCTCGGTACCAGTCACGGGCACTCTGCAACTCGTAGAAGCCAAACTTCAGAGCGTCCTTGAAAGCGGTTCTAACGTAGACAACTTAGAGCATGATGAGGAGCTTTGGTTGGGTGGAACTCACGCGTCGAAATGACTCTTTGTGATGTTTATCAGGTCGACAATCTCCTCCTCGAACACGCGATCATGGTAAGAGTTCTTGGGACCAGTACGCAGGTTGGACTCATCCTTGAATATTTCCTAAAGCAGTCGTCAGTACGTTGTGTCATTGGAGGCCGAAAATTTTCATACCTCGCACCAGGTCATCAAGGTATGCAAGCGCAGGATGTTTGCGTTGGCAGTCTTCTCATCAAAGTTGGCATCTTCCACGCCATCGCCAGCATCCGCCAACGACAAACGCATGGCATCAGCGCCAAATTTCTGCACGCCCTCCCTCAGCGTCAGTGAGTTTCCTGTGCTCTTCGACATCTTCTTGCCATTGAGCATCAGATGTCCATTCGTGCGGATGCCCAAGGGCCACTTGTCCTCAGGAAAGATGGCGGCGTGGTTATACAGCAAGAACGTCAGGTTGTTCTGAACTAAGTCTTTGCCGGAGGAACGCATATCGAAAGGGTAGAAGTAGTTGAATTCGTGCTTCAATGCGTCGGCTTTTTCCTTTGGGAACGGCTCAGACTCTGGCCACGGTCCGTTGCAGAAGACGTATTCCCAGGCCTCGTCCGTCATCTGCTCGGCACTGACGCCCAGAGGCCCAGGTGTCCGACCAAAGATGTCATCTAAGTTAATGTGGTCAGTGAGATGATAAAAGTAAGTTCTGACACCTTACCGTGCAACAAATGTGCGACAGTGTAGTATGCCATGTAGATAGTCGAGTCACTCAAACTTTCAACCATAAATTGTGGATCCCAAGGCAGCTTAGACCCCAGGCCGTATGTCCGAGCACACGCCCACTGATTCAGCCATGCCAATGTGGCTTCGAATAAATTCCGAGTCTCAACTGTCCACGTCTCCATCTTTGCCAGTAAACTGAAGGCAAATGATAAGCAAAAGAAAAGGGGGAATACGAAAAACATGCCTTTCGGCTTGTGATCTCCACTCAGATTCGCCGTAATCCATATACCACTGGTCCATCAAGGCAACAACGCACTCATCCGCGCTGCGCGAGATGACCGGGTTCTCTGGCTCGGCGTATGCGAATGCCAATCGTTGTTCGATCATGCTTGCGCGCACTTTGGGCTTTGCCTCTTGAACGGACAGACCCTTGAACTCGCCGACCAACATCGTTCCACTGTAGAAACCCTCCTTGTACGCGATCTCCTTCGCCTCTGCCAGCTGCTTGACATCTTTCTGTGACTGAATCTTCAGTTTCTCAACCAAGCGGGGCGCGGTCAGCTCGCCATAAGTCGGAGTCGTCAGCACGGGAATCGGATCAATGGATACAAATTTGCGATCGATCTTGTAAAAATCGGGCTTTTTGCGCAGATCGTTAAGGGTTGCGAAATCATCGGGGGAATCTGACGGTACAGAAGTGACGACACCGGTACCCTAAGACAATGTCAAAAACATCTACTACAAAGCTACGACGACTGACCTTCGTAGCCAAAACATTATCCATGGGCAGGACATATACTTCGGGAACCAGTCCAAATGGTGCTTTAATCTTCGTGCCGATCATGTCCGCGCCATCGATCTCCAACAGCTGTTGAGTCTGGCCGCGCTCAGGCGATAGACCTTGGAATGCCATGTTACGGGCTGCACGATAAGTGCATACAAATGCTTCTGTATCGTTGATCGCGAAGACTCCGTATTTTATGGATGTGCCGACGAAGCAGTTGGTTTGGCCATACCTGTGGATGTACTAAGAGACAATGTTAAGATGAAGACGAGGATACCGACATGGTCTCGGGACGCAACGTAGCAGCCACCAAAAATACTTTCCGACCATCTACTTTGCCTTCAATGACCTTTGCAGCTGGACTCCATTCTACTACCTCCATCTTGACACCAGTGTACTCTTGGGGGTTGACGCCTTCACCGTCGGACCGATCATGGTCCATACAAGGTTGTCCGTCTTTAGGGCTGTAGATCGTGTATCGCTCCCCAAACTTGACTTTTCCCAGTGCGTGTAACTTGTTCATTTGCCAACGGACGAAGGAGTCGTAGTAAGGGTTCAGGTCAGTTGTGACAAACGAACGTCTCCAATCGATACGATTTCCCATTGCGTTGTTATCCTCCTGTAGTACATAAATGAGAAAAGTAGAAAATTAACCGACGATCAGTTTACGCACCTTGCAGATTGGAGGAAAGTGTTCTAGCCAGTGATGAGGATCTGCAAACTTCTTGACTTCTGTGCGCGGGACGCCGATTGACAACATGATCTGGAATTGGTATGCTAGTCCTGTGGATTTTGCGGCGATCTTGCCCTTCGTGGCTTTCCCGACTGCTGCTGAAGGTATGGCTGGGCCGTTTGGCGCCGCTTTTATAGGTTTGTCGTCTTGCGCCTCTTCATCAAATCGTTCAAAATCTGGTCCAAAGATCTCCATCTCACGAATTATTTTGTCAGCAGCAGCCTGTGCAAGAAATCAGAAATCAGACAAACGATCCCCAAATGACTGGTATTTACTCACCTTGATCGGCATGCCAGTTGCATGCAAACCATGAGGGAACAAGACACGCTTGCCCAATAATCTCTGGTACCCGGCGGCAAATTCGATCTTCGAGATGGTGAACGCGTGACCCAGATGCAAAGAGCCGTTCATGTATGGGTAAGGGAAGTTGCCAAACCACTTGGGATATTTATCCCGGACTTCAGCAGGCGACAAGCCCTTCAGCTCGTCGGGTGAAGGGGCATTAACTTCGAATATAGAATCCTCCTGCCATTTCTTTTGATACTTCTTTTCCAGCTCTATGAGACGATCGCGTTTGCCTGTCTGTTATGCATCCGCCTTGTTAGTAGGGAAAGTTTATTATTGACGATGAGAAACAAACCTGGACTAACTCCATGGTATTCGCCATGGCGTATGAATTTCCTCGCGTATAGCGCCTGACTTGGCGACTCGACAGTCGCAGAATTGTTGAAATAGATATGGTGATCTGAATGACTATATATATATTATAAAGTTGACTCAGAGTCATTTTGCCAGAGAGGCCCGTAAAATACCACGGCACGTGACCTCGCTGACGAATCAGCAAACCCGACGCATTAGTGTAGAATCACTGGTTGACACTACTGTAGAGATACGACACTAGGTTCGTCACAGGTCACAGCCATCAACGAATCGAACCTATTTGGTGTGACTGTCACACCAATTTTTTGGGGGCCGAAGCTAATTTGTGACATGTGGTAAAAACATACAGAAAAACATATAAAAAACATACAAAAAACATATAAAAAACAACAATGTCCAGCTAGATTCTACCTGTTACTTCTCAACTTTATAATAAGATATGAATCAGACAAGAAGCCTTGACAAAATCACAATTTCCGAAGCTATTTTTTATGTGGTCACAGGTGACAGGGTAATTCGAAGCTGTGACACTAAGCGTGACTTTGTCACGTGCTGCACGTGACGAAGCTAGTGTCGTATCTCTACAGTATCATTCCTTGACACACTTGGCCATAACTCATTAAAATAATGTTTGATACACCTCAGCAGTGCGGGACATGTACCTCAAGGGATCTGTATGTCCGAACGTGCTCACAGATGGCGAAATAATACCCAGCGGTCGACTAGAGTTCAGGGATGTAGATGACGTGGTCACTCAGGCTGCGCATGAGTGAGCAGAGTTTGCACAAGGACGAGAGGAATTGGACCCTGAGAGATTGAAAACGCGAGCAGAGGGTGCAGGTTCTGATCCTGAAGATGAACGTGCAGAGTAGGGGCTTGGGTGCGAGCGCATGGAGTGCAGAGACCATAGGGTTCCCTCGATGAATAATTTGGGGCTCTATCAACAAATATCGTTAGTCCAAGATTGTCGACGGCGGTACCGGGACTTACAATTCCAAATGACGTCCTCCGTTCGCTTGGGTCTAGTCCTGCACTGACACCAAGGAAGCCACCAGCTTGTGATGCCGGTGCCATTTGACGAGCCCGTAATCACGGACAGTGAGTCTCTCCACGCATGGCGACTGGACAACGGGACAAGATCAGGCGGCAGCATCAAAAAAAGGTGAGGAGCATGATGAGATCAATGAACAGACGGACTGACCTCTGCTCAATCGAAGAGATGATGCATCTGGATGCACAACGTGCACCAGCGACGCGGTTGGTTGGATGATGCCACGCACTTCAAGGACAGCGCCAGTGGCCTATAATACTGAGCAATGTTGCAACGGGCGCTTGACGACGCGAGGAAGACGAGCGACGGGAAAACGAGGAAGAGGCCAGGTGCTGGCATTGATTCGACGAAGAGAATGACACAACTTGAAAGCGTAGCTGTAGTGTGACCAGATCTTTGCAGTATCCGGATAGGGGCTAAGGAGCGGAATTCAACAGATAGTACTGTGGGAAGGCTTTCGACACCCTGATACCTTTTGGGGTCAACCAGATATTTTCGGCGGTTGGTGGTGTAGAGCACTAAGTGATGGTGCGTTCTTCATCCCCAGTGAACTCTGGACATGGTCAAAACGGTTGAGAACGAGCGGAATATGACGAATTTAGAGTCACAATATATCACAACAGGAGACTCGCTCTTGGGACGAATACCATATTTCGCGAATGTTCAGGTCTTCTCGCATATTGTAGGGTATGTTAAGAATATGAATATCATTTTTCAACATATTTCAATTCTGTTCCATTGGTGTGACAAAATCAGTTGAATTCGTGCTAATTGTGCTATAATCTAATGGTACAAATAACTCGACCCGTGATCAGAAAATGCGAGAAAACACGATACGGGGCAATAATGACAACATGGAGCGCGATAGCGGAAATGACACAACAGCGACATAACAGCAGGCATAGGGCAGCGATAAGGAAGGCAAGCAGATGGTAGGCAAGACGAGAGGGTCCAGTGGAAAAAGCAGTGACATCGCAGCAAGGATAGTGGTCCAGGACCAGAGGATTGAGAAGAATAGTGCAGGGGACGACGGCAACAAGATGGGATTGTGATGCGAAGCTAGTACATAGCGCCGTCGAGAATGTCGCTGTTCTTTGTCCAGAGTCCTTCTCGTTCCTAGATGTTCATAATTAGACTAGACAATACAATGACTGTTTCACCTACTAAGCGTGCAGCCTCTGTATCATATAACTGTAGAGAGGTTAGGTGTAGAAGTACATACAAAAAGTAGCAAACACATACCTCGATTTGCTCCTTGTCCAACTGAGAATAGTATGTGTTAAATTCCTTCGTGGAACCGCCGCCGGTATTAACTTGCTTGAGCCATCGAAATGCGCACAAATTCCTATGTAATTGAATAAGTGCCGATTCTGTGAGCGAACAAATGGACTTACCGTCCATTTTTCTTGGGACCCGGTCGCATTCTGACAATTTTCTTTGATGATGCAGAAGTATCGGGGCCGTCGTTAGGGGACGCGAGTGGAGTTGACTCGGATACAGGCTTGAAAGAGGGACTGGCCGAATTTGCGATAGTCGAGGAAAGTGCTTCTGCCCCCTTAACAGCATCAGATGTACCTGGAAGTGGTACAGTGGGCGTCGTAGCGGCATTGACCATAGCTGACTTAGTCAGTGGATGGCGACTCGATCCAGTGCTACTGGTACTAATACAATTAGTTTTGTGTTGCGGTTGAGAAAAAAACTTACATTGGGTTGATTAGAAGAATCGGTGGTGGACGAATTGAGGGAGCAGGAACCAATGTAGCCGCAGGCATATTTTCTTTCCCCGAGTCGGGTGATAGTAGGGCCAAGGATTGGGTGTTAATGTGATCGTCGAGAAGCATTGGATCTATAAACGGATCAAGGGGCTCATCAAGCGGAGAACCCAGAGATGTAATGAAATTTGTACTCAGTTCAACTTGGTCATTGACAGTGCTTGAGGGCCCCGCAGATTTCACACTGCCAGCAGCAGCCTCCTCGGCTGTTGACAGACATATCAGCGTGTGACTTCAAGTCACAAATTAGAAGATAAATCACATTCAAGAGCGGGAGAGCTCGTCATTGCGTCGATGGGAGAGTTTATACTAGTAGTTGCAGCGGGAGAATTTGTGATTGCAGTGGGAGGACTTGTAGTTGCATTGGGAGGACTTGTAGCAGTGGCATTGGAAGAGTTCGAGTTCGCAGACTCGCCTAGTACAGATGTACATGAATATATGCGTCACAAATCAGAGACACTATACCTTTGACACGTTTTTTGGTGCACAGTGAGTCTGGCTCTGGGCTCCACGCTCGTTTCCTGTCCCGAGCATCCGATTCGCCATTGCTATTTTCCTCTTTGACCTTTTTAGAATGCTTAACGTAGTTACCATTGGCGTCGAGGTGATTCTTCCGCCACGATGGGTAGGAAGTGCTGCATAAGAGGTCCAATTTCCATCCGTCCGTCGCTAGCCTAAACAATGGGTGCTTTTCCTCCACGAGGCTGTGAAAAAGTAATCTGGTTGAGTGGATTAACTTGCTCCAACTCGTCGGGAGGAGTCCTTTAGTTGCGAATTCGAACCAGATGCTGCGAATTGTCTTGCGAATAGCATCAAGTAATTCTTCGGTGACTGGCTGGCCATCCTCGTGTTCTAGGTAAGGTGCGGGTCCGCGTTTTACCTTTTGCTTGAGTCCCTGAGGCGTCGAGTGCCATTTCTCCCAATCTGCACGGCTCCAAAACTTGACATCTGGATGATCTTGTTTGTCGACAGGAGGTATCTGGTTGCATGTTGGAGTAGCAGTAGTAACTCGAGTGGGATCTGTATTAGTGAGCTGCACGTTGCGTGCAAGCTCGCGGAATGCAGACCTCATCAAATAAGTAGTACCAAAGTAATAAATTCAACGAAATAAAATGAAACTTACTCTAATGTTGAATATGCCGTTTTCGCTTGAATGAGCTCGATTTGCAGCTGGTTCACCTGATTTTGTAAGGTGACGACGCGAGAGTTACTGGGGCCATGTAAATATCCATTCTGAAATTCAAATTTGTGTCGCAAAATCAGATCTTTGTGTGCTAGTTGTGACTTACTTGAAATAGAGCAGAATTGCTATCGTTTGACTCCAATTGTCCTTGAGAAAAATCGAGTGCAGCGGAGCATAGTTCGAAAGAACCGGAAGGAAGTGGCGATGGTGTGAGTAATGGTGGGCTGGAATTATCAGAAGACTGGTAATAAGGAATCCGTGTGGAATAAAACGACATGACGGATGCAGAGAAAGAGGGGCATACAACTTGAAGACGTCAGAATGAGAAGTGGAATGGCTTAGTCATTATGTCGTCTAAGTCTTTTCTCGTCTAAGTCTAAATTTCTAAGTCTCTCCCTAAATCCTGCTTGTACATATATTATGCCTTCCATGCCAGCCTCATCTCACGTTATCAACTGGACGGACAAAACAGTTTTCCGTGACAATATCCTTGTCATGGAAGTTGAAAATCTCCTCAATGGTTGGCCGACATATGAGATCAATTTTACACCACAAAACCCAGGACCGTTGGTAGGCTATCTACATATCTACTAATACAACTATTGCTTATATGCTGATGTCTGCACCACAGAAACTGCTCATTCGCCTCAAAGATGCTGTGAAACTCGTTGAACTCGAAGATTCTTCAGATAGCGAAGCCGAGGAGTTGTTGCCTGGCAGCAAACTGAAAGGACGGAAGACGTGACATTTTCATTATTTTCCCTGAGCCCATATTAATACACCTTCTAGTACCTCTCAATCTCATACCAAGGACTCCGAGTCCAACGTCAAGGACTCGTCCCATCCAGACGTAATGCAATCAGATGCCGGGGACTCGTGCTATCGGGCCAAGACAATGATATCTACCGAGTAAGTTTTCTCTTCCGTTCACTCCTGCAGTTGACTGACTATGATTTTATATCCAGTAACTGCTTTCATGCAAAGCCTGTACAACTCATCGGAGTTCTCAAAGACCCTGTCTCCCGTAAACGTAAATTCCAAGAGAGCGAATGGCCACCTCGTCGCCGCCGCACGTACAGGCATATCTCTCCCAGCCAGGATATCAATGCGCTCCAAGCTTTTAGAACTTTTCCTGCCGCTGTCGCAGTGGCAAAAGCAAACACCACGAAGTAGATTCCACCAGATGTAAAGTTTCGTTCTATTTGCTCTGTACCTTTCGCATGCCTCACTCTGCACTTTGCTCCGTGTTTTTTTGGCACCTTGTATCCTATCTCCTTTCGCATCCTGCTCGCATTCCATTCAACATTCGAGACAAAGTATTGTACTGCCATAGTGACTGTCATCACCTGTATTGTTGTTATACCAGTTGAATTGTACAAAAAATTGATCGCGCATTCAAAGCTATGTGTCCGTTTCATTATCATCATCATGAATGTCCTCCTCTCCGTCCTCAACTTCTGTTGGATCACCCAAGATGCCGAATGTTGCAACATTAAGGCCCGGTTTTTCGACCATAAAATAACGATGTTCTTCAACACCAGATGGTAGCCGAGGGTAATGCGGCACCATCGCAACGACATCGGTGATGCTCTTCACGTCAATGACACAGATGTTATCTTGTTCATAAGTGCACGAGGCGACAGTATGAAATGACAACTCAAGCAGGTCCTTGTCGGGGAGGGAATATAGCATGACAACTGCAACATTAAGAAATGTCCATTCATCACCATTATCCTCGTCTCCGTTGGCTTCAACTGCGAGTTGTGAAAAGTAGCGGACTTCACCAAAACGTGTCGCACCATCAAGAGTAAACTAAAAAAATGTGTCAGAGTTAAATACAATAACATGAATGAAAAAAATACCTTGACATTTCGAGAGACACGCAACTTATGTGGAGGTTTCAAAGATTCTCGCCAATGCGAGCGGGCAATCTGACCATTAGGTAGCTGGAGACGAGCCCACTTAAATATCTGTGGAGGGGGCCCGTCAAGAAACAGTGCAATAGCTTCTCTCTCGGCACCTTGTGGGTAAGCTGGTCGTGGATCTCGCTTGCGGAGAAGTGCGTAACCACCCCCAAGGTCAACTGCACCAGCAGGGAGACCTTTGGGTGGTTCGTCGAGTTCGGGGAGCATCGCTTTGAGGGTATTAACTTGCGCACGACGGATGCCCTCTCTAGAGAGGTTCTCGTAAGGTTCGGATGGCTGCCGAATTTCCTGACCTAAATTGCCGATGGTCCTCTCCATTGTCCACTGGGCATAGCACACGGGAGGGCCCTTTTGCACAGCTTCGGCTACAAGGTGATTAACTTGATGAGCGCATGGACGGACGAAATGAATCCGGTCCTCTCGGCGCTGATAGTACAATGTTTCGAAATCAACCTCCCACTCGGCCAGCATGTCATGAGCTGTTTGCATTTGTGCAAAACTGATACGGTGCTGACATATGATGCGAAATCCATGGACTAACTTGCAATAGTTGCGCCAGAAAGGCTCGGGGAGGATACCATACAGTAGCGCGGGACCGAGAGCAAATAGATAGAGCTGAAATTCCCATGTTTTGTAGCTCGTGTTGATTTTGTCGGCAATATTACGTGGCTTTCGGTCGAAGGATCCCGGAAGGTGTTGACCTGCAGCTGCAACAGCTGCGCCATGCGTCTCCCAAACATCGCCGTCACTTAGAACTGCCCAGTCCCATGATGCGATATCATCTGTCAACGCACAGTCCATTGTGCCTCGCCAGAGCGAGAGTAGGAGGTCGCTTAAAAGACCCGCAAGATGCATAATGTCGGTCGAGAAACAGACTGGCACCCTGAGTGTGTGAGACGGGTGGAGTCCAAGAAGAAGACTCGGCTTCGTGATCCCAGTCTCTGTCTTTCGCATCCCGTATTGCCGCTGGTTGGGTGATGACACGAGGCGATGTAGGTTTGCAACGTACTCGTGTGATGCAGCGGGCGGAAGATTGAAGACGTCGACATCAGGGTGATTGCAACCTTCGACGTGAAAATTATTTGGTCGTAGGAGCACAGGATAGTAGTGTGTCCCTCGTCGTTTTCGCCGACCAATGAGACCACAATATAAGCGACAGCCATTTTTTCCGCAATGGCCAACCATTCCGTCGAAGTATACTAAGCCGGGGCCGTCGGCAGTCGCAAGAAACAGATAAAGGAAAGAGATGTATGCAGCGTCACGTCGAACGTCCCAGATAGATAGCCCTTCATTTTGCAGGGCAGCGAGGTGATGAAGTCCAGGAAATAAGAACGAGTCGACGTTTTTGGGTTTATTTGGTCCTGGGATGAATCCGCCTGGTAGAACATGTTTCTTCTTGTATCGAATGTCGGGAGCGAGGTTCATTATCACCCATATGTAAATCCAACAATCAGAGACCTTGCTCTCATAGAGCTGCACACCGTCCATTGAGATCATCAAGACCACGTCGTTTTCAGCGATATCGCCATTGACGACAGCTTGAAGATAGTCGCTGCCCATAACAAAATCGTCGTAGGTATCGATAGCCCCCCCTGCTTCGCGAATCTCCCGTAAAAGTTGTTCTGTGCGTTCATGCCGGTAGCGCATTTGCTTTGCACTCTCTGCGTCACGCCACAGCGCTTGAATCTGTGGTCCGATGGGAATTGTGTGGAATTTGCGGGCAACCTTGCTGCGGCCACCACTCGCTTGGAATTTGATCTGGTCATAACGATGTTTATTGCACATGGGACATTTCTCGAGGTCTGTGAAGGGGCCAGTGAATGCGACACATGTATCGAGGCACATATCGTGCGTAATCGATTCTACGCCAGTGTATTCAGCGATGATGCGTTCAATACGACGGAAGCTAGGCATGGCCTCGGCGTCAGGGTAAGTCTGTGTTGTGGAAGCACGAATACGTTCATAAGCATTTTGGGAAGAGTGTTCGAGAGCATAATATGTTCTGATTGCATGACGAACAACAGGATCTATGATATCGGGAGGTTCATGAGGCGGATTGCGTAGGTTTCGCTTCGCATCTTCATCGAGTTTTGCCACGGGATCATCTAATGAGGCTGATCGGAGGGCTAGAATGAATTGCATGGTGGTCGTCATATTAGGTAGAATGGCTAAGTCCGCAAGTTCGTCGAGATTGACAGGTGCACGTTCCATCTGAGCACCTACTTCAACACCACGATCCTCTGGCTCGTTCTGTCCTTCGGCATGATCATCTGGCTCGGCGTGATCATTCTGCCCTTCGGCGTGATCCTCTGGCTCATTCTGCACTTCGGCGTGATCATTCTGCCCTTCGGCGTGATCCTCTGGCTCATTCTGCACTTCGCCACGATCCTCTGGCTCCGAGTTGTCATTCTTATCACCCGCAGCTCTCTCAACGTGTCCTTCGTTATCACCTGTATCTCCGTGGGCGTTTTCTTCATCATCAAGATTGTGCTGATCAAAATCTGTGCATTCTTCATCTAGGGCGCACTGATTAGCACCAGTTGCTGACAGGAAGTTCAACATACCTGCTCGTATGCGCTTCCGTTGCATTTCGTGTACCTGAAATTCGCCAGGACGTTTCGGCAGAGTCACAGACTCGAGAGCCATCACATCTGCTCGGGTGGGATTGCCAGAAGGCACAGGATGCGAAGTTGATGCAGTCTGGCCATCTGCATCAATGTGGGCTTGAATTTTCGCCTGTAAGTCTGAGGAGACATTCCCAGCGCGTATGGCATTCCTTTCTTCTTCTGTTTCGGCCGCTTGGAGATGTCTGTACCACTCTGTGCGGGACACGGCGTGAGGGCGACCACCGTCGGCTCTCTTGCAGACGCAATTGTAGTCCCTACCAGGCATAGTTGTGGCACATATACTGACTGGAAGATGCGATCGTTGCTATTGATGTGATCGATGCGAAATACAATCGAGACGTTAGAAATGTACTTACCGGAAGATGCGATCGATGTGATTCAGATAGATGCGATCGATGTGATCGATGCGAAATACGATCGAGAGCAATACGATTTGACGACGCAACGCAGCGCAACGCGAAGGTGAAGCAACGTGAGAATATTGTACACGATTGTAAGATACATAATATGTGTAAACAATATTTCGGCTTATCCCAGCCGTTTTGACCATGTCCAGAGTTCACTGGGCTTCATCCCTGGAATTAAGAACCATGGACCGAACCATAGAGAACTGGACCAAACTTTTAGTTCGGTTCGAACCGTTGTTCTGGAATGCATATACCCGGCTTTCAATTTGAACGACCACCTGGACCGCGGCACGTAGCCACGTTTGCCAGAACTGTGACACCCTTGAATATTGATATCCTGCAGCGGGCGAGCCGTGTCTTTGCAGATGAAAATTTGTTTTCAAAGGACTGTGCGCGGCCCAGGGCATGGTGAGTAAGGTGCGCCATGATCATCAAATACATCATGATGAGCTGGTCCGTCCATTCCATCCCAAATAGGTGAACTACCAATATCGATGTGGATACACCACCTTTCCCGTTCCCAACTTCCACGGCACGGCAAGGAACATATCTCGAATGTGTGCCATCATGACACCTCTCCGGTCTTCGATAATTTTGCAGACCACCTTCTTACTCGTCCTTGATACGGACTGTGCGAGAATAGCAGTCGTTAACTCCTGTTAACTCACGCACCACGTCGATTTCGACTTAAGGGCAGCCGATCTTTGCCATCCCAGTCATCATACCGTGGGTCTACCAACAACTGAGCTCCATTCAGCCATGCAGATATCATCAACCGAGCTTCATCGAGCCATGCAGATTACTGACTGGTTTCCATAGGCATTATCAGGGGTCCTGGTCCAAGTCTCCGTTTTCCTGGATTTAACGAGAAGCACTACGAAAGGAGATCCGGTGGGCCAAAGGGCGAGGATGAGTGTTGATTAATTGATTACTAAGGATCACTCTCACCATAGATCTAGGTGTTTACTTTATCCGCTGGCGCCATTACCTTACCGTATCTGGGGGTAACTATTGTGCAGTCGAATGAAGCTGGGACCTTAGTGCTGCCAGGTATTATGCGAACCGCCACGTCTTTCTGCCATGCCGATAGAAGCACATCAATATTCGCACCGCTGACCGGTACAGGTCACCATTCTCTTGACAGGGAATTTAAAAGCCATTCTTCACATTGTACCGTGAATCATAGTTACAAAGAGTCCCTTCCTTGCATCCTATCAACCATGCTACAACCTGACATGCGCATCTCTGACAATTCACAGCTCATCCTCGGTGCTGCGGCTTGTCTTGGTGTCGTAATTGCTTGGGCTTACCGCCGTAAATCACAGAGCAACCTTCCCCTCCCGCCTTCCCCTCCCACTTGGAAACTTGGGGGGCATGACCTGCCAGAGCAACAGTAAACTTTCATATTCGACTTATTGACTTTTGAACGCTGATTGTTCTTGTCGCTGATAAGCCCATCCTTCACTATAGGGGAATGGATTGACGAGTACGGTCCTCTGATCACCCTTCGGTCAGGATTTGAGAAGACCGTTATTGTTGGCCGTTACAAGGTCAGTCTTTACGCTGTTTTGTCATATATACGCTCAAACATTCTGCTGCAGGCCGCTGTGGATATTTTGGAGAATCAAGGCAGATTGACAGCTGACCGCCCTCGCATGATTGCTGCTGGAGAAATGTTTCACGGCGGAATGGCTATCGGATTTGCCCACTGGGGGGAGAGATTCCGTCGGATGCGTAGGTTAGTAGTCTGTGATACTTCCCTCATCTATCTCAAATTTTAATGTGATGCAGAGCACTTCATGCGCATCTCCAGCCTAAAGCAGCTGAGACCTACGGGCCCCTGCAGATGTCACACGTGAAGAACACAGTTCTCGGCATTCTCGATGATCCACAGAACTTTCAGAGCCATGTGCTAGCGTAAGAGCTTTCGGTTATGATAGTGCATTGCTTACAGGTGGTTTGAAGTTACACTTCGACAACAATTATGAAAATTACATATGGGAAGAATACGCCCACGTCTGCGACTGATCCTGCAGTCATTGCCATTCGTCATTTCGTTAAGGTGGGTACTGCGATCGTGCGCCCTTACGCTTATCTGGTGGACACTATCCCGTGGCTCAAATACGTCCCATGGTATGGGCTCGACTTGAAACGGGAGTATGAGAGCGTCAAGAAACTTAACCTTAGTCAGTTGAACCGCGTGAAGGAACAAATGGTGTGCATTCCTTTTTAATCTTCACTTCATGTCTGACCCATTGCACAGCAGAGCGATGTGGATATCGGCCCTTCGTTCGCGAGACATATCCTAGAAAATGGCTATGGTTTATCTGAGACTGAGATGGCCTTTCTTGGCGGTTCCTTTTTTTCAGCTGGATCCGAGACGGTGAGGCGTTGTTGTGTTGCCTCCGGAGATATGTGACTGACATCGGGCGAAAGACTTCTATCTTAATTTGCACGGTATTCATGGCAGCAGCATGTTTTCCTGAGGAGCAAGCTAAAGTTCAGGCCGAGCTCGATGAGGTCATCGGAAGGCACCGAGGTAATTTGATAACCTATTAGAGTTCTATGGATTCAATAATTTCTGCACCAAAGCGCCAACCTTCGCCGACCAAGAATCCCTTCCTCGTCTGCAGGCATTTATCTCTGAGGCATTGAGATGGAGGCCACCCTTGCCTACCGGTGGTGAGTATCTTTCTTTTGGTTTGTCCCTCAATTTCACAACAATCACATTGCAGCGGTGGCTCACCGAACAACGGACGATGTGATTTGGGCAAGTCATCTTTGAAAGGCTTTACGCACGGATGATGATCTGGCCCATCAGGAAAATTATTGTATTCCAGCTGGGACCATTGTGGCCGGGAACCATTGGCAAGTATTGTGTTTCAAGATATCAAGGACCTAACTAACGGTCACTGCTTTAGGTCGATCTCTCGAGATCCAGACGTCTTCCCGGAGCCTGACGCGTTCAAGCCTCAGCGCTGGATTGACGATCAAGGTCGCCTGAAAGACGATTTCAAAGTCAAGTTATTTGTCTATGGCTTTGGCCGGCGGTGAGCACTGCTTTTCATTTATTCGTTCTTTTAATGACATTGTTTTTAGCGTATGCCCCGGTCAACATATCGCAAATAGGTAAAGCTACCCTTCCACGCACATCGTCTTCCGAACTCACTTTGACCAACACAGATCAATATTCCTCAACTCGCTTCTTATTATGTGGGCCTTCCAGCTTGCTCTGGATCCTACGAAGCCATTGGATGACACTGGACTCATGCACGGGTCGATGCCAGATGTCATGCCGTGTTCAATTAAGTTTGAGAAGAGAATTCCGGAATCGGAGCTCAGGAGCATGATGGAGCATTATCCTGAGACGTCGCCTGAGAAGTTTTGATGCCTGGATGCTTCAAGGAAAGAACAAACTTCGAACCAGTGAGACAAGCTGTATTATGAGATCAGGGGCTTCAAGGTACCAGTACAATTGTACGAGACGTGATTAGTACAAATTGAAATCCCGATGTTGCACACTCGCCATTCAACGTTATAAAACACCGAGGATCGTGCGGAGTAGACTCGTGAGTCGTGAGTCGTGATCGGTTGACCACCGGGCTTGCCTCGTAAGAGGGCTGGTCACAAGTCTACATGCGGAGCGTGAAATGGCACTTGATACACTGCGCACAGGATTCTTCGATGATGGATTTTGAACCCCTGTAGTTGTGAGCCTGTTAATGCAACTAGTTTCCGTCAAACTTCGCTAAATTTAATTAAATTGTCAATTTGGTTGATCAAGCAAGCGACCGTCGAATTGAATAAAATGGTAAAGGCATAAGGACTGATGCCTTGCAGATTGAAGTTAGCATAATGGAGTCAACTCATCGCAATTGGTGGATTTATGTATTGTAATTCATTAAGTAGTATGGAAATCAAAAAATAACCCATCGGCAATGCACAAGACAGCAGGGTATGACCTAGTTCCTATGTCCCATCATGTCCCATCCCCATCATCCCCATTTGTCGATCCAGCACTCTCTAGACCTGCCTTGCTCACTCGCCTCATCGGCTGCAAAGTGTTCTCATCCACCGGAGCCCGCCTGACATGACGATACCGCCCCTCCCGGTCCCTTATCTCCATGTCCTGGCCCATTTCCTCCCCGGCTTCTTCCTCCTCACGGTCCCATGAAGGCATCGGGGGCAAACTCTCCCTCACATGCGCTGGTCGCCTACCCGTGCCAACACCGACGTCGCCAACACTACTTTCACTCACTGTAGCAGATGGCTTGGGCTTTGTCATGCGCCCGAGCTCTGCCTCCTCAAATGCCATGAGTTCGCTTACAAACCCGATGTTCGGGCTTATACCCTTGCGACGCTCTAGGACGAACTGGTATGCGCGTGCCAGCGGCCAGTGATGGCTGTGGATAAGGTACGCCATCACTGCGGTGACGCTACGGGATTTTCCGGCTTTACAGTGCACATATGTAGGTGCGTTGTAGAGGGCGGCTTCGTCTGCATCGGGAATTAGTCCATGTACACCGAGGTATGATGATGGAAACCAAGAAAAGCGTTGAATAAAAAACACGATTTTCCACTGGCGGAAATATCGAATTGCAAGGCATGGATATACGAAGACGAAGTACTTACCAAGCACATCGCAGGCCTCACTTAGCCCCTTACGTACTCCTTCCTCCTCGACACAATCCCTCATCGGAATATGCACATACCGCTCAAACCGTTCCCGAAGCATTAGCCCGCGATCGTCTGTACATTCAGCCGCGATGTTAATGATTCGTTTCACGCCCAGAGATTGTAATTCTGAAACATGTGAAGGCAAAATGAGTTCAGGGCCGAGGAAGAGGAAGTTAGGAAGGATCGTAGAGATGATGAAATCTTCTCGCTCATTTTCGATGTCGGAGGCGCCAGGTGTGGATGTTGTTGGCGTCGGCCGTGCGGTGGATGGTGTCATGGGCATTGAGATGGGCATTGGTGGAGATGGGCTCGCATTCCCAGTGTAACTACCATTGGAGAGATTGAAATTAAAGCTCGAGTTAAATGCGCTCGTTGGAGGTGTGTGATTGGAATGGAGAAGTGTGAGATGCGACGGGGATGCGGGCGGCGGGTGGAGGAACACGGCCTGTTGCGAGGGTGTAATAGGGAGCGTTAAGCTGCGCGTTGGAGCCGTGTGAATCTGAAGCCGCGGGAGAGTTGTCACAGCATGTTTGAGGGGCTTCGCCAGAGTCTGTCCGCACTCTACGCTACTATTTGCTGCATCACTGGTTCCATTTGCCCTGACACTATCAAGAATGAGATTACTTGATCTCCGTGGGGGAGGTGGGCGGCGAAAAGCGAGTGTGGAGGGCGGAGAATCCGTAGGGTTGTCAAGGGTGAGCGAGAGCCCAGGCATGATTGGTAATGGGGAGTGTCCTGGTCGTTCCGCTTCGTCTCCATGACCTTGATCTTCCTGCTCGATTTGTACGCTGGTACTAAGCCCGGCAGCGCTGTGGGTGTCAAGTTGGAGGAATGCCCTTCCTTTTGCACTCTTGGGTGGTTTTGGCAGTCGCAAAGAGGCTTGGGAAGGAGAAGGAGGAGGATGGGGTGCATGGATGATGTTCTTTCGGAGTCGTGCATGAAGTTGAGCACCTACAATTCCTCCGCGAAGATACCACACCTTGTCCGGGCCCAAAAACCCCGCAAGAACTGAAAGCAGGGCCCATGCAATGACACCTGTGTTATCTCTCTCCCGTTCGTCAGTCTCTTCCCCATGAACGATGACAACATCCCCATCAACGTCCCAGGTATCAAAAACGTCCTTTCCCTCGTCACTGGTGATGAACTGGCGAAGTGATGCGAAAGTAGGTAGTGTACGTTTTGAGCGCTTAAGAATGAGGGACGGCATGGCGATATTAATACTCCCTAAAAGGTGAGTCGCGGCATAGGCAGCATGAGGGCGGGTGTCGATGAGGAGTGGACGAGTGGGAGAGGCGAGACGGATCAGTAACTCAGTGGGGTCCATAGCAGAAGTGGGAACGCGGGGAGAGGGCATAGACGCAGAGCGCTGCGGAGGTTTTCGGGCATGGCTTGGAGGTTCGGGGGGAGACGAGGCAGGAGGAGGAGGGAAGTTAACGTCAACGGGGGTAAGGTACGTGCTGCTTGCGCTTTTAGGAGAGGAAGAATCTGAATCAAACCGCTGGCGGTGGTATTGATCTTGACGCCATGGAATTGCGGTGACATTTGGAATAGCAGTCTTTGGTAATCTGCTGAAGGAACGAATTGGTCGGAGACGAAGATTTTTCTGCACGGATTGGCGTAGCTGAGCAAGTGCTGCCAAGTCTCGGGACAACTCTTCTGCATCGGGAATGTTCAAGGCTATGGGGCTCGAGGAGGATGAAGAAGAAGGAGAGGATAACTGCAAGAGCTCATCATCCGATGCGAGCGGAGATTCTGAGATTGACTCGGAAGACGTATCGAGAAATGCAATTGACTCGGATTCGAACGAATGCGATTTTGGCTGAATCGTTAATGTTGGTGGGCGTAGTCGCGTCATGTCCCCAGAAGGAGGGTCACTTCACCGACGTTCGTTATGCGACAAAAGGTATCACCAGCCTAGTTCTAGTGTGGACTAGAACCTACACAGGCTCGCTTGCTAGCAGAAAATCAGTAAAAAAACAGCAACAGAGATATGAACTCAGAACAACAAAAAGAGCGCTCTCACCTGTCGTGCTCTTGGTTACTTACACTACTTGGTTACTCGGATTCGGAATACCTCCTGACCCCGCTTGGGCCGAGATCCCGGCCGGCCGGAGTTTCCCTCTTAACGGCCCATAATTAATTAATTCATCACATAGGGACTCCGGCCGCCGGGTTCGACCGCATATTTTTCTACTAATACGTGCACGCCTCGTACATCGCACACAATATTTACTGCACTCCACGTCCAGCTGATAGAATAAACAACAGAGCAGGATCTAGACAATTTACTCACCTACTAAGCGCATCACAGGTTTCGTATAGGATTCACACTCCACTGGGTACAAATGAGGGATCAGTGTTGCCCGCCTCAGGTCATGTGGTGCCCAGCCAGTCTTATCGATATATCACCGCCAATCGGATCGTTGAAACGTTGATCGTGTTCAATTGTTCTCGCCTCTGCCACCAGTTCGACTGATTGATGTCGCGGTCATCAAGATAGGCATGCTACTAGTACTATGAGTATAATTATGCATGACTATCAAGGTCCGCGTTAATACTAATTTCAGAGGGCCACAATCATATCTTTATCTGCGAGCATATAGAGGCCAGAACGACTTCCTTGTCTATATACATCCTACCAGATGTCTGGTCAACCACCTATCGAGCGAGATTTTCGAAGGAGGCTGAGCACTGAGCCTAAAATATACTTAGCCGATCAACTCACTATTATTATAAAGCTCGCTCATCTTTTGATATCAAAGTCTTCTCATTGGTAAAACATTTGCTTAACGAAGATAAGAATAAACGACGGTAGCTACTGAAATAGCACCGGTCCCTACTCATATGCTTCGTGATCAGTCCACTGCCTCGCAAAGCTTTAGCGCAGAAATTCCTCGGAGTTAAACCACTGAGCTACCAGTCTCAGTCTCAGAGGTGGTGTGAGGCGCTGCAGCCGAGCGAGTAGCGAAAACCAGAACCGTTGGCTGCGCTGTTTCGATACTCCACGCCCTTCGCCTCACAACACGAAGAATTAGCATTTGGGGGGAAATACACTAAGAAAGATTTGAGCAACGGAACCTCGAATACGACAGCTATCGCCACTCACGGTAAACATGCCATATAAGGAGAGGAAGAGAATCGAGGTATCGCTTTCAATGCCGAATGACACGAGGAACGCGATCCCAAATAATGTGTATGGCAGCGCAGACTCGATAACAATGGCTACTGCAGTGAAGTATGCCTTCGAAACTTCAAGACCAAGGTGGTTTTGCATGCGCCTTGCATAAAACATTATGCGGCCACATATGAGACAAGTAGTAATGAAGTTGAGGCCAATGGTCAAGGAAAAATACACCAATCCAACGCGTGCTGCCAACCCCTCATAGAAATCGCCATTTGGGGAACCACTAGCGATGAGGTCGAGAATCCCGAATACTGTTTGATTGACTGAGTGGTTGCAAGCGAAGAAGAGGACCATCCTACCGAGAGACGATATCCAGAGGCAACAAGGAACGAAAAGCACGCGGTAACTTCCACGCCAGACCGTGAAACATCGATGAATCTGATTTATCATCAGTGCACTTATTCCCAGTCGAACTAGAGAGTACACTCACGAGTAGACCATCAGTCATCAACTGCAGCAGGATGGAGGCAACTGAACCCATCGTCTGATACCACGCTGAAACGTGGGCAATAAAGTATGCGAGAGCTCCACCAGGGTAGCCTGTATTGATAATCCACATCTCCTGCCCCAAAACTGATTGCGTGGCGACAAAGATCGTGATAAGAAAGAGTAATATAGTACTGAAGATCATATAAAACTTGTCGGAGGGCCTGTGCTCTAATTGTTTTTCGAGGTACGCTTGCATGGTGTTGAAATACAGCACCAACTCCACACCTGTAAACCATCAAGTCAGAAATAGTAACCTCCGTGGTCAGAGTGCTTACCGTATAGAATGGAATTGAAAACATTACCGATGTAGAATGAATTTTGAAACAGTGCATCGGACATGACTGCAGCCTCAGTCCTGCTAGGATACAAAGTCAGTGGTCAGCATGCGTACCTTGGTGGAGAATACCTCTCATAATAAGTATCTCGAGGCTCTGCCACAGAGCGTTTGAAGGCGGTGATTCGGATGCCACGGTGGCCAATGGATGCAGACGCCAGAGTAGCGCTACCGCAGCGGAGACTCTAGAGAGTCCAGAATGTTGGCTCGACGGAATGTGGGGGCCGTCGATACTAGTGGAGGCTAATCATCACATGCATCGCCAGCCTGAGACTGGTGACGCCCCAATGATAGCATGCTTATGCTTAGTTTAGGGCTCAGGCATAGCACGATGTCAAGGATATTGTGTGATACAAGGGAGCATCACGGATCAGAGACCTAATTGCGGTGATAGCAGTGTTGGCCGAGATCGGTGCGTGACACCGTGTCAAGAGGAGGACTCGGTTTAGCTTAAAAACATGATGCTACTTGTTAGTGAGAACTCTTGAGAACTATCTCCGGAGGTGACTCGGAAAAACATTGGATCCTATCATGGGCCATGCAGAGCAGTACTTACTAGTTTTCACAGCAGCAGCATCGCTTGAAGGGTAAAGGTGCCATCATGGGGGCGGGAATTGCTTCATGTTTTCGACAACTCCGATGAATCGTTCGTTCGGTTATGTAGACAGAGTTAATAGAGAGCTCACGTATGTTACCCGAACAACGAGGAAATCCAAGACGGCTATTCCGCTCGCACCGACCGCGATACATCAGGTTCACTCAAGAAGTCGGAGTAGCACGCCACTCGAAGGACTCCTCGATGAGCCCTCCCAGTCTTATTCATAACATGACGAAGTGGTGCTAGAACGGTTCAATGCAACACAATGCAAACTATAGAAACGTGATATCAAGAGTAAAAAGAAGAAACAGCATGAGCGCTAGCACAAACAGCGAAAGAAAAAAACGCTCAATAACGTCAGTATCAAGCACAATATCACACATACGTACAAAATCCAGCTGAAAGCGCCTAACGCACATTCATCTACTGCCAGTATTGGCGGTTCGGCTGGTATGGATAGAAATTGCCTTCTGAATTAGCCTGCACCTGGGGGTACTGTCCTCGCACACCGCGCCCCGCAGGTTGTTGTTGCACGCCAACCCCTTGCCCTGAATCTTTGCGATAAGAAGCCTCAGGCGACCCGGTTTGTGCAGCCACCCCACGACCTAAGAACCCTTGCCCGTGTCCATACAACTGCCTCTCGCTGGGTGTATGGTGGTTGTTTTGTGTCTGCTGCTGCGGGGGCTGGTGGTACCCGATGTCATCGGCATACCCGCCAAATCCACGCTGCACGCCTGCTCCCATACTCAACCCGTCATTCTGTTTCGAAGGCTGATGTTGATGCTGGAACATTGCTGGCGGAGTAGGAGCAGGGTACTTGACGAAGGGTGTAGGGTAACCTTGGTTGTAGGGAGTACCATAGTACTGGTTTTGAGGATACGGATAAAAGTAGGGCATAGGCGGTGCGTAGGGTTGCTGTGCGCTTGTCGCTGCAGGCTGCGATGACTGAGACGCAGAAGGAGGGATGACCGATGAGGGAGGTTGCGAATGTTGGTGCTGGTGTTGGGAGGTAGGAAGACCCTTGACATCATCATGACCAAGGACATTGCGATTGCCGCCAAACCCTGGAGATTGCGCATACGAATCGTAAAAGCCCTGCTGAACATTTGATTAGAACACAAACATCACAAGTCAGGATAGTGTACTGACGCGTTGATTATCACTGTAGTATTCACTACCTCCAAAGCCGCTAAGGTGACTCCCTTGCGATTGGTGTTGCTGATGCTGCGTCCCAATCTGTCCGAAGGGACCCATACCACCACTCATGGATGCACTGTAATCCTGCTGTTGAGGGGGCGTTGGTGCGTTGAAGTACGGTGCATCTTGCCGGAAGTACGCCGCAGACTGGGCCTGCACCTGCTGGGCAGGGCTGTATTGTTGAGACTGCGTTTGCGGGCTGTCGAGGTGCAAGTGTGCAGCATACGGCTGAAGCTGCGGCAATTGCTGGGGTTGATGCTGAGGTTGGTGTTGAGGCTGATGTTGAGGTTGGTGCTGCGGCTGCGGCTGGTGTTGCGGCTGGTGCTGGTGCTGGTGCTGCGGTTGCGAGGGAGGCTGTTGAGTGAAGCTGGTACTCGACGGCGGAAGGGTAGGAAGGGACATTGAAGGTGCAAGAGCATGTTGAGGTACCTGCGGGATTGGTGCTGTTGGTTGGGGAGGTACGAATTGCGTTGTCTGTGAAGGTGGTAGAACAGGCTGCACTGAAGGAGGGAGCATCGGCTGCGAGGGAGAAGTAGCGATAGAGCTAGCGACAGACGGTACAGGCGCAGGAACGCTCTGTTGAGGCTCTTGTTGCTGAACGGGTGCGGGAAGCGCAGGAGGTGAAAGGGGCTGCGTGGTCTGCTGCGGGGATGGCTGCTGTTCAGCTGCGGGAGGTTCGATGCTGACCGAAACATATCAGCTGACTATCTTCATATCAGTTCCAGATTTTAGCTCACGACGTGGGCTCAATAACATCTCCACCAAGACTCAAACTTCCAAACTGCATGCCCACTTTGTCAAGGCCAGGCATGAAACCAGTTGACGAAGGCATGACAACAGCCTGATCAATGCCCTTGTACTTGCCACGAACTGCGGGGCGGGAAGAAAAAGACGCAGGCGATTTGGACCTAGTGGGCGCATCCTGCTTTTGAATTTGAGCAGGAAGAGCCGAGACGACGGCCACAGGCTCAGGTGCGGGGACAGCAGGCTCCTCTGGTAAAGTGGGAGGCTCAGGTACTGGTTCTGGCTCCGACGTTGGCAGAGGCTGAGAGGAAACCCAAGCGTCTGCGGGAGGCTGATGTTGGGCTTGGGGTTGAAGTTGAGGCTCGTCGTCCCATTCAGGAGGCTGAACAGTCGTCGGATCCTCCCAACCTTCTGATACTGGTTCTACATCGCCATTGACAACTGGTGAAAGAGGAGGGTGTTCAAAGACCGGTTCGGGCGCAGGAGGGACGACTGATGGTGCAGATGGTGCAGGAGGTGACGCTACAACGAGCTTCTCTTGCGGTCTGCGCTCAATCAATGATCAGCTGTCGAACGTTAAACCAAGTTCTTAATGCGCACTTTGCGATTTGGGCCCAGGAAAGTTTGGAAGTCGCTGGGAGTTTAGCAGATAATATAGGAGGTTTGGGCGCAGCAGCCACAGTACCCCAACTAGTATTAGCACCCCACGAAGCAGAAGTTGTAGGCTGCGATTGAGCAGGAGCTGGTTCAGCAGTTGTAGGCTCTGAAGGCCAGGTCATGACTGTAGTCGATTCATCCTGCGCAGCACCCCAACCTTCATTCGACTCTGGCTTGTCAGCAACATGTTCAGTGAGATCCTCAACCTGTGCTGGCTTGTCGTCGGGTGCGGGACCAGAAGCTTTAACACGAGAGGAAGCATGACCATTGACTCCAGGTGCACCCCTTGCGCCACCACGACCGCGACCACCCCTACCAGGACCACCGCGACCACCACGCCCACCTCGACCACCACGCGAGTCGCTACGTGAGATGTTCGGGTCCTTTGACGGTGCGTGCTGAGCTACAGGAGTCTTTTTATCCTTTTTGCGCGTAACTGAGCCCCATTGTTCCGCGTGCCCTGTGGGTCGTTACGGAATTAACAAAACCGCGACAAGAAAAAGCAAAAAAAAAATGACATGCCTTCGGAAATTCGAGTCGCCGCAAGTTCAAGGTCACCACCGACTTCATTGAGGAGAGACCGGAGGTCTGAAAATAAGGAGAATTAATGGACGTCACATTGCAAAATAAGGACGCACCTTCGTTTGACCAGGAGGGGAATAGTTCTTGGAGTGTTTGAACTTGAGGATGTAATTTTGGTTCCGATGGATCAGAGGGTTGTTTGTTTCTGAACGCGGCTGATTTATACGAAGACATATTCAACAAGAACGACAACGACGAGCAAAAGGTAAGGAGGACTGGTGGAGTTTGAAAATTCTAAAATACTAAATTATCCGGCCGCAACATCCAGTAGGACACCGCCTAGAGGGGGGTCACAATGCGGGCTTCAAGCATATTCAGGGATATTCAATCATACGTTCGTCCTCCCCTGCAAGCAAATTGTGAGTGCCTTTCGAGAATCTGTTAGTGGCACATGCAGGGATTTGGCGCTGACTGTAGTGATTTATAGGGTGTAGTTGAAATGCCAGAGTGTCTGTTTTCCATTGGTGAGTGGATCCATGCTGGTGGCAGTACTTGCCTCGGACTGCCGACTTAGACGGGCACGGTGACCTGCCTGCGTCGTCGTGAGCCATGCATCTGCCCCGAATAAAAGTTACATTGGATGGTACGGACACAACTTAAAAAATCGCTGATATCATGGCTGCGATAGAAAATACTCAACGTCACAGAACGTCCTGTCGGAAGAATTGCCCTCCAAAAGTGCTCCTACTTAACACAGACTAACACTACGCCTTTGGCAGACTCCTACCCACTCGGCAAGGGTGTGCGAATCCGAAGGCAAGTTGACAGTTTGTACCTATTTGTACCTGATTACTTAACTTTTTTGAACTTTATATTGTGCTGACACAAGCGGGAGACTACAAACATGGTCAAACCTCGCGCCAGTCTGCGCCTTTGGGTGACTTTGTCTCGCGAATTCTATCGAGACGTGGCACCAATAGGATGAACTTTGCGAACCATTCACGTTTCCGTCGGCACTTCTTGCAGTGTATGACCGTCGGAGCGCTCACCATAGCCCAACGGCTTCTCTTGGTGGTAAAATGATAAACATCCGTGACCCGTCGCACGATAACGTACAGCCTCAGGTGACAGATCGATTGGCATGGAGAACTTAAAAGTCACTCATCACTTGAATGTATCACAACTAACCATGGGTTCCCTCCAATCCCTCCTTTCGCTCATCCCATACAACACAGCTGACCTGCGCATCTCTGACAATGCGCAGCTCGTCCTCAGTGCCACCGCTTGTGTTGCTGTAGTGGGAGTAATTGTTAGGGCCTACTATCCTAAATTACCGAGCGGCCTTCTCCTCCCACCTTCCCCTCCTGTTTCTTCGAGACTTCAAGGGCACGTCCTGCCGTATCCAAAGTGAAGTGTCTCATTCGACTCATTGACTTTTGAATGCTGATTGTGTATAATCGCCGACAAGACCATTTCTCACTGTAGAGGGATGGATTGAAGAGTACGGTCCTCTGATCACTATTCGATCAAAATTTGAGAGGATTGTTATTATCGGCCGTTACCAAGTCGGTCCCTCCATGCTGCGTTATCATATCCAGGCTAAACGACATTCTGTTGCAGGCCGCCGTGGACATTATGGAGAATCAAGGCAAATTGCTAGCTGATCGTCCTCCCATGGTTGCTGCTGGTGAAATTTTTGGCGGGGGAATGAGCATTGCCTTTTCACCCTTTGGGGACAGGTTCCGTCGGATGCGTAGGTCAGTAGTCCGCCAAACTTCCCTCATCTATTTAATTGTACGCCATGATGCAGAGCGTTACATTCGCATCTCCAGCCCAAAGCAGCTGAGGCCTATCAGCCACTGCAGATGTCACACGTGAAGAACATAGTTCTTGGCGTTCTCGATGACCCGCAAAGCTTCCAGCACCATGTGATAACGTATGTATTGTTGGTTATGATTGTATTAGTGCTTTGCTTACGGGCGCTTTAAAGTTATGCTGCAACGACAATTATGAAAGTTGCATATGGGAAGAACACGCCCACGTCTGCGTCTGATCCTGAAGTCATTGAGATGCGTAAATTGGTTGGGGTGGTCTCTCAAATCATGCGCCCTGGTGCTTATATGGTGGAGTCGATCCCATGGCTTAAATACCTTCCTTGGTATGGTCGAGACTTAAAGGCATGGTTTGAGAGGAGCAAGAAACTCAGCCTTGGTAACCTGAACCGCGTGAAAGCGCAAATGGTATGCATTTCTTTTTAAATATTCACTTCATGTTTGAGTCGTTCCACAGCATAGCAATGAGGACATCGGCCCTTCGTTCACGAAATATATGCTAGAAAACAGCCATCTCTATGGATTGTCAGAGTTAGAGATGGCCTTTCTTGGTGGTGCCTTTTTTGGAGCTGGATCGGATACGGTGAGATATTGTTTTGTTGCCTCCGAAGATATGTGCTTAAAATCAGGCGAAAGACTTCTATGTCAATATGTACGGTGCTCATGGCAGCCGCACGTTTTCCCGAAGAGCAATCTAAAGTTCAGGCCGAGCTTGATGCGGTCGTCGGAAGGCACCGAGGTAGCTTGATTGATTTATCTATCGTGGTGTTGTGCAATCAATGATTTTTGGATTAAAGCGCCGACCTTCGCCGATCAAAAATCCCTTCCTCGCTTGCAAGCATTCATTTCTGAGGCTTTGAGATGGAGACCTGTAGCTGCTGGTGGTGGGCGTTTTCATTTTCGTTTTGTATCTAAATTTCACAACATTTACGCTGCAGGATTTGCTCACCAAACAACCACAGACGTAATTTGGGCAAGTAATCTTTGAACAACTTATCGCGCGAATGATAATCTGGCCCTCCAGAAAAACTATTGTATTCCAGCTGGGACCACGGTATACGGCAACCATTGGTAAGTAATTTGCATCAAAAAATGAAGGATTTAACAGTCACTACCTTAGGTCGATCTCTCGAGACCCAGATGTCTACCCGGAGCCTGACGCGTTCAAGCCTGAGCGCTGGATCAACGAGCAAGGCGGCCTGAATGATTTAAAATTCTTTATCTACGGCTTTGGTCGGCGGTAAGCACCGTCTTTCGGCTATTCGTTTTTGAATGTCATTTCTTTCAGCGTATGCCCCGGTCAACATGTCGCGAACAGGTAAAGTTATCTTGCACGTGCGCAGTCTTCCGAACTCACTTCAGTTTGTACAGATCGGTGTTCATCATGGCACTCCTTATTCTGTGGTCCTTCAGGCTCACTCTGGATCCTACGAAGCCATTTGAGGACATGGGATTCATGAACGGGTTTATGCCAAGTGTTATGCCGTGCACATTTGAGTTTGAGAAGAGGATTCCGGAAGCGGAGCTCAGGCGCATGATGCAGCATTATCCTGAGGCTGCATAAAAAGATTTGATGCCAAGATGGGCCAGGGAGAGAATGAAGAATATATTCTTCATGAATCACCCATATCGGTGCATAATCCGCAGTACGTTTTAATATTTTCCAAGCCCATTTTGAATTGGGCATTATATAGTTGTCTCCATATCCCATTATATCCTGTCTTCCCTCATACAATGCAGTCTATGATAACATAGTATCACAGAGTCCACGTCAAATGGTTGTGATATTCGTATCGCTGTGTGTTCGCGAACACAATTGTCCTGATGTTCACTTGAGCAGCTTACTCATGAATGACACACATGACAGTGTTAAGATGCTAATAAAGCCTCGGCGACCTCTACAGTGGCTGTCACACACTTGCTGCGTCAGGATTCGCAGAAGGAACCTCCTTTCTCCTTCTGTATGGTCTAACTAGGGAGACCACTTGGACCCCTCCAATTACCGACTCCAAAGCGGAGTTGTATGAAAGATAAACAAATCAGTACGCCATCACCGGGTGAAGAAAACGGAGTGCACTGCTCAGTCCGTCACCCAATGGGAAGAGCCTTTCGTGAGACAAACTGGTCATATTGTGTCATAAACACGTCCTACGACATGGTCATAGGTCGTTCTCTTGTCGGTGTGGTGACTTTGTCGCTCTTGTCATTTTTGCCTGAAACGAACTACCAGCATACTCTGCCTCTGCCAGTGCAACGGACAATCAAACAGGAGGTAACGTGGATGAACATATAATGACCGGTCCCTAGACTTCGGCTGCATGCTGCATGGCCAATGGGGGACTTGAAGGAGGAGTCCCGGACTGTACGCGCCTCACGGTCCTCCAAGTAGGATATTATTTAAATCACACACGGCCTGTGAAAAAAAGGCTGTACCCCCGATTGTTGGGTTAGAATTGTTGATCATGCTTATGTCTCTCAAAGGGCACGTTCAGAAATCAATCAATCTACTAGCACTATGATCATTCCTCCTGTTTGACACTTTGACGTATTGGTGTCTTGAATCATTTTACCGCACGCCTGTTGAATGCGATAGTGGTGATGCTAACATTCTGAGGTCACTCCTTCCAAGTGGTTGGAGGTTCCTCGGGATAATGCTGCATCATGCGCCTGAGCTCCGATTCCGGAATCCTCGTCTCAAACTCAATAGCGCACGGCCTGTCTACTTTCTCCCCGATCATGAACCCCATATCATCCAATGGCTTCGTATGATCCAACGTGAGCTGGAATGCCCACAGGATAAGAAGAGAGTTGATGAACACCGATCTGGGTCAATCAAAATGAGTTCGGAATATGTGCGTGGAAGAGTGGCTTACCTGTTAGCGACATGTTGACCGGGGCATACGCTGAAAGGAGATTTGATTCAAAGAAGGAATGCTGAAAGACGGTACTTACCGCCGACCAAACCCATAGATGATGAGTTTTAAATCGTCTCGCAGGAGACCTTGATCGTCAATCCAGCGCTCAGGCTTGAACGTGTCAGGCTCCGGGTAGACATCTGGGTCTCGAGAGATCGCCCTAGACAGTGACTGTTAAATCCTTCATTTCTTGAAGCACGATACTCACCAATGATTCCCAAATATCGTGGTCCCAGCTGGAATACAGTAGTTTTCCTGATGGGCCAGATCATCATTCACGCAATGAGTTGTTCAAAAATTACTTACCCAAATTATATCTTTGCTTGCGCGATGAGCCAATCCTGCAGGGTGAATGTTGTTCATCCTAGATACAAAACTAAAACGAAGATACCCACCACCGGAAGGCACTGGTGGTCTCCATCTCAAAGCCTCAGATATAAATGCCTGCAGGTGAGGAAGAGATTCTTGGTCGGCGAAGGTCGGTGCTGTAGTGAAAGACTTATTGAATACATGGAACTCCGGTATCGAATAAGAATACCTCGGTGCCTTCCGACGACCGCGTCGAGCTCGGCCTTAACTTTAGCTTGCTCTTCGGGGAAACATGCTGCTGCCATGAGTACCGTGCATATTGAATTCGAAGTCTTTCGCCTGACTTCAGCCACATATATTTAAAGGCAACAAAACAACATCTCACCGAGGTGGATCCAGCTGAAAAAAAAGATCCGGCAAGAAAGGCCATCTCAGTCTCTGTCAAACCATGGAGTTGGCTATGCTCTAGCATATATTTTACGAACGAAGGGCCGACGTCTACATCGTTCTGCTGTGCAATGGCTCAGACATGAAGTGAAGATTAGAAGGAAATGCACACTATTTGCTGTTTCACGCGGTTCAGCTGACCAGTGTTGAGTTTCTTGATCCTCTCAAACCCACGTTTTAAATCCCGCCCATACCAAGGAAGGTATCTGAGCCACGGGATTGAGTCCACTAGGTAGGCACCAGGACGCACGATTGAACTAAGCAACACAATGAGTGAATTGATTTCAACCACATCTGGATCAGTCGCAGATGTGCGGGTATTCTTCCCATATGCAACTTTCATAATTGTCGTCGCACCATAACTTCAAAGCAGCCGTAAGCAAAGTACGATCATCACCAAGAGCACTTACGTTAACACAGAGTTCTGGAAGTTGTGTGGATCATTAAGAATCCCGAGAACTGTGTTCTTCACGTGTGACATCTGCAGGGGTTCGTAAGCCGAAGCTGCTTTAGGCTGGAGATGCGTATGAAGTGCTCTGCATCACGTTCGTTGGAAAGTAAGATAGGTCAGAGGAAGTATTGCGGACGACTAACCTACGCATCCGACGGAGCCTGTCCCCCCAGTGAGCAAATCCGATGCCCATTCCGCCGTTAAATATTTCACCAGCAGCAATCATGCGAGGACGATCAGCTGTCAATTTTCCATGATCCTCCAAAATATCCAAGGCGGCCTGCAACAGAATGTTGAGCCTAGATATGAAAATTCAGCATGTATGGACCGACCTTGTAACGGCCGATAATAACGATTTTCTCAGATCTTGGCCGAATGGTGATCAAAGGACCGTACTCATCAATCCATCTCGCTATAGTGAGAAATGAGCTTATGGGAGATAGGACGGAATCAGCGTTCAAAAGTCAACGAGACGAATAGGAAAGCTTACTTGCGCTGCGGCAGGGAGTGCACCCCAAATCTCCGAATGGGAGGGGAAGGTGGGAGAGGAAGGCCACTCTCTGATTTAGTATGGTAAGCCCGAGCAATTACTCCTACGATACCAAGACAAGTTGCAGCACTGATGATGAGTTGTGCGTTGTCAGAGATGTGCAGGTCAGGTAGCACGGATTGGAGGGAACTCATCGTAAGTCACGGTGCATTTAGAAGATGAATGGCCTTTTAAGCACATGCCCAATATCAAGAAGTAATTTACTGAAGATGTTCACCTGTACCCCGGGGTGTGGATATGAAATATACTGCTGGCACGCGACGGTTCGCATACTACCTGGCAGCACCTACCACCAAGAGAAACAGTTGGAGAGTACTTCCGACGATGACACCTCACACATACACTCAGAAAGACTTTCGTTCCCCCATTTACCTCACTCTCACGAAGCTGGGATGTATGCGGTTGACTACACATACTGCCCTCGCCCCGTGTAACCCATCGACTCCCATCTCCGCGCTTAGCCGCCGCACATTGTTGGACCGTGGCGGACGTTTTGCAGGTCGTTCAGCAACGTATGCTTCACAAGAGACAAAATACACCGCACAGCACCTTCCTTCCTCTGTACGGCTCCTAGTTTTGCTCTTGGCGGGGCAAATGCACCTGGAAAGTAGTATCGAATCCAGTGACCAAGTCTCGGTAACTTGGAACCATGCTCCGCATGACAAATGGGACGGAACTCTGGATCTGGTTCCAGCACGACGATCGGGGATGAGTTTTTGGCCAGGCTACTGTAAGATTGTGGCCTGTTATGCACAAGCAACGGCAAATCCATATTGTCGGTGATATGCTTCCTACTTACATAATGCTATGTTGACGCATTTTGCCCGTCAATATTGTACCATTTGAACAATCCGACGTCGCTGTGTTGCCGTGCACAATGATGATCACTATATGATATCGGTAACGCCGCTCACGCTCCAAGCCCCCGACACCTGGCTCACTCAGGCCCTGCATATTCAATTGGACATTATAATTCCAAACCCAGACGAACCTATGTCAACGTTGATCCAAGGATTTACAATCCTGATAATTTAACAAGTAGCAGGCTGCAGGCCCACAAAAGCATGGTTAATCCTTCTTGTGTCCTGCAGACCTCTTGGCGGGAGAACTGTTGAATACCTCAGATGCTTGTCTCGCCGCCAACGTTTGTTATGTCTCACAGCACAGCGATTACATTTACGGTTCAAATTACAGTTCATCGGCGTTTGCCAAGTCCAGTACAGTACTAGTGGCTGCGACGAATGGTAGAGACGAGTGGTCATTTAAATTTAACAAAGCCCTCCAACCACTAACGTGGGTGTCGGGGGCAAGTTCCTTGCCTCGAGTGCGGATGGAGAGTTCAATCCCAAGGTTATGTAATGACATGAACCGATCTGGTTCGGGTTGAACTGGTTTATCCCTAATTTTCTAAACACAAAAAGAAGCTCACCGGGTTTTTGGCAGAACTCTGCCCACAACGCTATCGACGACGGTCCGCCCCACCATGATTTGGCAAGCAGCACTAAAAGTTGCAACGGCAATTGTCATCACCATTCATTGCAATATCAATACAACCGCGTCTTTATTACAGTGTATTGCGTATGGAACTGCAGTCCAAGTTTGATTTTCAAAAACTCGGCTTCGCTGCCTTTACTGGAACTTTCGCCTACTTTTCCCTCCTGGAAAGAAGGTATCGGAAATCACATTTGAATGGGGTATAGTTGTCGGACCTAATCAGGGTTAAGGGTCCAGCGCCTGCCGACAGGTAGTTTGCTGTAGCATGAGAATCATTACATGCCAGCAGTACTCCAAAGCTTTTATTCGCACCTCAGATAGTGCGGGCCAGGGTTTCCATTGATATGGGATGCTCAAAAACCCAATCTTTACTCGATTTCATTGTGGTTTACAGCGAGTTTCTTCCAATCCTCCTTCCCATCGATCATGTCACAACTATCTGACCTGCGCATCTCTGATAACGCACAACTCGTCCTTAGTGCTGCAGCTTGTCTTGGTGTCATAGGAGTAATTGCTCGGGCTTACCGGCCTAAATCAGGCCTTCCCCTCCCGCCTTCCCCTCCTACCTGGAAACTTGGGGGGCACGTTATGCCGCCTCGCCAGTAAATGTGTTCGGCTTATTGACTTTCAAATGCTGACTCTGTCCTATCGCCGATAAGCTCATTTCTCACCATAGCGGAATGGGTTGAGGAGCACGGTCCTCTGATCACCATTCGGTCAAAACTTGAGAAGATCGTTATTGTTGGCGGTTACAAAGTTGGGCTCTACATGCTGAGTTGTCATCACTAGGCTCAACATTCTGTCGCAGGCCGCCGTGGACATTATGGAGAATCAGGGTAAACTGACAGCTGATCGTCCTCGCATGGTTGCTGCTGGTGAAATATTTCTCGGCGGAATGGGCATCGGATTTGCACACTGGGGGGAAAGGTTCCGTCGGATGCGTAGGTTAGTAGTCTGTCATACTTCCCTCATCAATTTCAATTTCAATGTGATGCAGAGCACTTCATACGCATCTTCAGCCTAAAGCAGCTGAGGCCTACGAGCCCTTCCAGATGTCACACATGAAGAATACAGTCCTTGCGATTCTCGATGATCCACACAACTTCCAGGACCATGTGTTAACGTAAGAGCTTTCGGCTGTGATATTACTTTGCTCACAGGTGCTTTGAAGTTATGCTGCGGCGGTGATTTTGCAAGTCGCATATGGGAAGACTACATCCACATCTGTGAATGATTCCGCACTCGTCGAAATTCGTCGTTTCGTTAAGGTGGGTAGCGCGATCATCGTCCGCCCTGGCGCGTACCTAGTAGACACAATCCCGTGGCTCAAATACATTCCTTGGTATGGACGAGATTTAAGAGAGGGATTTGAGAGGAGCAAGAAACTCAACCTTGATCAGCTGAACCAAGTGAGAAAGCAAATGGTGTGTATCTCCTGTTCACTCTTCACTTCATGTCTGAGTCATTCCACAGGAGAGCGGCGTAGCAATGGGCCCTTCGTTCGCGAAACATATTCTAGAAAACAATCATGGTTTATCAGAGACTGAGATGGCCTTTCTTGGCGGCTCCTTTTTTTCAGCTGGATCCGAGACAGTGAGATGTTGTTTTGTTGCCTCCCGAAGATATGTAGCTGACATTGGGCGAAAGACTTCTTCCGCTATATTGACGGTATTCATGGCGGCAGCATGTTTTCCCGAGGAACAAGCTAAAGTCCAGGCCGAGCTCGATGCAGTGATCGGAAGGCACCGAGGTAGCTTGATTCACTATTGCAGCTCTATGATTCACTAAAATTATTTCTGCACCAAAAGCGCCGACCTTTGCTGACCGAGAATCCCTTCCTTGCCTGCAGGCATTCATCTCTGAGGCTTTGAGATGGAGACCGCCCTTGCCTAACGGTGGTGTGTATCTTTGTTTTTTGTTTTGAACCCAAAATCCACAACATTCGCACTGCAGCGGTGGCTCACCGGACAACCCACGACGTGATTTGGGCAAGTGATCTTTGAACTGCTCTTCGTGCGAATGATGATCTAGCCCATCAGGAAAACTATTGCATACCAGCTGGAACTACAGTATATGGCAACCATTGGTGAGTATCGTGAGTATCGTGCGTCAAGAAACAAATGATCTAACGGTCACTGTCTTAGGTCCATCTCTCGCGATTCAGACGCCTACCCAGAACCTGACGCATTCAAGCCTCAGCGCTGGATTAACGACCAAGGTGGCCTAAGAGATGACTTAAAATTCTTTCCCTACGGCTTTGGTCGGCGGTAAGTACAGTCTTTCAGCTATCCGTACAGTGAATTACGTTTCCTTCCAGCGTATGCCCCGGTCAACACGTCGCGAACAGGTAAAGCTACCCTGTCACGCACATCATCTTCTGAACTTACTTTGACCGTCAGATCTATATTCATCAACACGCTCCTTACTCTGTGGGCGTTCTATCTCACGCTGGATCCTACGAAGCCATTGGATGACATGGGGTTCATGATCGGGGAGAAAACAGACAAGCCGTGCGCTCTTGAGTTTGAGACGAGGATTCCAGAAACGGAGCTCAGGCTTATGATGCAGAATTATCCCGAGGGAAACAAACCTTGAACCAGTTCAGATTATTCAAAATGAATATCACCCAGAATTGTCGCATCATGTACATACCACTATCCCAGTTTGAACATGGCTGATTTATACAAAGACATATTCGACATTCAACTCATCCACGATTCTAAGTCAATGATCGGCCCTGGGTACTTGCAGCTTCTGTTTTCACAGGCTGCGTGTCACATCAAGGAAGCAAATTGAAATCGTCGCAACAACCATAATATTGTGCCTACGGTCGGCGTTCCTTTTCAATATGCGACGAAGCTTAGAAGCCACTAGGAAGCCACTACATTGGTGTATTTGAATTTCTGGGTGCCTGCACCCAGGTGAACCGCGCTCTGCCCTTATCCTCCCTTATCTCATGGACTGCCAGCTAGCTGCTACTGCCAATGGTAGCCAGCCCGTCTGCCGCTGGACTGGTCAGCACGATGGTCAGGAGCGACGAAGGAAGATGCTAGACAACGATGATGATGATCTGTCTCTGTGTTCTACATGCAAGTGCCTACTGCTGCGACCCCGAACTCCCCTGGACTCCTAACACCCTGCTACCCCTGCTTCTGCCTAAACCAGATCCGTCCGAGTCCCGCTAGATCGCTCCGCTCCATATGCCCCCCCCAGAAGTGCGACCCTCCGGGGACGCGTGATGTGCTACTCGTCGTCATCTAAATCTTCTGCAATCTCTGCTTCCATATCCAACTCTTGCTCCTCTGCAGTGGGTTCTTCTTCGTCATTCATGCTTGATTCGCCTATAGCGTTCTGTAGTGCCGCTAGTGCTGTACCGTTTCGTGGTATGAATCTCCGTAGACGTCGTGCGTTGAATAATCCGTTAAGTGGGAACCCTTCCAAGGTTGCGAGTGTGTAAGAATTGCCGATTCTAGTGATGACACGCCGTGGCGCTGACCATCGTGGCTGTAGTTTGCGTGTCGAGGCCATGGTAAATTCTAAAGCATTAGCGTAGACTTGCACTAACTGTCCAGATTCGAATACTACTTCACCTGCATGTGACCGAAGAACCTTACGATCGAACGCCGCTTTGCGTTGTGCTGTGTGCGCCACGGTATGGTCTGCGCCATCGAGGCGTTGTTGTTCAACATACGCCATGTGCACGTCGACTTCTGATGTGCTTAGCTCCACGGATGCTATTGGACTCCGGATCGAATACCGGACAGGTGACGTCGTAAACGTCACGCTGAGACATTGCGAGCGCAGTTGGATGACGACGTTTGACGTCGGGCATCGCGCCGACGATACAAAGTGTCAAGGTCGTATGCTATCATATATTTTTCATCACTATGCTACTTTACTTAAATTCACGACTCTATCCGTCCGAGCATCTCAGTCATTCTATACAGACTGAGATGTAAGCTTATGTTCCCCCCCTACATTATACCAAGCGGCTAACTCGTTCCATAGAATCTATCTAGGTACTATACATTGTATTGAGTCATTCTATACAGACTGAGATAATCTATCTAGTTTTCCCGCTCTCTCGCGTCCCCGCTCGCCTCTGATCACCAGAGGTTATGAGCCCTGCCTCGACCATGGACTCCGCGCTCCCCAGCACCAATTCCGCACTATTCAACGTCCCCAAG